TGCAAATTCTTCTGAAATTCTAAGATCATCATCATCATCATCATCATCAGCAGCAGCAGATGATGATAAGATAGAATAAAATCAAATGACTTGACTAAATACTCAAGAAATGCATTGAAGACAGTGAGAATTGAGTGAGAAACAAAACGAAAAAAAAAATTCTGAAATTCTGTATTCGAAATGTATTTATGTGTGCGTATGTCTTTTTTGTTTCCATGATTCAATTGGCATTTTGCTATTTATTCTAAGCACAAACAAACGGACATTATTTTCTTAAATAGGATTTTTTTTTTAATTAAAATGTTAAGTGTGCCACTGTTTGTGTTTTGTGTGTGTGTGTTTTTTTTTTGGCGTCTTGATTTTCAATCTTTCACATAATTCACCCACATTCTTCTTCAAACAGCCACGATCCATTGATTTTAAGATGTGTGTGTGTGTGTGTGTGTTTATTTTTTTTTCTTCTCCAAATGTTTTGGCCTTTGTGGGGCTAAAAAAAAAAATAACTAATGATGTGTTGATAACGCAGACCAGAGAAAATGTGTGACTTGCGTTTTTTTTTTTTTAATTTGAGACGCACACAGCCAATGGCAATTGGCTTGATGTTTTTCTTTCTCCATACGGGTATCTGTATTTTTTTTATTTGGTTTTTTTTTCTTGATTTGAAACAAATTGTTTCACATTGAAATTGAAATTTGAATATTTCTAATTTAGAGTGAATTAATGAATTGAATAAAAATGAAAAAAAAAATTCCATTTTTCACCACCACAACCCTGGATACAATTATTATTATTTTTTCCAAATAATTGCCATCATCAGATGAAAAAATGATGATGATGATGATGATGATGACATTATGATTATTTGCATTTTGAATATTTTTGTGTGCACACATGTGTGTGTGTGTGTGTGGGTGTAAATTATTTGTTCATCATTGTCATTGTTTGTCAACCTTGCCATCATCATCATTATCATTCATTCATTCATGGTTTATTGGTGGGACTACCAACACACATAGTCTCAAACACGAACTTTATTTGAATAAATATAGCAAAGAAAAATATGAAAGTACCACTTATATGATCTCTGTGTGTGTGTGTGTGTGTTTGTGTGTTTGTTGGTGGGATATATCACATTTTTTTCATCAATGTATGATACAATATTATAACATTGAAAGCCATCATCATCATCATCATCATATAGCCATTAATATTGGAAAATGTGATGGAATTCCATAAAAAAAAGAATATTGTTATTAATAATAAACAAATTTCCTCTGTCTGACTGCCAGTCGGTCTCTGTGTGTGTGTGTGTATGTTTAATTATGGCAACATGACGATGATGATGATGATGATGATGATGATGAAAAGTTATTAAAATGTCAATTTTAATAACATTTCATATTTCCATTTCTGGCTACAAAAATGAATTTTGGAATATTTCGAATACCAGAAACAAAACAAAAAAAAAAATTCTGGTCATTTTCATTTTTTCATTTGTGGATTAATTTTCTTTTTCCCAAGATACAGTGTACAGCATAGCAGACATGAAACCAAAAAGAAATTCAGAAACAAAAACATGAAAAAAAAAAAAATCAATTCAGCCATCAAATATAATCAATATTGATAATAATAATAATAATAATCTTGGATTAATAGTAATGTCAAATGAATCAAAAAAAATTTTTTTTTCATTTCTATATATACAATAAACAAGAGAATGGAAAAAAAAATCAATCCATTCGATCCAGTACACAATGTCACATGTTTTATGTGCATGTGTGTATGTATCGATGTCATAACATTATTATCATTGTTTTTATACCAATCTTGTCATATATATATCTATATCATGTTGGCACACATGGTTCATATTGTTATGAATGAATGAATGAATGATGGATCAGTCAAGACTTCATAATAAAACTATCTATCTATCTATCTGTCTGTATCATTCTCATTCACTATATTTCATTATCAGGCAATATTTCAATTTAATAAATTGACAAGTTTTTTTTTTGTTTCTCGACTCATTGTTCATTCACTCTCTCTTTTTTTTTTTTTTGCTGCTGTTTTTGCTCATTGATATTATAACGATATCATACACACACATATAAACAAGTGAGTTAAAGTTTGTCAAAAATTTTTTCTTTGAAATTCTGAATGAAACTGAATAAAATGCTGCTGCTGCTACTGCTGAATTATAATGTGAAAATTATTATACATCATTGGCCTCTACTTTACTACACGCACACACACACACACACAGAGGTTTAATCTATCGTTTTTTTTATATTATTAATAATGTTATTATTATTTTTTCATATCGGGAATCTCTGTGTGGGTGTGTGTGGGTACGAGATTGAAAATTGATTGATTTTTCGTTCGTTCGTCCGTCGTTATTGTTATTGATATATTAAATAAAATGAAAAAATTTTCCAATAATCTTGGATTAATAGTAATGTCAAATGAATCAAAAAGAAAATTTTTTTTTTCATTTCTATATATACAATATACAAGTTCAAAAAAAAAAAACAAGAGAATGGAAAAAATCAATCCATTCGATCCAGTACACAATGTCACATGTTTTATGTGCATGTGTATGTGTATCGATGTCATAACATTATTATCATTGTTTTTATACCAATCTTGTCATATATATATCTATATCATGTTGGCACACATGGTTCATATTGCTATGAATGAATGAATGAATGATGGATCAGTCAAGACTTCATAATAAAACACTATCTATCTGTCTGTATCATTCTCATTCACTATATTTCATTATCAGGCAATATTTCAATTTAATAAATTGACAAGTTTTTTTTTTTTTTTTTTTTTGTTTCTCGACTCATTGTTCATTCACTCTCTCTTTTTTTTTTTTGCTGCTGTTTTTGCTCATTGATATTATAACGATATCATACACACACATATAAACAAGTGAGTTAAAGTTTGTCAAAAATTTTTTCTTTGAAATTCTGAATGAAACTGAATAAAATGCTGCTGCTGCTACTGCTGAATTATAATGTGAAAATTATTATACATCATTGGCCTCTACTTTACTACACGCACACACACACACACAGAGGTTTAATCTATCGTTTTTTTTTTATTATTAATAATGTTATTATTATTTTTTTTCATATCGGGAATCTCTGTGTGTGTGTGTGGGTACGAGATTGAAAATTGATTGATTTTTCGTTCGTTCGTTCGTTCGTCCGTCGTTATTGTTATTGATATATTAAATAAAATGAAAAAATTTTCCATGTTGTCAATGTGATGATGATGATGATGATAATGTCGTTAAAGAAGGAAGCAGAATATTTTTTTTTTTTTTTTTTTTTGGTTCACTTTTGTTTTTTTTCGTGAAAAAAAAATTAATGATTTTTTTTCTCTGTTCAACACTTTCTACCATTTTTCGATATTATTATGGTAAACATTCTTCTTCATCATTTTTTCTGATGTTCAAACATTGAATTCTGTGTGTGTGTGTGTGTGATTATAATGATATTCTGTTTTTTTTTGGAGAAAAATAAAATCATTCAAATCACTGCTGATTTTTTTTTGCATTGACTTAATTTTTTTTTTACATTGAAAAAAAACCCGTAAAGTTTCTAATGAACCATTAGAGTTGAAACCAGAAAATTGTTATTTTTGTTGTTGTTGTTGTTGTTGTTGCTGGTTTATAACAACAACAACAACAAAAAGTGAAAAACTTTTTTTCCTGGTTTGTGATATAGTGAAAAACAACAACATCATAAAAAACTTTGCAATCATTATACACCTATGAGAGAGAGAGAGAGAGAGAAGAGGGTACACGTTATATGGGTTAATATTTTTTTTTTTTTTTTGGGCGAAACCACATTTATAATTATTACCTCTTGCACAATAATAGCAACAGCAACCAAAAAAAAAAAAAAAGTTCAAGCTTGTAACCATACTTTATCAGTCAGTTTTTTTTCTCTTTGTATTACGGTTTTATCGTACCGTATCAGGTGTGTGTGTGTGTGTAGCGAGAGAGTGAAAAAGGTATTTATACAGTTCCGGTTGATGATTTTCATCTGTTTCCTTTTCACCTTTCATTTCATTTTGAAAACGTTTAAATAAAAATAGTTAAAGGCAAAGCTTTGGTTATTATGTTGAAATTTTTTTTTTCTGTTCTTCTTCTTCAATACGATAAGCCATAGAAAAACGATGATGAAGAATTGTGAGTGAAAAAGTTTATTGTTGTTGTAGTTCCAATGAGGAAAAAAAAATTGTCCCAAGCGATTTCGATTTGTGTTCCATGCCATGTGATTCCATTTGATGATGATGATTCCTAAACAAATTCTTTGTAATATTTCATCAATAGTACTATTTTTTTTCGATCCATATCCAGGTTTTTTTTGCGAGGGGGGCGAGGAGTGACTATTGTAGAAGAGTTTTTGCTATACATTTTATGTCTGATTATTATGGTTGTGTTGTTGTTGTTGTTGTGGTGGTGGTGGTGGTATATAACATTGCATTGTATGTTTTGTATATACCTTGTTGACTAATTGCATTTGATATATTACCATACACCATAACAGAAGAAGAAAAAAACCATTTTCCATGTTGTTTGTTACCTACATTTTTTTGATACTAATTTTATTTGTCTTTTTATTATTATTATTATTATTGTCTGTTGTTGTTGTTGTTGTTGTCCATTTTCTTTTCTATATTTTTAGTAATAGGTATCCAAAAAAAAAAAAACGATTGTTTGTTTCGTTGTAATAATGTTTGTTTTTTTTTGTTTCTCTCATTGTATTATAGTTGTTGTTGGTTGGCCATCAAATATCGTTCAGTGATCATCAGTGCCATCATCATTGCTGTTGACAATTTTTTTTTCTTCTTCATGTAACGTTATTTATCATTATCCACATAACCACCACCACCACCACCACCACCATTTCTTAGTTTGATTCCTGATTTTCATCATCATCATCATCATCATTTCTATCGTTTGTCAAAAAAAAAAAAAAAAAAAAATGTTGACTTTATGTGGAAATTGAAGATAAAATGGCCATAAACTGAATCGGTTATAGCAAAGAGTGAGAATAAAAAAAAATACACGCCATTAATGCCAAAATGGATTAGAATATATGACGATGATGATGATGATGAAAAGTCAAGACCGAAACCAAAAAAAAAAAATAAGAATCCAAAAAAGTACTTGGCTTGAAATTCGACAAACTGCATCAGCAGCAGCAACAACAACAACAACAACAACAGGATCGTCGTAAAGATTTTTTTTTCTCTTTTTGCCATTGCAGCATTCTATCATCATCATAATCATCATCATCATTATTATATTTGCTTAATATATTTCCTCAATTTTCACTCTGCACACACACACACACACTATCACACTAATGGTATACATTACATTTCTACGTTATATAATAATAATAATAATAAAAATACACGTTCATCATATACAGCCACAGTGGTAGTATTTTTTTTCAAATAGAAATTTTTTTTTTTTATTAATGAAACTTTTACACGGAACACGAAACATATCAAAATCCATTTCGAAAATGAGCTTTACGTATCAATTACCGAAACAGCAGCAGCAGCAGCAGCTACATCTACAGCTACAACAACAAGAATTACATAATCGTCAACAGCAACAGAAACAACATATACATTCACCTCAAATGAAAATGATGATGATGACGACGACGACGACTATGAAACCACAATCGATGATGATGATGATGACTACGGAACATCAAAATCAATTACAACAACAATTGGATATACAAAGACAAACATCTTATCACAATAATCATCATCAACAACAACAACAGCAGCAGCAGCAGTATCAGCATAATCAATATCAACAACAACAACAACAACAACAAAATATCCGATATCAATAACAAATGATTATAATCATCATTTAGCCATGTTCACTGAAAAGATTACTATACAGGAAAATAAATTAAGAAAATTACGTTTATTAAAAGGACAAATTCAAAAACAACGTTACGAAAATTCGAATGTTTGTAAGTATTATTATTCTTGAAATGAATCAAACAAAAAAAAAAAAAATCTTCCTTTTCCATTTTTCATTCTCTCTTTCTCTCTCGTTGAATTGAAATGAATGAATAAAATTGGGTAAATCGCATATAAATTTTTTTTTGTTTTGTTTTGTTTCGTTTGCCTAATCAATTCATTCGTTAATATTCACTCATGATTAGTTTTTTTTTGAGGTCGTCAATTGTGAATGAATGAATGAATAAGTCACGAAATGAATGATGCTAAAACTAGAATGAGATAGACTCTTTTGGCCCAAAAAAAAAAATTTTATTCATATATCAACATCAAATCTAATAATTTCATATGCAACGAGAAAAAAATGCTAATATATCTGTCTCTGTCTCTCTGTGTTTCTGCTTCGTTGCTGAACTCATGAACGTATCCGTCCATATCGTATGGTAATTTTCTTAATATTTATAGACCTACTACTAAAGTATAGAGATAAAAAAAACCGCTAGATGCCATTTCCTGTGTGTATATGTGTGTGTGTGTGTGTGTGGTTTATTTCCAACAGCATAATAATCACCAGAAAAAATGATTAGATGAATAAAGAAATTCTTAATGAAAAAAAAAGAATGATTCGTAGGTCTTATCAGCAAAAAAAAAATTGAGTTGCATTTTATATATGAGAGAAAAAATAGATGAGTATTATGCAAATAATGATCTTTAATTAATTATTTTCCATACAATTTCACTGATTTAATGAATGAGTGAAAAATTCCAATGATTTTTTCCTAGTTAATAATAATGTATTTATAGCATTCTAATTTGAATAGGAAAAAAAATTTGGAAGAAAAAATTTACCGAATAGTAGAGAATATTTACCGGAATCGAATTGAAATGAATTTTTTTTTTTTTTTGGTTTTTGAAACTTCAAGTAAAGAATAAAAAAAATGTTTCTTTTTTTTCATTGCTAACACACACACACACACACACACAGGTTCTGAATTGGAAACATTGAAATTATTATTCAAAGAAAAAGAACGTGAATTATCCGTTGCATTGAATAAAATTGATACATTGACTAAACAATTGGATGATATCAACAAAAATCATCATCATGTTGGTGGTGGTACTGGTGTCGGTGTTACATATGGCAACAAAAATTCAATGGAATTAGAGAATTTAAAACAAGAACTTTTGGTAAATATTTATTCACATCATTCAACTTTATATATATTCAATTTATTTTGGATTATGTTATATTAATCAAATAAACACACATTTTGTTTGTTTGTTTGTTTGTTTGTTTATTTATTTATTTATTCATTCCAGTTCAAGACTAGAATATTCAAACAGAATGATGAAGAATTAATGCAGAAAAAGAATTTTTTACAAAAACGTAAAACCGATATGATACAAATTGATCAACGTATACATGAATTACAAGCTAGATTGATGCGTAAAAAAATTATTAATCAAAAATTGAAATTATTACAACAACAACAACAACATGAACATGAACATGAACAAGATGAAATGGAAAATGATCCATTAGACGATAATAATCGTAAAGAAAATGGCCAAACATCATCATCATCATCATCATCGACAATGATGATGACAAGTAATATTGCCATGGGACAGCAATTTGTTCCATCAATGAATAATAATAATAATAACAAATTAATGGCTGCCACATTTCAAATGAATCGTACGAATCTGAATAATAATAATAATAATAGCTGTAACGGTAATGGTGGTAATAATAATGTTGCTACCGTTGAACCATTACAACGATTGAAAGTGGATGTAAGTGTTTTGTTGACAATTTTTTAATGTTCATGATAATAATAATTTATATAACTTTTAATTTTTATTTTCAAATTAAAAATTTAAAATTTTTTTTTCGCTATAGTACTCTGCTGATTCGAACTATTTATTTCGACAACAACAGCAGCAGCAGCAACAACAACAACAACAACAAAATCCAATCATCAAATAAGAATACAATTACAAAATGATCATCCATCAACAAAATATCAGACATTACCTTATGGTACAAAATTTAATTCCAATCAAATTGGTAATAATTTCGAAATGTTTATCACTAAAAATCATCATCAACAACAACAACAACCGCAACAGCATCAATTAAAAAAAGAAAATGAAAAAAATGAGCTTACAACAACGATTAGTAACAATAATAATGTAATCGATTGTGATCGATTAAAAAATGGTGATATTTCACTTTTAATTAATGATGATGAAGATGATGATGATGATGATGTTTCGAATGTTGGCATGTCGATGAAGATGATGATGATGATGATGAAAAATGATAATAATCATGATAGTCTTGAAGAAAGGCCATCACCATCTGGTAGTAGTGGATCATCCGATAGGATTAGTTCATCATTGAATACATATAATAATAATTCCTATAATTCATCACCTAATCATCGTCATCATGATGAAAAATCGAATTTTATGGACATTAAATTCCATAATAATAATAATAATATGATGGCCACAACAAACACGACAAATAATAATGATAAATTATCTAATCGAACTACAGAATCGGCAACTTCTAATAATAATAATAATAATAATAATGTTGAAATGCAAAAAAATTTATTTCCACATCGTTTTATGCCAAATTCAAACTCTAATTATCGTCACGGAAATAGCCATCACGGTAATAGTATCCAGTTTCCAGTAAATAGTAAAGAATCAAATCAACAGCAGCAAAAAAATTACATAACAATAGCCACTAAACCATCAGTTCCAGTGAAACCAATTGCAACTACCACCGATAATAAGGATCTCATTGAATCAATGTACAACAACACTGCCGTTGAAAATGATGAGTCTGTTTGTAACATTGCCACTAACAAGTAAGGCACTTATTATTTGTATTCTCTCGAAAATTCATTAAATTTTTGTTTATTTCAATTCAATTCCATTTGCTCTTTTATTTTTATTCGATAGAAATGAAATTCAAGTGAATTCCTTTCCAGAGAATGATTGTAATGAAGAAAAAGAGGCACTACAACAACAACAACAACAACAACAACGTTCAAACAGCGTTGTTGAGATTGTTAATAAATTGAACAATCTTTCATGTAAAGAATCATGGGAAAAAATGATGAAAAGAAGACCAGTATACAATATGAATGAAATGGAAAAAGAATTGGAAAAATCCTCATCGATACATAATGATAAAGATGAATTTTCTGTGAATTATGTTGACAACATTATTCATGGTAATGATAATAGCCACGATACTACTGATAAATGTACCATTGTTAACAACAAAAACGAACAAGATGATGCTGTGAATAATAATAATAATAATAATAATGGTAAAAAATTGTCAAACAATCCGGAAGAAATGATCAAAGATTCTGGCTATATTAAACGGATGAAAGGAGGCCTAAAAAAAGAAGATGTTCAACAAAGAATGATGTGTTTACGACGACAACGACGTGTTAGTTTCGATCCTTTAGCTCTTTTATTGGATGCCTCATTGGAAGGTGAACTTGAACTCGTTAAAAAAACTGCCATTCAAGTAAGTAAAAATTTCTAGCCCAGATGTACATCATGATGATGAATGAACCATTGATCATTGAATTAATCAATCAATATTTATTTCATGAATATATATAGGTGCCAAATCCAAGTTCATCGAACGATGAAGGTATCACTGCATTACATAATGCGACATGTGCTGGACATTTTGACATTGTTAAATTTCTAGTGGAAATTGGTTGTGATGTTAATGTTCAAGATTCGGATGGATGGTAAATTGTCATATATCAATGTAGATTATTTTAATGGCCATCATTTTTTTTCGTTCATCAGGACTCCGTTACATTGTGCTGCTTCCTGTAATAATTTAACAATGATTAAATTTCTTGTCAAATCGGGTGCTTGTATTTTTGCTACAACATTTTCCGATCTAGAAACGGCAGCTGAAAAATGTGAAGAAGAAGATGAAGGATTTGATGGATGTTCACAATATCTTTATGGTAATTGGATATTGTTTCTCCTCATTTTAATGTTAATGTTAATCTGATTCATTTTTTTTTTCTCTCTCTCTGCATGATTTACCCATTTTAGGTATTCAAGAAAAATTGGGTCTCATCAATAATGGCATCGTATATGCTTTATATGATTATGATGCACAAAATGAAGATGAATTAAGCTTCAAAGAAGGCGATATTATTAAAGTGCTACGTAAAGGTGATGAAAATGAAAAAGAATGGTGGTGGTCCAAAATCGGAAACAATGAAGGCTATGTTCCAAGAAATCTAATTGGCGTAGGTGTATTTTTTTTATATTTCATTTTCGTCAAATTGAAAAATTTTTAATCTTTTTTCGTCATTTTTTTTTCATTGTAATAACAGCTTTTCGCTCGTATTAAGCCAAAAGATTTGTCATTCAAATCAACAGCATCGAATTGATTTACGAAGCCAACGACGACGACGATAACATTATTATTTAACAATGAGCTGTGATCCGAATACTTTTGTGAATTTTGAATTTCTATTTTAATGATGGTAATAATCGGCTTGCTGATGTTTCATTGGATGGTTGGACCATCTTTTTTTTATCTTAATGCTTTTTTTTATTTTGTTTTCATTGAACTCTAAAATAAAGAACTGATCATTGAATTTATAATTCAGTTTTCAATCAATTCATTTAATTGATTTTAAATTAACGGTATTTTTGATTTTTGTATACGCGCTGCTATCTGTTAACGGAGAAAAAAACTAAAATTCAACTATATTTTGACCATTTCATATTTTACATGGTTATAAGTTTTTATTATTCAAATGATGATGATATACTCGTCAAATCAAAATTTATTGAAAGTTCATAATCATGAATTAATGAAAAGTGAATGAAAATATTATGATTATGATCAAGCATCCTCATTTTCGAAATCATTTTCCAATAATCCTTGGGTAACCGTCTGTTTTGGTCGTAATGAAACATAAATGAATGAACAAAGTGAAACGATCAAAAAAGTCCACATCATCCAATAATAATAAGCACCGAAAAACCAGGCTTTGTAAAAGAATCGTAATAACAATGCACTCATTCGTGTCATTGTGCATGAATCTAAATATTTCAAGGATAAAGGATTGAATAATTTATCTATTTTGTTTAGGATTGTAGGACAAACCTTTTGGTGAATCCAAAGTACAGATTTTAGTCAACGTTTGATTAGCTGAAACATCTTCATAAAATTGTCGACCATATGTAGCATATTGTGGAAAAGCCGAATAGAAGAGAACATTGATGCCAAGTATAGCCAACATGATCAATGCGAACAATAACAATATAGCTTGTGGTGCTGTTTTTCTTGGTTTGATTTTGTATAACTATTCAAGACAAATTGGCAATTATTTTTAAGTTTATTAATTTATCAACACTTACCTTGATACATAAAAATCTGATTCCAATATGTTTAAAACCTGATATGGTGTACATAACTAATGAAAAACTGAGAATCAGAATTAGAATGTAATCTAATGGATAAACGGTTTGTAGTTCGGATAGAATAAAATTGATCGGATTTGGAAATGTTGAATTGACCAATGCATAGCCCATATGCATACCCAACGAATGAAAAGCTTTGTCTACACTATTTTTTTCATTAATAAAAAAGGAAAAATTTAAATCTATAATGATTAAATATTTAAATTCAAGATCTTACTTTGTAATCAATAATGAGATCCATACTAAAATCGATATCAATAAAATAATGGTACCGAAAAATATTTGAATCGGTCTGAATAAAAATCGTAATCGATAGAAATAACTTTCACGATATTCAATTACATATGATTCTTCAAGAGAAGTCATTCGTTCCTGTTCTTCTAAACTTCGCAATCGATTCATTTCCCGTTCGGTTAAATGTCCGGTCGTTCGTAATTTTTCTCTCAAACTATTTATATTGAAAGAATTATTGAGATGACGATCTTCAATATCTTGTAGCTGCGTTCGTGCACTTTTTGTTCCTTTTATTAGGCTGACAGGCCAAGAAAACATTCCGAATGCTGTATAGATTGCCACGTTTGTGACGCCGATTGCCGTTAAAATTGATAACACCATGGACATGGCATCTTCACCACGATTTTTTTCTAAAACGTTGATTAAATTTTTAAATTTATCGATCCATGATCCATTATTGTTCGGATCAGGTGTCGGTCGTAATGGAACGAAAGCCCTGTTATCAACCAAATAAATGAAACAAATTTATGATTTTATCATTTCATTAATAATTCATCATACCCAATCAAAAGAAAAAATGCAGCCAACAAAACAAATATGAATGTATTCTTAAGAGCATTCAACAATGGACTCGTATCGAATATTGAACTTTCTCGTTCTTCAAAATAAAAATAGACAAATGGTATGACCAGAAAGACGAACATAAAAATGAATGAATAAAGAGCTGTAAATTTTAAAAAATTGAAAAAATTAAAATTTTAAAACACAAATAATAAAAGCTTCATTTATCTTACAATAATATGTGTATAAAATTTGATTCTCATAATGTTCTCGTTCAGTTACATTCGATGCCCATTCTTTGAATGTTCCATTTGGATATTTCATCGATGATACTATAAATATATCGACCGGTAATAATGAACATGTTAATAATGCAATGATTAATGAAACGATAGCTGTAATATTTGTTGTTTTGATTGAATCTTCATGATTCGAATATTTTCGTACATAATATATGGAAAAAAGTATAATAAACTAATCAAGAAAAAAAAATTTAGTACCATTATCATTTATGATGATTCGTGTAAAGGAAACTTACTAATAAAGCAAATAAAAATGATGACAATATGCCAGCCAAATTTTCGAATGGAAATACGGTATACATCTTTAATCAATCAATCTCACTTTTTATTATTGTTATTGTCAAAAAAAAAAAAAATAAATGAATTAGATTTGGTTTAATTAGAAAATGCGAAATTATTATTTAACATATTTTTTTTCGTTATTGTCGTTGACAATTATATAATATCACACATCCATTGCAAACAAAAGAGCTCAAATGACGCATTTCAAATTTTATAAATAAAGACACAGTGCACATCAAAACAATTTTTTTTTTTTTTTTTGGTTTCATTCGATCGCGATTAAAGCCACAAACACACACAAAACGCACATAAATGACGTTACGGAATTTTTTCAATATTCGTCAAGATAATTTTCAATTTTTCATTATATTCTTCTGGATCATTTTCATTCGGTAACATTGATTCTGTTATCGATAGATCATAATCAGGTCCATAATAAAGAAAGAATTCATGATCCGGTATATTTGGATTCAATTTTTGGCCAAAAACTTTGGCTGTTATTAATGTCCATAATTTAGCCGTATTTGTGTGATGATAACCACCACCACCTAATATAAGCAATGGCAATCGAATTTCTAATAATTTTTCGATACAATGTAAATATGTACGAGATGTGAGATTAAATGATTTCATTCGATCACCGCTTAGACCATCAGCACCACATTGACAAATGATAACTTGAGGTTGATATTTTGGTATTAGCCTGTTGATTATCTTATCAAATATTTCAATATATTGATCATCATTGATACCGTTTCGAAGTGGCATGTTTATTGAATGATATTTGCCTCGAAATAAACCGATATCATTGATGTGACCAGTGTCCGGGAAAAAACCAAATTCATATTTATGTAATGATAAACACAAAACTTTGTTCGTATGTACAAATGCCTGTTCAACACCATTACCGTGATGTAAATCTAAATCAATGTACAATATTTTGTCGAATCCATTCTCAAGAAATGTTAGTATAGCGAATACAATATCGTTTGTGTAACAAAATCCCGAAGCTTCATCACGATGGCCATGATGCCATCCACCAAACCAATTAAGAACGATTGAACATTGTCCGCTAATGATGGCATTAGCAGCAGCTATACTTGATGCTGCTAAATATCCGATCGTTTTGAACATGTCGGAAAATGGTGGACAATCATAATTGAGACCAAATTGATCATTTTCATCATCATCATCCATTTTATCTGAATCTATCGAAATTTGTCGTAAATAATTCAAAAATTCAATTGAATGAAATTTACGCAGTTGATTTTCATCCAATGGTTGATCCACTTGTACACGATAACAATTATCGAACAAATGATAAGCACCAATCAATTGATGTACGAGAATAGCCTTTAGAATCGGAATTTAAATATATTAAATTTTAAGTTAGAAATAAATTCTTTTAAAAAAATAAATCGTTTACCCTTCCTTTAACTGGTGGCAATTGATTTGACACCGATAATAGTTCACGTGAATAAACATAGCCAACTTTGATTGAATGATTTTGATTCATTAATTAATTAATTAATTTTTGAATTTGAAATTTAATTATTTTTGAAAACTAAAATTCGCTGAAAAAGAATGAAACTGAGTGAGCATGTCAACTAAAATGATAACTACTCGAGAGAGCTGCCATCTTTTATTTAAAAAGACAGTGTTTAAACTACTTTTAAATTTTTTTTTTTTTCAAATTTTTAGAAAATTATATTTGTTCGGTATGCACACAAGATTAAGGCCACTACGATCATGTCGTAAAGGTTTCACTTTTACCCATCCGATATTCGGTACGTATTTTTCTACATCACAAATAGGCGATTGACTATTATAACCACCAACAACATATAGTTCTCCCTTTAAAACAATTGCACTAAATGTACTTCGTTTGATAAGCATATTTTCCGCTTCATTCCATATATTCAATTCCGGATCATAACATTCGACCGATCCAGATCTACATGAAATAAAAAGAAAAGTAAATAATTATTCTTTTTTCATAAATTGATTATAGAAAAAGAATTAAGATATCACCTTTTAACACCATCATTACCGCCTAAAGCCCAGATTTTATTCTGAAATGAAACAATGGAAAAACTAGTACGTGGCGTTGACATAGATCGGATTAGCCGCCATTGATTCAATTGTGGATAATAAATTTCAACAGAACTTTCAATACCGGAATCATTGATACCACCAGCAATAAAAATTTTTCCATCATGAACAACGGCCGATGCATCGGATCGGCTATAATTCAATTCGGCAACAAATTGCCAACTATCTGATGACGGATTATAACGTTCACAACTTCGAACTCTTGTTTGACGATTAAATCCGCCGATCGCATATAATAAGCCATTTAAATTAGCACTGGATACGTAACATCGACATTCAATCATTGAACATTTACTTGTCCATTTTCGTCGTGGATCATTCAGATCGAATGCATGTAAATTCTGATAAACATCTTTGCCGTTTGATCCACCAAATACATAAACGATATCATCGATTATTTCTAATCCAAAATATGCTATTTCATTATGCAAAACCATTGGACATTTAAGCCAAAGATTGGTTTGATAATCATATAATTCAAATGAATTTGATGTTGTTCCTTCTACCCAACCACCACCGACTAGTAATAATTCTTTTGTTTCTCTCGGTTGATAATATATTGAATGTTTACAATATTTCAATCCAAAACCATCTAGAAGATTGAAATCAAAAGAAAAACGTTAAAATTAAAATCTAATCTATCTTAAAATGATTATTTTCAACAAAAACCTCGTATGATGACCGTTTGTTTATTCAGATCATCGATCCAATTAATCAGCCGTGTTTGTAAGGATGGCTCCAATTGTTGGAACAGATTATTGCCAAAAATTTTTGTCTTTAAAAATTCATCCTTTAAACGTCCAAAACGAAGTACATTAGTGATGGCATGTTCAATATATTTTAAACGATTATTGCAATCATAATCGATCCAATCATGAATAATCTGCCAAATTTGCTCTTCATTTCTGGAATCTAATCGCTGTGATGAGAATATTTCCAAGATCGAGCAATCATTGATTGTCAAAAGATCTGTTTTGAATTTAGTGGTCAAAATTTCCTGGAAATTATTCTCAATAAATGATTGAAAAAATGATCGATAATTTGAACCAATTTGAATGGAAATTTTAAATCCTTTCATAACATTAGGAATGGTACAATTATCCTGAAAATAACGAAGACAATGATCGACCAATGATTCAATTCGATATTTGGCTGCAAATTCAGCTATTTCGATGCAATTTTTTTCATTCAAATCAGCATGATTTTGATAAGCAAAGTGTACGACCTGTTTTAAAACTTCAGCTGAAACAGATGAATCGATTTCATATTCTTTAATCACATCATTTCGATCTTTGATATATCTTAATGCATTTGATATATTTCCATTCAACATAAGCAATAAACATAGATGGACATTCTCATGATGGCCACCATCGGCGGTCATAATAACTGCATCAATAAATTCATCATTCACTTTCATCGACCAAAGTCGTTGATTTCGTGTTAATTCATACGCTAAGGTCATGGTTTCATCATTAATTTCTTGTGAACAAATTTTCTTTCGCCGATTTTCTTCATCTTTCTGCACTTTACGTTTCATATTATTAATGAAATCGATATTATTGTCTTTCATCGTCGATATCGGGGTAACATCTTCATCATCATCGGTCACATTCATTTGATTGCTGCTCATTGCTATGTTGTTTGAGAGTATATAATACAAGTTTTTTTTTCAACGAAAATTGAAAAATTTAGCACAAAAATCATCAACATTAAACATTGTTAATGAATAATGAATTTTATATATAAAAAGTTCCCCCAAATCCTTGATTTCAAATTGAATTATAATTTTCAATTTTGAGGAAAAAATTCGATCGTAATAGCTGAATCGAATTTGACCTGATTGAAAATTCCAACGACGGTCATTGTATTATATTATATTAAATTTTCACCTGAAATAGAAATATTTTTTCAATTTTTCAAAGTTATTTTAGGTTATTACCATCACCTTACATTGAAATGATGGATAACAATAATGGCATAAAAAAAATGGGAAAAAATGTCGATACCTTTATGTAATGGCAAAACAATTTTGATAATTTTCAAAGTATAAATCATTTGTGGTTCTTATCATCGATGACAGAACCTTTATCTTGATGAGTATTCAGTGAAATGATAATGGTATAGGAAATAGCATCATATTTACAACCCTAAAACCATGTCATTATATTGTCATCAGATTCGGGTTTTTTAAAAAAAGGATCATTAGACTTTTTTCACAATAGCTGAAAAGAAGAATTTTCTTCCATACAAACAAACAAGAATCAATCAACCATACGAATCGATCTTCGTTTCCAAATAAAAAATTTTCTTCTATAGAAAAAAAACGGCCATTAGCGGGCAATAAACTTTGAAAGATTACAATTTTTTTTCATCTCAATGATACTTACTGTGATGATAATAATCAAAATGACATATATGACTTGTAAGTTTAAATTTGACACTTGTTTGGATCACTTGAAAATTTTAAAAAAAGTATTGATCGTATCAGTGATGTGTGCACCACTGATACACATTATTATTGTATGGTTTGCCTTGAATTTTTTCTGCACTAAATCCAAGAATCAAAATTTGATCACTTTGTTGTATTCTTAGATGTATTGTTTCAGATGAAAATCGATGATGGTAAACAATTATCCAACGTTCATTGTTTGGAGATTGAAAAAAGCTTGGATAAATTTTTTTTTCTGATTCTCATGACATATCCACAACCATCCTGTTGTTGGACTTTTGATTTTTTTTCTCAAATGATAAAATGATTAATTTAAAATATATCACCAATCTAAGTGTGGAAAATTTATGAAAATTAATAAACAGAACAAAAAAAAAAATCGTATCCATCAATCTTACCCATTTGAGTAGTTGAAAGGATTTTTGTTGTTGTTGTTGTTCTTAATTATTTCTTTTCCTTATGGATTATCATCTTTAAAAAAAAGATGACCTTAATAATAATCTAGTTTATAATATAATTCGGCTGTGTGTCGTTATTCATCAAATTGGAGGCGGTTTTTTTTCGTTGTTTTCATTTCATTCCATTTTGGATATCATGATAAATCGGGTCACGTTTTTTTGCTTTGCATAGGAAGAATATTATTATGAACAAGTGAATGATTACTTAATCAAAGTTTTGTTGTTTGTCAGTGATTACAATTGTTGATCAATATACATTCAATCATTCATTCGATTGTTGTTGAAATGTTTTTTGTTTCCATTGTCACCATTTATTTTATTTGATTGTTTGTTTGTCATGATAATTATTATTAATTTTTTTTTCGTTCGATTTTAATCACTATCGAATTCGAATGATAAATCTTTTCTTTTAAGCATCATATTCATATAATATATAAGCTGACTGATGATGATCATATATATATAAAAAAAATGTTGAATTGAAGGACAAAAAAACACACACACGCAAACATCAAATGGACATCAATTTTCAATGGTTGATCTTATTTACTAACGATATTTGCTTACACAATTGAAGTATATATTTATTATTATGTCATTATATGACATGACCTTCATAGTTTTTTTTTTTTGTTTTGTTTTGTTTTCCAAATTTAGCTTTTGATAATATTTATTTTTTGTTGTATAAACTTCCTGACAATCGATTCTCGATGACGATATTTATATATAGATCTGGATAAATATGATGAATAAAATCGTGTTAACAATAAATGGGTTTGCCAAATCTTTTTTCATTGAACAATTTTTAGCCATTGTCATATGGTTGGAATTTGAAAAAATCAATCGTTCTGTTCTGTTTTTTTTTTTGAATGTCAAATAATAAGAGGTAATGTTTGATGTAAAAATAAATGCCATTTTGGAACAAACACATTGGTTGCCATTCAACCGATAATCATACATTTGGATGACATTTATATTCACATTGTGATAGATTCAATTGGTTTCAATCCAATTTTTTTTCCAATAGTCCTAAATGAACATTCTGAAAAAGTGTCATCATCATCATTATCATCAAATAACATTCAAAAAATTTTTTTTACTTGTCATTGTCCATTGATTTGATTATGGAAAAAAATGTCACTTCCTTTCATCGTTCATCATTTTGAATGGTGTAAAAAAATTTATCATACCACAATGACAATCAGGATGAGGGAAATTTTAAAAATTTTCAGGATGGAATGAATTGGCTCATTTCATTTTCAGGTGAGAAAAAATTGCTGTCAATTTTTTTTTTCATGACAAAAATCAAATTAATCAATTGAATTTGTTGTAATTGTAAATTCGAAGCCAATCATTAATATTGATCAATCATATCTTGAAATCATTTTCATTTCTTGTAATGAATGACAGATAAATTTATCATCAAAATTATGGATCTTTTCGATGAATTTTTTTTTCTCATTCGTCTTTCTTCCTTTTTCCAAAATCATCTTTTTGATGATGATGATGATGATGATAATGATGATGATGACAAACAGAAAGCCATTCATTTGGATGATGACAGACATTTTGTATGATTGAATGAATGGATGGATGCATTGGGGATAAAATTAGAGGCAAATGGACAGATGGAGAAAAAACCACCAGAAAATCGAAAAGGTATGCACACCAAAACAGGCTGTCACTATTATTACCATCATATAAACATTCATTCATTCGTATGATCGATCAAAAACAGCTACATGAATTGAAATTTGTCCTTTCTTTGTCCTTTGATGCAATGTTTGTTCGTCGTCGTTTGTAAGTTGTTGTTCGAAAAATCAATCATTGAAAATTTTTCATCAAATAAAAAAAACCGGATTTGTCATAGTAAATGACAAACAAGAAATAAATAAAAAATCGATAGACATACTATAGTTGATAACAATAATTCACCTGTTCATGTAGGCAATTATTTAGTTAATTATCATTTTGAAATCGATTATGATGAATAAATGGTATATACAATCGTCATTGAGTGATTGGTTGATGAATTCATTTATGATTGTTTTTGAAATTCATTCTGGAAAAAAAATTCGTTGAATTATATTTGAATATATTTAGCCACAATTGGCATTATTGGAATTGCTTTTTTCAAATGAAAAAAAATAATATTAAAAATTTCGTAATTTTTACATGAAGATGTTTACCATTAGATTGGTTGTTGTTGTTGTTGTCCATATATCCACCATGGCCAATCACATTAGTTTACGTTTTATTGAAAAAAAAATCGATGACAACTTGATTGGATAGGCAAAAAAAAAAATTGAATGATTTTTTTTCTCAAACACAGGAAAAATAAAAACATTTGAAAATTATTTTAACCCATGTTTTTTTGCTATCATGTATTGTCGAAATAGTGCTATCTAATTTGTGTGCGCCAAAAAAAAAATTGTTATTATCCATTTTTTTTTTTTTGATGTGTTCCATCCACAATCGATGCCAAAAAAGCCGATCCTTCAATCAATTTTTTTTTCCAATGAACCAAGTTTTTTTTCTTGAAAAAAAAACATTTTGAAATAAACAAGTAAGTTGTGAGAAAAAAAATTGTGTATTGTGTGTGTGTGTTCAATGGATACAGTTGAAAATTCAAAGTGAAAAGAAAATGATATCATAATATTTGATTTTTCGAAATTTTATCTCTCTCTCTCTCTAGTTTTTTGGATTTTATTTTATTAAATCCTTTTTAAAAATCTGGCCATTCTTTTTTTTCTCTCTGTGTGTGTGTTAAATATATACAAGGTTTGTCGTCTCAGTATTTGTATTTGAATTTTTAAATGATGATGATGACAAATTTTCATATATTTGATCGACGATGAATGAATAGATGGATGGATGGATGGAAGAAAAAACTTCCTATATTATCATCACCCGCCATCATCATCATTTTTCAGTTAATTTTTAATTAAATTTCCGTCCATTTTTCTACCTTGTTCGGTGTTAAATTGAGTCAATAGTTTTTTTTTTGGTCGTAATTCGCTTGATATGAATATAAATATGATGGCCATATCTTAATGATTACATATTTCTTGCAATCGCCAAGCGAAAATAATTGATGTTCGTTATTTTTTTTTCTTCTTAACAGCCAAATCGACAGGAATTGGAATGTTTGATGTGGATTTTTAGCCAGTCACCACCATCATCATCTTCATCATCATCATAGTAATAATCGAATCGAATTGAACGATGAAACAAAAAAAAAACAGGAAAATGATTTTAATGCTATCGATACAATCGATGTCCTGTGTTATATTATACGACCTTTTCGGTATGAACTTTGTTCATCATCATCATGTTTGATGAAAGATTAGGAAAAAAGTTTTAAATATACAGTTATCATACAATATTTACCGTTATCTTCGAATCGATAGATGGGTTTCAATTCCTTGTTGGAAAAAAAACCAGTACTTTTCTCCCTCGTATTGATGATCGTGATCACATTGACCTGGCCATCACCTTTACCGTCATAGCTACTAACTAATATATACCCTTGGAACCTGTCATGAATAACAAATACAATAACAACAACAACAACAACAAAACAGCAGCAGCAGCAACAACAACAACAACAACCCAGGTTTTGTTTGTTACTTTTAGTTCTCACATGAAGAAAATACCTTTTTCAATATGGTGATGATGTTCAAAACGGTTCACTCACCTGTTTGTCGAGTTTTGATTTGTTGAATATACTAAACACACATACACACACAAGTTTAAAAAAGAAAAAGAAAAATGCAGCAGACAATTTTTTTTTGTTTCGATTCAAAAAGAGAGTGGCCGCCGTTGCCGCCATCATTGGCTTCGTCTGTTTTTTTTTCGATTTAATGTCCAAAATGTTCATCGTCATCATCATCCAATTCAAATGTATCGTATGTGTTTGTGTGTGCACACACCATCAAAAGACACATTCAGTCGATGTTTGGCAATCCATGCTTTATTCATCGTTTCGTTGATTGTTAAATAATGAATAGAATGACGATCGATTGAAATTGATTAATTCATCATCAAGCAATTATTGTGTTCGAATTTTGATCAAATTTTGTGTTTTCTTCAATTTTCAACTTCAACTTTTTAATGATATCTATCAACAAGTGTTTTGTGTGTGCATTTTTTTTGTTGTTGAAATTCCATGCTCTGATTTTCTAAATTATCGTCACCATATAGTTAGAATTGATATTACCACAAACATGTCTTCGATATACGACAAGGAGATTGAACTTACACACACACCAAACCAACTCTGTCGACAATCTCTAAGTTAATTTATTAAAAAAAAAAGATTTATAACATCGTCATCATCGTCGTATATTTATTCAGGATTATCATGATCTAGATATTTTTTTTCGTTCTTCCGCCATTCATATACCTGTATTTAGTGCTTGTTATTGTTTTTTTGTTATTTCTCGGTTATAATTCAGCTATCCTATTTTGGCATTTTTTATCTCCGGTGTCTCCGGGAAAAATATTTTTATTTTATTTTTTCCCTGTATTTGTGTATTTGTATGTTTTTTTTAAACGCACCAACATGACGAAAGACAAGTGATAATGATGATAAAGTTTTAAACATTCGCTTGGCCACGTTACAAACGTTTTTTTTTACAATCAATAATCGAATATTGATGGCCATTTATTATTTATCAATAGTGAATTGTAAAAGATGCTGATGAAAAATTCCATGTCATGTGTGTCATTCATTCATTCATTTTTTTCCTGTTGAAAATTACACACAGTCACCATCGTCAATATGATATTTGAATTGTTCAACACACACACACACACACACAGGGATTGTTTTCCTGCCTATAATCTTCTTCTTATCATTGTCAAATTTTTTTTTGTAAATGAAATCGAAATGAATTGAAAAATTTTTTATTTTCATTTTTTACTACATGAAATAATAGGAGAAAAAAATTTTAAAATTAACTTCAATTCATCATCATCATCATCATCATCATGGGTAATGGTGAATCATCGACACAAAATGCATCATCATCGTTATCATTTGCACCTAACTGTTTAAACTATTGTCTTCGATCATCATCATCATCACCATCATCGTATAGGTAAGCAAACATTGATGACATTTCATATTTTGATTTTATAAAAGTTGAAACAAAATTAATCCTCTGAATTGTTGGATTTGTCAATGAAATTCTATGTTTGTTTGTTTTTTTTTCGTTGGGATGGACAATGGTCATTTACATATAATAGTTGTGTATGAAATAAAGTTATTCATCAATCGATTACACACCTACAAATAGCTTCTTGATATATTTAAATTAATCAATCATAAAACAAAATCTTATTATCTATAGAAAAAAAATTTTAATCAAATGAACCACTTACTGACATTCAACAATTAATTCTATGATTTTCAGATCCTCAACATTATTATTCATCATTTTAATGACATACCTTTGAATGTTTAGGCGTGTTCAATATTACTTAATCATAATTCTCTCATCATCATCGTCATCATGATGATGATCAGAACATACAAGATTTTTTTTTGTTTTGTTTTTTTACATCTAATGCAATTGTCGAAATGAAAAAGATTTTTCCTTTTTTTCCCACATTTCTGTTTGTTTGTTACAAATTGAATTGACATTTTCATTACAGATTTTGTTTCCCATGCAATGTTTTAATGTTTGTTTTTTTTGTATCATCTCGTGTGATAATACAAAAAACTATTTTCGGACAATCCATTTTAAATTTGGCCAATTTCTGATTGATCAAAATTTAATCGGTTCATATTTAGAACTATCATAGTAGATTTGTCGAATTATCAATTCCCATTTTTGATGATGATAAAAGTAAGTCAATCATCAAATAATCATCATCATCATCCTCATTGACCGATATCTGTCGAACAGGTTATCCTCTTAATTAGTCTATTAATCAAGTGTTTTTTTTTTTTTTGGAAATAAGCATCAGCAGTTGAATTGCCTGAATCAATCAATATAACTTTTATTGGTTTTTCACAGCAGCAGCAGTGCTTGTGTATTGCGATCAAATCATCATCAGATTGATTATAATTCGATGGAATTTTTTTTTTCTTTTGCCTTTTGTCTATATCTGATTGTCCTCTTTTTTATGTATTGCGATTCTCACCACTTTCATTTATTCATTCATTCATTCATTTTATTAGTGAAAATAAGATAATGTTTTTTTTCGCGAAAAACACCACAACTATGTAGTTATGTCAATCAATCTATATATAAATTTTTGCCATTAAACCGTTTGGTCATTTGATGATGATGATCATGATCAAATCTAGTGGAGAGATTATGTTTGATAATTTGATTTGATCTAGATCAATATGGTCATCTTGATCGATCACGCAATTCAATTGTGCATGTATGTAACAGTTTTTTTTGAATTTAAATTAATTCAAATGAAACTTTATGAAATTATCGATAGCTTTCCATCGTGATCTCGATTTTTTTCTGTTTTTTTTTGTCTTTGAAAAATTTTTATTTTTTTAAATATGACCATTTTCCATATCAACCTCAAGGATAATTGCTCATCATAATCATTTTTGTTTTCTTCTTGTTTCCGAAATTTTTCAAGGACACATTTTAATTTGCCTGAATTATCATATGTTTTTTTTTCTTTCAAACAAAAAAATGTGTAAAGATCATCATCGAAAAAATCGATAAAACGTCATTGAAATGTTGATTTTTGAATAACATTTGCAATTGTGGACAATTTTCATATTTTTTTTTTGTTTTCCAATCAAATCAAATCAGACAAGATTCGAGTACATCCAATTTGCAAGATGCACAAGTATAAAAAAAACCTAGAAAAATGAGAGACAACAAGATTATCTTCCAGAGAGAGAGAGAGAGAGAAAAAATAGCAATACCAACGACAACAACAACAATGATATGAGATAGATGGTATTACCGGTCGGATATTTGTGTTTGTGTTTTTTGAATTTTATTTGCAATAAAAAAAAATTATCCTTCCAACTTATTATTATCATCATCATCATCGTCAAATAAATAGTAAAAAAAAATCCCGTACAATTATTATCATCAAAAATAGTTTTCTTGTCAAAAAACGAATAAAAAAATAAAAAATACCATGTCCCCTGTTATTATTATTATTTTTTTTCACGTTTTAAAACATCATCATCATCATCTTCATTTGATTTCACTGTTTCTACTGTGGCTACTTGTTGCTGCTGATTTTATGTGTTTGATTTATGTATATTCACCGTTATCGTTTCATTAATTTTATGTGAGATTTTATCATTATTGTTGTTGTTGTACCGAAATATAAATCACCAATTTTGATAGGAATTTTCTTTTTCACATTTCAAACATTATTATTACCCGATGATGATGATGAAATATAAAAATCCGTTGTTGTCGTTTTCTGATGTTTTTTTTCTGAAATCACGTTTTCATAATCAATAAACAATACACATAGCTTATTATCATTATTATTATTAGTGGAACAAAAAAAAATTTGTATTAAAACTACTGCAAAAGTTGTTGTTGTTGTTGTTGTTGCTGTTCTTGATTGATCAAAATCTTTTTTTCCGTGCCAGATTGAATAATAATAATGATAGTGACATAACACACACACACACACAAATTCATTTAGTTGGTAATCTAATGTTTTGTCATTCATCACGATTTATAAATCTATATCATCGATCTAGATCTAATTTGTCTCATCTCATCACATTCACATTTGATGGAATTTGAACAAATTCTTGTGTTATTATTATCAACCTATAAATAATCCTATCGGATTGTATTTTTAAGTGTGTATATATTCCGGTATGTTGTACTTTTCTTCATCAAGACAATAGATTTTTTTTTTTTTTTTTGGTTGGTAGAGATCTTTTCGTGACCAAAACAATAACAACAACAGCAACAAAAAAAACTGTGGCCACCAGATCTCGAAAATTATTAAAAAAATGTATTCACGAAATTTGATGACCATCATCATCATAATCATCATTATCATTAAAATGTAAATGTCCAATGCCATAAATATAACGTGATGATGAATATTGATTGTTTTGACATTGAAAATGTCGTTTTTCTGTTCTTTTTTTCTTCGACATTAAGCAATGCATTTTTTTTGTTCTCGAAGACACAACAACAATGTTTTTTTGTTTCAAAGTTACATGACAAAAAAAAGAAGAAAACGTGCTAATTAATCAATTAATTAAATATACACACGTGCAACATTTATTTAAAATGTTTCCAACCAGTGTAAATGATGAAAAAAAAACATTGAAAACCTATTATTAATGAATGATGATGGCTTTTAAGTAAATGATGTACATTTGGTAAAGAATTTTTTTTTCTTTTTGGTGATTGTCTCAAAACATGGAGCAATTTAAAAAAAAGAACTACTTGGTTTATGCATTTATGTGTGTGTGTATGGAATTTATAATCAACAACAAAAAAAAACAAACGAAAATTGATTGTCCATTTGAAATTAAATAGTCTTATTATTATTATTATTACTGGCCAGAAAATATATATTCATCATCACCATCATGTAGATGATTATGTGACCATCTGTCATTTGTTAATTTGTAGGACACTCCTGTCTTGTGATAGTGTTTTCTTGTTGTTGTTGTTGTTGTTTTCCCAATTCTCTTTTTAGATGAGAAAAAAACAATGGATTCAAACAATATTGATTAATCATCAACAACAACAACAAAACATGGTTTCATTTGATTGAAAATGTTTTTTCGATTCAAAAAAAAAAATTTTTTTTTTTTCTTTTTTTTCTTGTTGACCAAAAATAAAAATTTCATGTTTTTGCCAAATGCATCATCAACGATCCGATTAATGATTGATCCAAGGCGTAGGCTTTTTTTTATTTTTTTTAAGCAGAAAAAAGATTTGAAAGAAAAAAAAATTGGACTGAAAATAGAAAAATTCACTGTTCAACATATATACATAGAAACAGAAATGATTATAATTATTGACACAAAAAAAATAGTGGTGATGTGAAAACAAAATCCGTTTCCATTTTTAATTTATATATATACACACACACACATATTAGGATGATATTGATTGATGTCATCGTAATCATCATTTTGTTTCGTTTTTTTTTAATTTGGAATTATGAAAATCCATTTTATTTTAGCAAAATCTAGCTATTTTTTTTCTATCATCATCATCGTCATCGTCATCTTAAATTTAAAAGACATTTTGGTATGCAATATCGTCATCATCGATTAATAACTTTGCCATCAATTATTTTCAAGGATTCAAATCGATTGACAGAAAATCTATTTTAAAAACCAAGATTTTAGAAATCAATCATTGATTGAATATTTTAAAGTTTTCCATATATTTTGGTGGTGCTGAACATGATGATGATGATGATGATGATGATTCGATACGGATTTTTGTGTACCTAATATATAGTTGGGCGTCATTGTTTTGTTTTTTTAAAAATGTCTGGCATGTTTTTTTGTTGACAAAAAAAGATACCAACCAAATTTCAATTTCCATATATCCTGACTGTAAATGAAACAAAAAAAAAGAATGGATGATGCTCAATAATGATAAATGTATTGTATAAAAATTGTTTTTGTTGTTGTTGATGGTGGTGGTCGGTTGGTCAGTTAGCCAGTCATCATCAACAACAACAAAAGCAACTCTTTTGGTTACGGTCCGATGAAAATTGACTGGAATTTTATTGTCGTTGAATCTGACAATGATAAACATCTCATTGACCATCATCATTATCATCATCATTATTCATTCACGCATCATCGTATATGTGTGTGTGTGTGTGTTTGTGACCTATGGCTTGTATTTAAATTCGTCGTCACTTGTTATTATCATGATAATTAAGCCATCGTTGTTGAATAATGATAATAATGTTTTTCTATTATTAAATCAAAAGATTTTATCATCATTAGAATTGTGTAGTAGTAGAAAAGTTTATGATTGTCTGAATATTTTTTTTTCAGAACAGGAAATATTCTGGAATTTTTTTTTTCGTTCAAGAAATACTCTTTAGTGAATGGTAATAGTATTAGTATGGTACTTGAATTGGAATGATAAATGCATAAAAAGTTTCACATATCTTTATAGTGTGCACCTTTTATGGACAACTGAAAATTCACAAAAACAAATAAATGTCAGACGAATCTCTCTGTGTGTGTGTGTGTGTGTGCGTGTAGGTGGAAATATTTATTCACGATTGTCGTCATTGAATATCTTTTGAGACAAAAAAAAACAATATTGTTGATGACGATGACAAGCAAACGATCCAAACGTTTTGATCATCTGAACTTTTTATTACTATATAACTATAGGTCTTTTATAGATAAAACAAACAAAATATGTTTTAAGGAGAATTTAAAAGATTAATTGTGAAAATATATCGTTCATTGTCATCATCGTCATTTTTCTATTTAAATTTTTTTTTTCATCATTATTTATGAATGATCTTTTAACCTGGTAATAATGACATGAGATATGTTGATGATGACGTATTATGGAAATATCGTTGTGTGTGTGTGTGTGTGTGTGTGTTTATGTGTGGGTGGATGAATAATATTCATTAAACGATGATTTTTAAACTTCATCATCATCATCATCATTGTTGTTGTCATCAAATCATTTGATGATAATGATATATATGAGTGATTGAGTGAGTGAGAGTGGAAATTTTCCGTAAATTTTTCTTTCCAAATGATCCGGGCACATGTTATAGGAATAGAAACGGATATTGGAAACGGGAGAAAAAAAACCCCGTTTACCTTTACACACTGACACATGCATGCATCCATCAGTGTGTGTGTGTGTGTTGTGTGTGTGTTTCGTTTCAAAAATTTTCGTTTTTCTTGAAAACCAACCAATTATCATCATTTCTTTTGTTCACCACCATCATCTTTGTCATTTTTTTTCTGCTTGGAATAATCAAACTATCTATGGTTTCCGTCATTTATTCATCAAAACAATCGATGATGATGATGATGAAGACGATGATGATAATTATAGGAGTCAAATTAACAGAAAAATAGGATTGTTGTTGTTGTTTGTTGTTGATCATCAATTTTTTTATGGCCATTTTTTTCTGTATGGTTCAATAACTTATTAGCTGCTGCTATTTTTTTTTTTCATTATTGATCAATTTTTCTGATTATCAGGGTGGTGGTATATTTATTATTGATTGATCTCAACATATATATAAAAGTTTATATCGATCGATAACTTTCTCTCTTTTTTTTGATGAAATTTTTTTTTCTTTATTTGATAAATCAAATAATGGTAAGCAAAACAACAACAACACTTGCCACTCACATACACATTTTTGACATTTGATTTGAATGTGTAAATTTTCAACATGACGACTTATTTTGTGACAATTTCCATTTATTAAGATTGACAAAATTTTAAATTTTTTTTTTTTTTTTTTACTCATTTCATCATCATCATCATCTATCACGTGGCACACAATGTGCAAACATACCAAATTACATTATTATTTGTCTCCATCTCCATCATAATCGAAAATATTTGGTGGTTAAAAATGGAATTTGACACACACACACACACTCACACAGAGACAGACAATGTCACAATACAAAGTAATTTACACCTGTTCAATATTTTAGCATTTTTTTGTGTTTCAAAAAAAAAAAAAAAATTTACTTCAAACACACATATTTTGCCATTTTGTTGATTATCTCTAAACTACTAAACTTGACATATTTTTATTCTTTGGCAATATAATAATAATCTACATCATCATCATCATTCATCGGTAATAAAAAAAAATTTAGCACATTCTCATCCATTTGGATATATATCATTTTTAATAGTTTTAATTTATGCCACATATTTTAGTCTATCGATTTTTACCGAAAAAAATTCTCATTATCTTAATTAATGATCAAATTGTGGTGCTGATGATGATGATGATGATGATGATGATGATGATGGTGATGGAAAATTTTCTTTCCAATCCAGGTCTATGAAATTGTTTTACATTTGTCTTTTGATGTTGATGATGATACACATACATTGTTTTCTAGTCTGGTATGAAAAACAAAACATCATTGTCCACTAATCAATTTTGATTGACTTTTGTGTTGACATTTGTTCTTTTTTTTTGCTTTATCAACAGCAATCACATTTGATTATCAGCAGCCAAACACACACACTTGCACATATATTTATCAATCAATCAACTAATTTATTGATTGATTGGGTAAACATTTTTTCTCTGACTTTTATCGTTTACTACCTGTATAACGGCAATTTTTTTTATGATGATGTAAAAAATTATCGCCAAACACGCCAATACTTTGAATAGATGATTGTGAACAATTTTTTTTCTACCACATATATATAAATATTAATGCGGTAAAGATGTCATATATCGATGACGTTTGGTTACGATTACAACTTCATTAATTCCATCATCGATCTTCATCATTCATCATCATTATTGTATCGATATATGATATACTCCTACACGTCAGGTAAAAAATAATTAATTTTTTTTATATTTGTCCTTTTCATACCGGTACGCGCGTATACACGTCTTTATTGCTGATTGACGCCATAGAAACGGTGGAAAGAACAGACAAAAAAAATTTTTTTTTTTTTTTGAATTGAATGTATTTGTGTAATCCTTTTTGGTGATACTACCACCGCACACCACCACCAACACCACCACTAACACCACCACCACAATAAACCAATGCCAGCAGCGATGCAAACTGAAATGAAAATTTTTGACAGATAGATTTTTTCAATCTGTTTTATTATTATTATCATATATGTCTAACATTTGTAAGCAGCATCAATTTTTTTTCGAAAAAAAACTAAGATTTGTCTCCACCACCACCACCATCATCATCATCATTGTTCATTAATGTTTTTCCTCATCATCCAACCAACCAACCAACCAAAAAAACCCAATTTGTCATAACTATGAACATTTTTTTTTCTCTCTCATCACCTAATTGAATTTTTGTTGTTTTTTTTTTTTTTTTTTCTCCACCAGAACATAGAATCATTGAATTTTCCAGAATCATATTATTATTGTGTTTATGAGTGCATGTGTTCATATGTGATGTTCTTTTCCTGTGATCATCGTCTACTGGCCATCATATTGTGTTCGATTTGAATATTTTATTATTTGGTGTTTATATGTGAATTCTAATTTGCAAAAAGAAAACAAAAACATACGAAAATGTTTTCAAAAATCAAAGGAAAAGTGTAAGTTTATCGATGGATTTTTTTTCAAAGTTTTTGTTGCTATAGGGAAAATTTTGTGTGTGTGTGTTTTGAATAAATTAAATTCATCTTACCATCACCAGTCTATTTGTAGGAAAATTTCATTGACAATTTCGATTCAGAGGGAAATTATTCATTGATTTTCCCACCACCTTTTCCCCAAAAGAGATCTTTTCTTTCTTTTTTTTGTAAAAAAATTTTTTCTAACATTTTTTTTATCGATATTCCCAGGCTTGGTCGATCAGGCAAAGGTAGTCTAAAAATCAAAATACCGGATACGACACAACAAAAATCAAATGGATCAACATTACCAGCCAGCACTAAAATCATTATGGATTCTTGTAAAGAAAATGTTGACCATAAAAGTTCAACACTTACACCTAATAATGTAGTCAAATCATCAATAACTGGTTCAATTGATTCATCACATACATCTGCTTCATCATCATCAACATCATCGAATAATTCATCATCATATCATACAGCAAATGATGTAGATTTCAATATAAAAGAATTGCTTGAAGGTCGAATCGATTTAAAAGTCCGTATTAGACATTTAAATCAGGAAACAAATTTTAGTGTTGAACGTCAGATGCCATTATATGATGTGCTGGTCATCATTGCCAATCAATTTAGTTTGAATCCAGCCGATTATTCAATCATTGCTTCTGCTGATGATGATGATCAAGGTGATGATAATGGAAACAAAACTCAAAAAATGATAACATTAAAATCAAATCCTGTCGGTTTAATTGGAACGGATCGAATTTCAATAGTGCCAAAAATACGTAAAAATCGTAACAATAATGGTCTTCCATTTACAAAAACAATTCGTTTCACAATAAATTTACCACAAAATCAATTGATGGTCAAACGTATTCAACCATCTACCAGTTTTCATGTGATCAAAGAAATGATTTGCAAAGAAAAATCTCTAGATTCATCACGTTTTTTATTAGTCAAACCGATTAAAAAATCTGAATCATTAGTAGTGATTGATTTGGACCAATCACCTGATGATTATGGTATAAATGAAGTGACTGTAATATCACAACGAAATTATGAACAATTAGCCAAACAATTCACAACCAGTTCACGTTCATCATTATATATTGGAATGAACGATGATATCGATGATAATGGCCATTCAAATCGTCTAAATGCTCAACAAAATGATTGGAGTCAATCAACGCCAAATTTATCAATTATGAATAGTATGAATCGAATGTCGACAACACAATCGGATACATGTTCGATTGCTTCATCTCGTAGTCGATGTTTTAAGAAGAAACCAGCACCACCACCTCCATTATTTCAGAACAATGGTCATAATTCATCACCAACCAAATCAGTACAAAATCTAAGCGTAATTCATGATGATGGCGAAGAAATTGAACAAGAGCCAGATACCGCACTTACATCCACACCATCGGATTCATATTTTGATTCATCGAAATTAACCAGATCAATAACAGCAGATGAAATAGTCGTTAAAAATCAACCAAAACCACAAAATACAAACATTAGTGATATGCATAAAATACGGTTAATTCGACAAAATTCTGGTTCTGATTCCAGTGGTTATCATGAACGACTATCACAAGCAACAAACGAAATCGACACACCAACACCAACCGATTCAAATTCACCACAGCCACCATCTTCTCTTTCACCTGTATCGAATAATTCTTCTGAACAATATGATGATAATCAAAAATCAATTGACATTGATGATACGGACAATAACAAACTAGTCAATGAGAAAACAATTCATTCATCATCATCATCATCACAAATAAAATTAGCTACTGAACCTCCAAAACCAGCATCAAGATCGTTAAAATCCAATCCATCATTTAATCACACAAATTCCAAAAAACGACGTGCTCCTATGCCTCCTGTACGTTCCAAACGATCCAGTCCAATTCCACCATCAACTACACCTACTTCACCTTCTCTACAAATAATTAGCTCGAATAATAATTCAATAGATTCATATAATAGTAGTAGTCGAATAGAATCACCATGTTGTACGGAAACAAGTGAAACAGAATTGCCAAATTCACTTTGTTGTTCAGAGGAATCTAATCAAGAGCTTCCATCTAAATCATTGAATCTGATTGATGAATTATCCGCAACAAGTCCTACATCACCATCGGTTACAGATACTATTGATCAAAATGAAAATGATTTTAAAATCGATACGCCAACAACAGATGGCGAAAGTGATGCCAAAAATGATTTACAAATTCAAAAAATTTCCAATAATCAAGATGAAGAACAATTTGTACAAACCACATTGAATACGACTGTGATTATGGCCGAAATTCATCATCAAGAACCTAATATTGTTGAAAATCGTATTGAAACCAACGAATTGAATAATATGGAACATACAAATGATGATGATGGCCCAAATGAAATTGTTGATGATAAAAAGGTCAATGTCGAAATGGCTACGGATGACGTTGTTGTTGTTGTTGTCGAACCTGATGTCGACCTAAATACAAATGATGGTAATTATAAAATATCATTTTCTTATCAAATTGCTTTAGGGTTTTTTTTCAATCGTTTTATTTTTTTTTTAATCTATGATTTGATCATAATTTCTAAACTTGAAATATATATATTGAATTAAGTTAATAATATTGTTTTAGAAACTGAAAACAACGAATGTAACAAAATATCGGACATTGTTTTGAATGAACAACAACAACAACAAAAAGAGATACAAAAAAAACGATCACGTTGGCTACAATTATTGGATGAATATGGCCAAGATGAAGACGATAGTAATAATGAACAAAATAATGTATGCACACATAATGATGGCCAACAACAATGTAATGAATGTCGTTATTATATTGAAAATTTTGATCGTTTACGTTTAAAATTTCAAAATTTGAATGATGATCATCAAACAGCGTCAACATCAGGTTTTTTTTTGTTGCTTTCATTCACTCTATCTATTCTCTCATGTGATGTTATGTGATGTGTTGCTATTCGTGTATGTGGATAGATAGGATTATCATTAAGAACCGGCTTCTAGATATAAATGTGATAAATGTTACTCTGTATAATTTTATTTTTCTTGTCCTTGTCACATGTGTGTGTGTTGTCTTTAGTAATTTTTTTTTCTAAATGTGTAAATTGAATCTATCAAACGTTATCAACTGTCATCTATCATAAATTGGTATTCACAATCTATATAGAAATTGAAATATTTTCCAACTACAACTATCCCGGTGATTCTATGTGTGTAATGGTAGGAAAAAAAGGATGGAAAAAAAATTCATCATCATCATATAGTTGCTATGGTCAAAATGATTTGTTTGTTGATAGATTCAAAATGATTTTTTTTTTTTTTTTTTTTTGTATGCACAGCCTCTAACTTTAGCGCTCCACTTTGATAAAACAGCAAACACACAGATATATATCTGATTTGATCCATTCAATCCTAATAAAATGGCTGAGATTATAAAATTTTTTTTTTTATAGAGTATGGTCATAAAAAAAAATTACAAAAATTTTACAGCCAAATGCAATGTGATGCTCTTTGATTTCTCTCGTTTCATTTTTTTTTTTTTTTTTTTTTTTGAAAAAAAGTGAGAACTATCTGATTTACCAATTTCCATTTATATGATGTGATAGCCGTTGTTAAAAACAACGTTTGTGGACACACGCAAACACACACTTGCACATGGTATTCGGATCCGTTTAAAAATTTTGATTGCAAACATTGTGGATTATATATCAACTACTATAACAATATGCGTCGTTTCATTTCATTGTTTGTTGCATCTGCCTTATGATCATATTCTGATCTATCAACAGTGATACAGTTTTTGGATTTGTTGATTTGATCCATACAGTTTTTTTTGTTGTTGGTTCAAATGAATGTCAGCGAGTGAAAACAAAAAAAAATATATAGTGAATAATAATCTGATAGAAAACACAATGTGCTGGAATTGGCTACGAATCATTTATAAACGTCTCCATTTTTTCAATGGTAACTATTTTGCTTACTTTTAATGACAGTGAATGATTTATTCTTCGATTAATTGATTGTGTGTGTGTGTGTGTGTTTGCAAGATGATCGAGCCAATAATCAGCTTAAATCAATTTTTATTCATCGATAATTCTTATTTTTTTACAGTCATTTTTTTCCTCAAATTCCATTGTCGTGTCTTGACAACAACAAAAACAATTGACATTGATGATAATTTTTACAGCCATCGTCATTAAAGTTTATGATGATGAAAACAAACAAACAAACAAATAAAAAAAATCCTTGTACAATATCTTTTGACAATTGAAATTCTGAAAAATTGTCGATTGTCTAATTACCAAATCATTTGTTATAACGGAACCTATTTCGGCAAACTTGTTTGGTTATTTTTAGCTATAAATATTGATAAAAATCTATCATCATCATGATTAATTTTTGATGATGAATTTTAAAAACAGTTTCGTTTTGCAATTTGCATATTTTTTTTTTTTTTTTTTTGAAACTTGTTGCATTAATTTAATAATTTTTTTTTTCCTATTTGCTTTGCTCTGATAACATTTTCTTACATTGGCATTATTATTTATTGTTTAAAGGTGTTGACATGATGATGAGGTTTTTTTTTTGTTCTTCTAAAGTACATCAAACAGATTAATTTCGGATTTGGAACAAAGGTTTCCCAGCACCGTGAAGCCACATAAAAACACTAGTACCGATTAGCACTATGATTAGCATATCCATTATCCGCGTTACTTGTATTAAATCTAATAACGATCGTAATTGGTTACATATAATAATAATAATTACCATATATAATGAGCAACAAGTAATTTTTATTGATTTTATATTTTCAAATAACAATCATAATCGAAATCGAATACGATTGATGATTGTCCCGACAACAATAATATAATTAAATTGTATATACATTTTGTGTTTGTTTGTTTGATGGATTCAAAATGAATTTTCATTCATTACTTTCATTTTTATCATTCTCCATCTCTCTCTCTCTCTCTCAGATTGATATTGAGTAAAGAGCTTCCTAGTTTTTCTCTTCAATTATATCCAATTAAATTATTTCGACAATCGGGATAAATCACCAAAATCACATTAATCGATTGGCTATAGACACTTGTTGTTGTTGTTATTGTTGTGGTTGTTGTTAGATGTACGTAAAAACTAAAATTTCGATTCAATCAATTTTTTTTTCTTTTTGATTTTCAAATTTTTTTTTGTACTTTAATTTATTCGTTTTTGGAGAGAAAAAAAAGCAAAGTTACGTCAACTTTTTTTTTCTCTACTACTAATCATCATCATCATCATCATTATCATTATAATCGTTATGTTTCATCGTTAGTTCCAATCATCCTTGGTTCATCATCATCATCATCATCATCACTTGTAGAAATTCATTTTTTATGTGTGTGTGTGTGTGTTTGTGTATTTCATTCGAATGAAATCTTCAAATTTGTTTTTGATTTGATCATATCGTCGTTTTTTTTATTATTATTATTGTAAATTTCGTCAATTACAATTGTTTGATGTTCATAGCTGATATTTCGTTTCATTCATTCATTTATTTGCCACATATCATTGTCATTGTTGAAAGTTTTGAAATTTTTTTTTTCTTCGGAAAAACTCATCATCATTATCAACATTCTCATTGGATCATCGGGAAATGTTGTGCAAAGAAAAAAAAAAATTTTTTTTTTCTCATTTTCCTAATCGTTTTGTTCGATTCGATTTGTTGTTGTTTTCTAATATTTTAATCTCAAAAAAATTTTCGAATTTTTTTTGATCACCATTTATCAATCTTAATTTTATTCGTATTATATATATATCGTATATCCAACAAATGCTGTAGATCAATTTTCTTTTGTCTTATTATTCAAATCTGTTAAACTAATTTTTTTTTCTCTGCCTGTGTGTGTCTATGTGTCTTGCGTGTTTGAATAATCGTTCTTTTTTTTCATCCATTTTAATAATTTCATTATTATATCATTAATCTCTTGTAGGTGAACAAAAATCAGTGCAAAACGACAACGAAACAACAACGATAAAAGAGCCTGAAGTGATTGACGGCAATATTAATGAAAATTATTATCCTGCGCATCAACAACAACAACAACAGCAGCAGCAGCAACAACAACATCAATCAGACAACAGCGATAAAATTGATGTCGATGTTCAAACAGCCACAAACACCAATGATAATAACAAAAATGGTATTGTTACCGTTGAATTAATCGATAAAATTGCCAACGGTAACCAAGTTGACAACGAAGAAATGAAACAAAAATCTGTTGATGGTGGTAGTGAACCACTTGTTGTCGTTTCAGATTGGCAACAGCGATCATCAACATCGAACAATGATGTTAAATTCACATCGATAATTAATAATGATAAAATTAATGGAAATAAAATCGAAACCAACAATAATGACCCAATTGGAATTTCGGAAAATCTTGATGAACAAGTAGAAGTTGCGCTAAATGAATTGAATAATACATTAGATCAATGTGCAGCCACAAATTCATTCAATGATGATGAGGATGTTGATGGTAAAATGTCATCAACAAATAGTTCTCATATTAATGTTAATGATCAAATTAAAACAACAACAACACAACCGACTTCATCATCAACACAATCATCATCTGGTCGTACAACCAAAGTAGTGATTAAATCAATGTACGATAATAATAACAATGGTATCAATCGATTATCATCCAGTTCATTTTCCGTACGTGATGGTATACGTAAATTTAATACTATAAATGTTTCAAATCAAGATTTATCTAGTCTACGTTCAACAGTGAATCCATTCGTTCGACGATCAACATCGAAAATTTGTCATGATGATTGTGATGAAATGCCAAAAGTGAATAGAAAATTAAAAAATTTTCAAATTGGTTCATTCGTTGAATGTCGTCCGGCTGTCGATATTTATCAACAGAATAAACCAATGATAATGACCAATGTTGTTCAAAAAAATAATAATAACAATAATACGAAAACTTCATCAACTGTAATCACAATCAATTCAACGAAAACAACAGCTACCATAATCAATGGTGTTGCGAATAATTTATCATCTGTTGTTGTCTCGAATAATAATAATAATATTAATAATAATAATCATGATGATAAATCAATGAGGAACCAAAAACCAGCCTTAATAATTAAGGATGATCATGATAAACATCATAATTATAGCAATCAAAGCAATAAATCATCAATATCAGCGAATAATATAGAACCAACAACAATAGAACAGCGTCCAAACAACAATCGACCAATGTCGGCCTATGTAATCAACAACAATAATCTGAATGATGATAAAAACAGATTCGCAAAACAACATTCGAATGGCTTTGCAACCAAATTGTCACCATCCTCCTCATCATCATCTTCGGCAACAGATTTCTTACAAGAACTTAAAATCAAAAGTAAAACCTGGAGTCATCGTAATGGAATAGAATTCTCAAATGCAGCTTACGATGAAGTCGATGATCAAACGTCGGAACCAAGAAAGATGAATGGTTCTGTTTTCAATGAGCGTAAAAATGACGATAGTATATCGATTCCAACTTCGGCGCCGCCGCCACCGCCACCGCCACCACCACCACCACCAGCACCATCACAATTAATACAACCAGTCAATCGTATGGTTACATCACAGAAATTGTTTGCACCGAAAGGATGGAATCAAAATGGTTCGGCAAAACCGGGCAATATTCGTTCACCATTACGTAGTATTTCGATGGATTTATCGAAAACTAATAAATCGCCAGTCGATTCTCGTTGTGCACTTTTGAATGAAATTAAAAATTTTCACAATAATTCCCGATTAAAAAAGGTAATGCAACATGTTCAACATTGATGATTTTAGATTAATTTTCGAATTTTTTTTTCTTCGTTGTTGTTTAGGTTACAAGCAATCAGCCATTCAGTCTAAAAATGAACTGATTCCTATGAAAAATGTTTTATCCTCAATCATGACAATCAGATTTATTTACCCCCAATTCATTATTGTGATTTCCTTGTTTTATGAATTTGTTTTTTTTTCTTTTTTTTTCTCTCTTCATAAACATAAAACATTGTCACACACTATCGCGTTTGACATCATTATCGTTCACACATTATTTGTTTGATCTATTGTCTTTTTAATCAATGCAATCTTTCATCTTTTCCGATTTAACTGGCCTCAGAATTTTGTTTTTTTTATTATTATAATAAATGTAATAAAAATGAATTTATATGCAAAATTAATCATTGGTGTTCATCATCATTTTATTATTAATTAAAATTAAACGGTCTATTCAATTTATTCAATTGCCGAAATTGCCTATGATATAAAAAAAATGTTTTATCTTTGTGCTAGAATCAATGGAAACACCCTGACAAAGAGTGCTGCTTCATCTGTTAGCCATCTGTTAGCAGATAAAAGAACTATGATTCAGCTATTTTTCAATTTCAACTTTTTTTTGACAATTTCATCATTTTTAAATTATAAAAGTGAGTCAAAAAGTTTATTTATTTAAAAAAAAATTTGGCAGATGAAAAAAAAATTTACACTTTGTTATAATAAACAATCATCATTATTATTATTTTTGGTACTTTTTATTTAGTTAATTATAAATGGCCTAATTCGATGAATTAAATGATTTATTTAATTAGTTAAGTTTGTGACAAAGATTGCTGTTGACGTAGAATCGAAATGTTACGATTTATCTCATTCAATTGATCCTTTGTGAAATAAAAAAACAGAAAATATGAAATAAATTGAATAAATGTTTATACACATTTTGTTTGATTACCTTTAGTTTTTCAACATTCAATTTTACCGAATCTTTAGCCAACATATAAGAGCTAAGACGGTCGATACCGAGTTGTCGTCGTTTATGATACCGTTCTTCCCAGGCTGTCAATAACAAATTGTAATAATGGCATGAATCAAAGTAATTCAGATAATAACGACTATTCGATGCTGGAAATACACGACAAAATTTTCCACAACGGCTCAATTCATCTTCTGATTCCATTAAATGCATCACATCATCATCGTTCAATTGGTCAATCAAATCATTCGAATATACATCATCAAATCCTTTAGTTTTAAAACATTCTTCAAATTCATCATGCTAAATGGTTGTGGATGAATCAAATTATAAGTTACATGTGAGTGATTAAATAATAAAAAAATACCTTATCTTTATCAGGAATGCTCATCTGCGCGAAAAGATCATTCTTTTCCGGACAAACAAAAGAACCGAAATTATAATGTCGTCGAAAACGTGGTGATAATTGATAGCCCAATGTATTGAGAATATCACGTACTAATTGATTTTTAACGGAAAAATCCAGCACAGAATCGGCACGTAAACTAGGTGTAATGTTTACTTCTAGTAGCCATAATTTTAGATTTTCATCCAAAATAATATCAAAGCCAAGCAATTCAAAACAAGAACGCCGATTTTTTAGATTTTGTTTAAGCAATGTCAGAATATTTGATTCGGAACTGATCACAGTTTTTACGATAAGATCAATGATTTGTTGCCATATTTGATCTACATCCAAGTTTCTTGTCATTGATAAATGTTTCCATAATGTTTTCAATGTCCATTTATGGCCATCTTGACCATCAACATTACTGCTTGGTACATATTCTACACAATTCTTATTCACACTATAATTGGTGAGATGAATAAATTGATTTTTGATATCATCAACACTATTCGAATAACGATTAGCAGCGAATCGTACAAGACCTTCATCATAAACATAGACACGTAATGGTAATATTGATGTTATCAACACATAGACACGAAGATCAAATTTGGCATCATTATGCAAAAGGAATGGATTGGAAATGTATTCTTGCACCACCATCGATACTTTTGGTTTACGTGAATTACTTCCATTACCATTGGAATTTTGTTTAGACATTAGAACATGTAATTCTTCCATATTTGAAACAATATCTATTCCTTGTCCACGAGCCGATGCCGGTGGTTTACAGATGAACATTTTCGGTTGTATATGACCATTACATTTTTCCGATGATTTATGATTAGTAAGTATCGATTCATCACTATTCCAATATGTAACTAATGATGAATAATCATTTGGCATAATGAATGTAGGTGGATGAAAATTTCCAAACATATCGACACCATGTTTTTCTATTTTTGATTTCAGATTAAGCCATAATCGATCTTTACGTCCAAAATTAAAACTACCAGGAAAATGATTAACACGTTGATAATAACCGATTAGTTGAAATTCATTAACACGTAAATGTTTACACCAGATAGCATTCCAATTGTTGAATGTTTTGTTTTTAGGATTACGATCAACTGTTATATAAAAATGAAAGAGAAAATAAAACCAACTTTAGAAAATTTAAATAAAATTTGAAAAAACAAACCAGGCATAAGTTTGTATCCAGATCTGACTACAATCGAACGCATCGTATTGGCCGTTATACTAGTCATTTTCCAACGTAAAAATGATTTCACTTCTTGTGGAACATCGGAAACTAATAAAAGAAAAAAATTGATAATCACTTTCAAATAATTCAAATCATTAATGAATACTTACGAACATCATCTTCAGAAACAAAATATACAGTAGGATACATCAATGGAAACATAGAAGGCTGTAACATATAAGGACGCTTTTTTGAATCATCAAGTCTTGGAAAGATAGTTAATGATAATTCATCGAGTGAAGAAGCCATTGTTTGATCGGCGGATTCTGTCGATTTATTAGGTTGTCGTCGATCACAGATTTGTAATTGGTATCGAATTATTTGTGCCATCATTTCGAAGAATATTAATTTAGTATCTAAAGTTGGTGTTTGAGTACCGGATGATTGCGATGAAGATGTGGAAGACGAATGATTTGTATCACCACCACCACCACCAACACCATTTGTAATGAGTACATTTGAATGATTATAGCCATTTTCTTGACCATTATGTATGGCACCATTTTTGCCTGAAATTGAGGTAGTATCTACATTTGATTCGATCATTTTTGAATTTTCAGTTGTATTTTTCTTTACATTTTTGTCGTCCATATTAGTTTCAGAAAATAATGAATTGAGATTGTTTAACAAATTGATGATGATCAAAAGTAATGGTGAATAAAAGTTACAGAACGAAAATGAAAAAAAAAGCAATCAAAGGAATGTAGTGTAAAGAGAAACATATAGAATGTTATTTATGATGAAAAAATCTTCAATGCCATAATCATCGAATTGCTTTGAAAATGGTTGATCATCCGTAATATTCTGAGTATTTCTGATCAAACTAGTGTTTAGTTGATATTCGAACGAATGTGAAGGCTTCACTTGTGGACTTGCACGTGTTGTTGTTAAAAAAAAAGTCGACAACTTGATGTCTGTCTATAAGTTTTTCGGGGTTATAGTTGCAATATATTCTTGTTGATAGTTCAATGCCAAATATTTACGAAATTTGTCTTTTATTTTTTGAGTATATAATTTATCATGTTCAATAGACTAGATCAGCGTGTATCCAGTGTATGAGAGAGAGAGAGAGAGAGGACAGAATAAATCACTAGCCAAACAAACAGAATTTTATGATAATGTTATTTATTCAACCAAGAAGAAGAAGAAGAATAAAATGGAAACATACCATGCCAAAATTTTATAAATTTTGAATAGAATTCGTGCCAAATAATGTCACAGTGATATAGTTTATTTGTCAATGAAAATGATGATACATCACACACACACACACACACACAAAGACTTTAATGGAATATATAAACAATTAATGATTCTATCGATGATGATGGACTAAAAAAAAAAGTTTGAGGACTTATTATGGAAACAAAGAGGAGCAATCTTATTATTATCACACATAAACACTTATCAAAATTAAACAATGTACAATTGAATTCTTGTGTGTATGTGTGTGTGGATAGCACATGGATTCATCTGAATTGCAGCCGACACACACACACACATCGTTCTTATTCTAAACTCATCTGCGTGGAGACAAAAAAAAAAAATTTTTTTTTGTTGTTGCATTATCCACTAGATGTCAGTATTAATTGATTTTGAATGCGGGAAATTTGAATTTAAGAAAAAAAATTGAATTTGTTCAATTAATTAATTACGATTTTATTTAACAATCGTCATTTATTTTTTACTTCTTACATTTACACACGCACACACACACACACACATGAACAAATATTTCCATTAGAAATAATAACAATAATAATAATATAATATTATACAAAATCATAGGATGATGTTAAATTTCCTAGTTGATAATTGATTTTTGTTCCATTCCCGGATTTAATGATCTAGTATTTACCGTAACCGTAACCGTAACCACCATAATAGCCACCACCCAAACCATAACCATAACCGCCATAACCGCCATAACCGTAAGCTGGAGCATAAGCTTTGGTGAGGATTGGTGCAGCAGCATAGGATTTAACAATTGGAGCAGCAATAATTGGTGCAGCATAGCTTTTGTAAATTGGAGCGGCAACGACTGGAGCAGCATAAGTTGGAGCTACGGCATATGATTTGGTGATAATTGGTGCCGAATAGCTGACCACCGGAGCATATGGGATGGCAGCAGCAACGGCGATAAGAGCAGCGAAAGCGATCTATGAAAAAAAATAATACAAAAAAATTAACTAAAAATCATCAACATTATGACGGGAAAAAAACTTACCAAGAATTTCATTTTGGCTAGTTTTTTTTTGAGTTTGTTTGTGTATTGAACACGAATTGTGATTAAGATTTGTTTGTTTCGTTTGATGGATCAATTCACTGCAAATCGATGAGCTTTTATACTATTGTGAAGACAGCAACAACAACAACAAAAATTCTACAAATTCAAAGTAGAAGTGAATGAAATTTCAACACAATGGAACAAAAGAAAGTCTAATTGTAGGAGGTGGTCAACAACAAAATAAACACATACAGACAGACATACCATACATATAACATACCTTTGTTCCAAGTTTGTTTTGGATCATTTTCATTTCCCTATTCATCATTCAATTAATTTCAATGTCTTTTTCTTATTTCTTGTAATTCATTCTACGATAATGCATAGATATACTAGTAAACACCTGTATGTACAAGTGTGTAGGTCCAATTTTTTTTATCGCTTTTTTTCCAATTTACTTCACATTCTGATTCATTTCCATATGATTAAAATTCGATATTTCGATCAATCGATCCATTCATCGATGAATTGGATAAATAATCATCACTATTACTTCTGCTACTGCTGCTGTTGGTGGTCGTGGTGGTCAACAATGATTGGTTTTTCCCACCTTTCTTTCATATTCCATGAATAGCTGTTTTTTTCAAAAAAAAAAAAAAATAAAAAATAAAAATAAAAATTGCACATAAAAAAGATTTAGAGATTTTTGTGTGTGTGTGACTAAAAGGCAACAGTTGATGTTTTTTTTTTTGGCAAACATCCTTGATGATCGTCACATTTTTTTTCTCATCGTTATTCGATGTCCATTTAGTTGGATACTGTTAAATCAACGAACAAGACAACGATGACGACTACAGCATACAGTTTTGTATAATTATACATTGTCAAACGTCGAATGTTGTGTGTGTGCAAGTGTTTAATAAAGCATCTCCATTGAGATTAGCTATTTTGATCGATTAATCAGAAGAAAAAAAAATTTGATTTACATTTTCTCTGTATTTCTGAGCTATTTTCAATGTTGACATTGGAATTCATTTTGTTTTTTGAACAAGTTTTTCTTTGAATTTTATCATTCGATTGATTCATTTGAAATCGATTATTATTAATAGATAGATAGATCAATATCGATGAATAAATTGTCAATTGGAAATTTCAGAATTTTTTTGTTTGTTTATTTGAAAAAAAAAAATTTTTTATTTCAATTTCAATCTCTGTTTTTTTTTCATTATTCATCAAAGATTTAAATTTTTTTTCTCTGAGGTTTTATTTTTATCATTATTGCAGATTTGAAAAAAATAGAACACAAAATAAATGGTTTCAGGTTGTTTATAGGATAACTGATGGATGAGGATAGATTTCGGCTGAATTTTCTTGCAGATTGATAATAATCATCGATTATGGATTAGTTTTAACCATAATATCTTTTTCCATAACCACGAGAATAGCCACCACCATAAGATCGATATGGACGATAGGCACGAATGTAACCACCACCACCATAACCACCTCTTCGATACAATCGAATACCGCTTACGGTTGAAACGGCAACAATTAAAGCAAACAATAAGAACTGTAAAAGACAAAAAATTTTTTAAAAAATTGAATTTTTTTCATAAAAAAAAAATTTCACTTACAAAGATTCGCATTTTGGAAATAAAAAGTTTAAAGTTTTTTTTTCTTACGACAGAAAAAAATGAAATTTGAAGCAAAAATGATTATCAATGGTTTTTTTTCGTTTTAATCTGATTGATGATTTTTTCAAATTCGATGCAAGCCATATTTATATCGATCGCCCAAAAATTTTCATCACAAAAAAAACAAACTAAATATGCTATGAAGAAGGTTATGATGATGTCGTTTTTGTTTATTAATTTGTATTGAATAAGTGCATATTCACAGGATTTTACACTTTTTTCAGGTGGATCCTCGTCCTTATCATCAAATATGCAAACGAATGAATGACTTGAATATCTGGATCACAAGGATCCTGAAAAAAAAAATTTTCCAAGACATTGATCCGAATTGGTTGAATAAATTAATTCATTCTGGATTGGAAACAATGTCAGAATGTTTGTATCATCATCATCATCATCATCATCAAAATAGCCATGAGGAAAAACATTGAAATTTTTTCAGTTTAAAAAAAAAATGAAGATGGCTATGAACTTGAAAACGTTTGGTGAATGTGCTGTCTCATCATCATCATCATCATCATCATTATTATTTCATGGATCAACAATCTTTAACATTCAATCAATTAAAGAAAGGCCAAAAAACTAATAAAAAAAAAAAATAGTCAGATGACTGGTTTGTAGTTAGTCATATATGAGGTGATTGGAACAAAACATTCTACGAGAAAAAAAGGGACAAATTAATTTCCAAAGTATCTTCATTCATATTCAAACAGAACAGGAAAAAAATCGATACGCTGTTCAATGACTTGAATCTATAGATACAAAGATAGCATAGGATAATGTATCCTTCGATTGATTTGTTCTTCTAATGATATGTTTCTGCATTCATAAATCGTTAGGTTCTGCCACGGGCAAACAATGTTTTTTCATTCATTCATTCAATCATTCATCAATCAATCAATATAAATATGCATTTATAATTTAATATAAATGCATTGTTCTTGAAATTTGAAAAAAAAATCGTCGTCGTTTCACACGCACACAAATATTGATTATGTTGATGATGATCACATCACATGTTGTTTGGCCATGTTCATCATATTGCGATTTTCACCCGACTAATGGCACTAATTATTTATGCAAACTGTGAAAACATCAAATAAACCTGAAACGGAAAATGTTACAAATCAATTAATAAAATTAAAAATGGTAATAAATAATACCCGTGGTTTAGGTTTGTTTCTTTATTCAATCAAAATGATCATTTTTTTTGATGAATTTCGTGTTTCTTTCAAGGTTTTCACGGCACGTGGCTTTTCTTTGCTGTTTGATGAAAATTTCGATAAATAAAAACAGACACATACACACACATCGTATATGGAATGTTTGATGTCATTGATTGATTACTATTGATGATCAATGATGATTATGGACATTTTTTTTTTGTTTTGTTTTTGCAATACAATCATTGGTGGTGGTGATGATGGTCAGGATATCAAAGAAAAAAAATATGAAAAATAAATCCAGAAGAAAATTTTTCAGTTTTTTGTATTTCTTCATTTTTTTGTTTAAATCTTCTTAAAAATAATATATCGATTCTTACCACACAATGGCTGAATGAATGACCTTCGGTAACAAAAAAAAAACAATAGGAAATGAAAAATTTTACATTGGGGGACATATTAACAAATCGGATTTCAAACCTGCAAAATTCTATTTTTGTCACCCATTAAAAATCAGACAGTTCTTTCATATATATTCTTTGCTTCTGGAATTTTTTTTTAATTTTATGTCTTATCGGCAGTTGTATATATTCACATTTGATTTGCCTTGGTGATAGTGATGAGATCAATGGAAAGTTTCAAGAAAAAAAAACTTCAATATATGATTTCTGAATCGATGATTTGATGACTGGTACCATTATTTCTCATTGGTCATCATTGTTGAAGAAAAAAAACAAACAGATACAGATGTTTGTAGGTCTGAAAAAAAACGATTTTCATCATTCATTCATTCATTCATTCATTCAAGGTGACATCAATTATCCCACGTGTAGGTTTTTCTAAATGAAACAAATAAAATGAAAAGAAAAATTTAGCATCTGAAAATCTGTACAACAACAACAACAAAACAAGAACAAGAAATTTGCCAATTTTTTGCGTGTGTGTGTGTGTGTGTGCGACATTGAAATGAATACAACTAGGAAATTGTGGAAAAAAATTTTTTAAAAATCAAATTTTTTTTTGTTTGTTGTTGCAATAATTATAAATCATAAATATTATGCATACGGCTATTATTCAACGATTAGTCAATTGACATTGATATGATTTCAGTTTTTTTTTCGTTTTATTTATTTGCAAAAGTAAAATTCAAAAAAAATCAAAACAAAACAAAACATAAAAATTCAAATAATTTGTAAATCGATGACCAATAAAGGTGAAAATAGTATTTCTGAAAAAAAAAGATTTGCCTGTGTATAACAAATTGCTGACTAAAAAAAAAATGGTAAAACTTGAAATAATCAGAAAAAAAATTCTGAATAGGTTATATGATTCAACAAAATTCAAGCCGAAACAAAAATAAAATGAATCATTATTCTTGATATTGTGCCAACAAAAACAGCAACAAAGTTCATTGACATCCAATCATCCATAATGATATCATATGCAATGGTCAAAGTTCAAAAATATAAACAACCATCGTATGGATTCGGCCAAGCGTTAAATACATTTCATGCCAACACGACAGCAACAAAATGGATGATTTTCTAAATGAAATTGTTTATTTCGATCTAAAATAAGTAAGTTTTTTGTTTTTAATTTCACTGTAATTAAAATAATGGCTTTGGTGGTGGTTGTTTTATTTTTAGTTTATTTTTATTTTTATTTTTTGTTCGAATCTAGACACATGTTTTACATCATAACCAGAATCATGAATTGCCAATTTGATGGAAACAGCAACATTGACAACAACATCATCATCATCTATGGTTTCACTTGTTGTGTTGACGGAACGTAATAATAGCCCGTAATAATTCTTACATCAAAGATTATATTATTAGATTAGAATATTCTTACACCCACCACTACACACACTAGTCACATATTCTTCGGAAATACCACTACTTGATGCAATTATTCTTGTTCGTGGTAATAAAAAAAACGAATGATGTGATTTGTAAAATGAAAATTTCATTCACTTTTAGTGATCATCAACTTTCGAGTAAAAAAACTGTTAATTTTTTCTTGCTGTTGTTCATCATTCCTGGATTTAGTTAAGTGCGTCATAATCATCATCATCATTCAATTACAATAACCGTTAATAAAATGGCCGAAGAAAATGATCAATCAAAATTTCGTTTACCCGGACTATATGGCAATACTGATCTCAATTCACGAATCAATATGTTTCAAGAACAGGCAGAAAAACATAAGGAAAAACAAAAACTTAATCCATTTTCCGGTTCATTCGATGCAGTAGCTGCGGCTAAACAAAAATTGAATAAAGAAGATCCAAAGTAAGTTTTTTGCTAAATTTCTGAATACTTATAAACTATTTATTCATTCATTCATTCATATTCATAGCTATGGAAAACCAGTAGAAGGTTCAAAAACCGAACAACGTGGTAAACAGGCATCACAATTGATTGCAAATGAAATCAAATTATTGACAGAAATTATTCAAAAACATGGTACAATGAATGAAGAATCCGACAACAAAGAAGTTACAATTAAATTCAAAGAATTATTTGAATTATATAAAGTAATCTCAAGTAAAGTAGTTGGTCTATTATTACGTGCACGTAAACATGGCCTAGTACGTTTTGAAGGTGAAATGCTTTATCAAGGTCGTGATGATAATGTTATCATTACGATGGATCCATCGATCAAATTGGAGGATATTAATTTTGATTGAAAAAAAAAACACAAACTTTAAAAACCAAGATTATCTCATTTTTAATATTTATAATTCAAAATATATTAAAATAAACGAAAAAAAATGACAAATTTTCATGTGTCAAAAGTGTGTGTGTGTGTGTGAGTGTGTGTGAATTAATGATGAGTGAAAAAAAAAGAAAAAAAAACAAATGGAAATTTTGGTTCATGTTAATCATCATATCGACCTATAACAAGAAATGTAATGTGATAATTGAAATGAAGAAAAATGAAATAATAAATGAAAATCAGATCAAATTAGATGAACGAGACCATATGAGTTTTTTCCGGATATTTTTTTTTTTGAAAAGTTTGTATTTGTCCAAAACCAATCCGACTTTTGTGATGCATATAAGTTATGTGATGTGTGAATGATGTGAAATAAGATAGAAATGTCTTTTATTTTTAACACACATGTGTTTCAAAACAAATCTGGAAATAATTCATGAAGATCAGAATCAAAAGTCATCATTTCATCGATTGATGGCTGTAGATTATCTTCACTAATGAAATCAATTTCATTAGGATATTCTTTGTCAATGTTTGTTGGAAACAAAAGATCAATATCTGGATCGATATTTAAATTTTCCAAATTCAGAATATTATTTTTTTGATCATCATCCAATGCAAATAGATTAAATTGTTGAGTTGTTGTTGCTATTTTGACATTATCGATTTTGGGTGTCGATTGAATCGGTTCAGGTGATGACATTGATTCATAACCAATATCACTATTATCCGATGATGATGGTTGTGGTGAACTAAGCTGATTATGTTTAATATTCAAATCATTATTATTTTGGTCCATATTAGACGTGACCATTGTATACAATGTAGGATTGATTGCATAATCATGATCGATTATAATTGAATCATTAGCTAAATCCGTAGCCGTACATGTTTCCGTTGATATTGTTGTATTAATGTATTCAATTGGCATTGTTTCGCCAATTCCGATAAACATTGGCTGAATTCTAGATCCATTTCTTGAAGATAATTTTCGTTGTTTAATTGAATCTGACTCAATTGTTTTAATACCAAATTGATTATCGGTTCCGTTATTGATTGACTGTTGCTTTTGTTGTTGTTGTTGTTGCTGCTGCTGTTGTTGTTCGAATTCAGTGAGATTGTAGCCAATAAAACCATTAAAAAGTTGGTCAACTGCTGTAGCGAGCAAGTCTTCATTTGCGGTTCCTTTAACGATTTCTGATGTTGATGATGATTTTGTTTTCCGATTGTTTTGTCGATAGTTACCAATGGTTGGCGGACATTTTCCATTTTTCCATCCTTTTCGGCCAATACTTGCACCTTCGGCTGAGGAACATTAATGAGTTCGGCTGACTCAAAAGCATTAGCCGTTGAGGTGGATGAATAGTTATCCGAACTTTGGTAACTATCTTCATCACTACCATCAACATAATCATCATCATAATCATCTACATCATTATCATCATCTTTAATAGATTTATCATCATCATCATCGTCGTCATCAATATGACTATTTTTATATGAATAAAATAATTCCATTGTATCATCGGATTCTGGTTCCAATTTGATTGGTTCGATACCCAATTTTTTCCTTAAATTATCATTTTCTTCAATATAAAGTTTTAATTTTTGTTCCAAATAACGATTACGTTTTATCAAATCATTACGTTCTTTACCCAAATGATTATTCTCCTTTTCGAGATCCATCATTTTCTTTTTCTTACGATCACGTGCACTTTGAGCGGCCATACGATTTTTTAATTTTCTATTTTTTTGAAAAATGAAATTATTTATTAACAATCATCAAACAATTACAGATTGATTTACAATTACCTTCGCATGACCTTTTGTTCTTGTGTCAGATGATCTAAACGTTGACGTTTACGTTTCGGTTTTATTTGTTCCGTCGCCATCTTATCACCATCATCATTTTGTTGGGTAATACTGCTATTTAATGATCGTTTATGATCACCACCACCACCACCACCAGCACCGACGAGCGAAGAATCATTAATTATCATTTTCATTGCGTTTGATGATGATGATGATGATGATTTACAAACAAAATTATTGGATAAAATTAATCTATCTATTTGTTTGGGCAATATGGTTGCGGTCATAGTTGTCGTTGACATTCACCGAATGATAGAGAATAAGTTAGAGTTTAACAATTAAAATGTTAAATTTCTTAATTTATAATTAAAGATCTTTTGGTCATTGAATCGTTTGAATGATGATTGAAATCGAAAATTCATTTCAAATAATAATAATTTACTATATGTTCCAAACGGATTTGTTTTGGTAAAGTAAATGGAATTTAGAATTTTTTTTTCTTTCTCTCTATTCGATAAATATCTTCAGTTCAATAATCCATATTTTCTTCTTATTCGTAGAGTACCAAAATGAACAGTGAAAAAAAAATGATGCAAAAATCAAGTAAAAAAGATCAAGTGAAAAATAAAATTAAGAAAACTAAACAAAAAAAAAATATGGCAGCAGCAGCAGCAACAACAAAAAAAAACTTCCAACGCATCAAAAAAAAAACGCAATGCAATGAAAATGAGCAAGCAAAATAGAAAATGTATATATAAAAGAATTTACAACGCATTGCATGAGAAAACAACATAATGGAAGAAAAAAAAATTCGAGATAACCACCACCACCACCACCACCAACAATCACCATCCACTACATATATTTAAAAGCCGGTGATGGCTATAAAATAAGCAGCAGCACTATTTTGTGTGTGTGTATTGTGACTATAAATGTCAATGTGTGTTAAATGTCGGTGTTTAAACAACGATTGACAACAACAACAACAACAACAACCTCGCCCATTTTTTTTTTTTTTATTACGTTCTATTTTCGCTTCATTATCTCACCATTACAATGATGATTACACAAAAAAAAAAAAAAAATTGATTCATCATCATCATCCATAATCTATAAAAATAGTCATCATTGTAATATATATAATATATCCTCTGCATTTGGTGATAAGGTTGACATGACATGACATATGATGATCTTTAATAAATGACAAACAATTTTTTTTTTTTTTTTTTGAACAATGGCTGCAAAAATAAATATAAAAAATGTTGAGGACATTTTTTTTATTTATGATTTCCATGAATTTTATTTATCAAAATCGAACCAACAAAACAACAAATCGATACATAAAATATTTAATAATCTATCATCATTATCATATACACACACACACAGAGAGAATTGTATTTATCGATCAGACAAAAAAAAATTGATTTGATTAAAATATTTTTGTTGTTGTTGTTGTTAATGATGAGAAAAAGGGAGTGTTCACTGTGTTAGTTTTTTTTATTTTAACAACATTGCATCAGACAAGTACACTGTAATAATAAACAGTTATATATAAAAAAAAAAATTTTGTACAGTCTCAATGGGGCAACAGGCGTCATTCGATAAAAAAATGGCAATCTAGGCAAAAAATTTCATCAGAAATTTAACAAGAGAAAAAAAAATTTGAATTCACGAATTCGGGAGAAAAAAAAATGACACGTCAGCTTCGATTAAATGATGATGATGATGATAGAATCCATTTTTTTTTTTTTCGTATGTGTTCAAAATGTCAGCGTATTTGATTTTTTTTTCTGAAATAAATGACGTTTCATGATGAAATCATCAAAAAAAAAGAAAGAAAATGAAAAATCAATTTCAATATTGAATTTCGATTCCTATCCTAATAGCAATCATCATCTTCATAATTATCCAATCAAAATGTGAATAATAATAATAATAATCGGAAAAAAAACAAGGACAAAATCTCGAGGTCAAAAAATAAATATATTGATCGATCCATTCACAGGCAACATATATATGTCTGATGAAATGCTTCACAATGATTAACAAAGACTTTTTTTTGTGAATTTTATTTTTTTCATTTTGAAAACAAACCAATTGATAATGGATGATAAATGTAAATAAATGGACATGTAAAGTGAAAATAAAATCTAAATTTACATACAAATTGACCTGATTATATTGAATTAATGTCAAGTGATGTACACACACACACATACAGATTCGAAATATAATCGATTGTTTCGTCCATCTAATCCTTTATCATATTTTGAATTCAGGTTTTTGGATTATCTATCCGATGAACATAATCAACAGATTTACGGAAATGATCAATTCTTATGTCTAAAGAGTCCATTCGATAAGAATGAAATTCCTTCATTTATCGTGATGATCGATCAATAATCAAGTTATTGTGACCGTATGACTGGTGATGAATATATACTTGTGGCATATTTCACATATAGGCATGGATTGTTTACATAAACAAACAAAAAACCCGAAACCAATAACCGGAATCTATGCATAACCAGTCACTCTTTTTTTTTGTTATTGTTGTTGTTGCCATTGGGTTGTTTAACATCGATGATGATGATGTGCTTGCCATCGATAATAATAACGTATCCGGTCAGGTCATTTATTTCGAATTGTAATCACTGCTGTCATCATCAATTTTTATTTCAAGAAACAAATTTTTTTTCAAAAATCAATTTGAAATGATGATTTGGACCAAATTATGTTTGGTTATTGTTTTTTCCATTTTTACATCGTTCATATCGTATAGTGATCAACAATTATTTCGTCCAGGACAAGAACCACAGAATGGTATGTATATGATATTCTGGTTGAATAAATCAATCAATTGAAACCACTTTTCTCATATTGATAGTGATAAATTCTCTATTAACACCGATTCTATTACGAAGTGAATGTACGGCAGCTGTTGATAATCGTATGGGACTTTGTATGCCAAAAAGTGCTTGTCTTAGGTAAATATCGATTTTTTTTGTGTTTTGATTTGAGTATTTATCCATCATTCAACAAATAGTTCTGGTGGATATGTTGCTGGCACCTGTGGATATGGCGTACTTTCTTGTTGTGTTTGTAAGTAAAATAAATTTTTCAAATTGAAATTGAAATTCAACAAAAAAATTTTTTTTTTTTCACATTAAGATCAAGGAACATGTCGAGCTGTTGTCACATCGAATGAAACATATTTTGTATCACCAAATTATCCAAATCTATTGACTGGACGTGTTGATCCACCTGTTTGTATATTCACATTACAACGTAATCCATTGATTATTAAATTTCCAGTCTGTCAAATTCGTATCGATTTCGATGAATTCAGTTTAGCTCCACATTATAATGGTGCATGTGGTAATAGTATCACTGATTCATTCCTGGTTTCGGGTGCATCAAATTTTAATCAATCTGGATTGCCAATATCTGGCCTATGTGGTGAAATGACTGGCCAACATAGTAAGTTATGAGTTTTTTTTTGCAAAAATAAAAATAAAAATCTATTACAAATCACTATAGTTTATCTGGATGTTGATCCTGAAAAAACTGATGAACCATTGTTGTTGATTGTAAATACAGCCAATCAACAGGAATATAATCGTAAATGGAGTATTCGTATACGACAAATTCCATGTAAATCACAATATCGAGGTAATGATTTTATAAATTATTTATCACCACTAACTAATGAAATGGCTACTGTTATTGTTGTCGATTTTATAGCACCAGCAGGATGTTTACAATATTACACAGCATTAAATGGTAATATTGAAAGTTTTAATTATCGTACAACAAATCTACCAGTGGTTACATCGACAACACCAAAATCAATACAAATAGTTGATACAAAGATTGCCAATAATTATCTAAATAATCTAAATTATGGTGTTTGTATTGCTAAACATCCACGTATATGTGCCATCCGTTATTCAGCTATTGAATTTGATTTTGGTGGCAGCCTAGCGGATAGTTCAACACCAGGTGATAAATGTATATCAACACAAACATTGGCATCGGATGGTGATTTTCTTGTCATACCATTTGGTACTGATCAATTGAAAAGTAATCTAATTGATCGTTATTGTGGACAACGATTTTCACCAACACCAACAGCTGCTTTAACCAATGCCGATGTTTATTGTAAGTTATTTTTTTTTTAAAAATCAAATTACATCAAATGAATTATCATTTTTTTTTTTTTTTTTTGGTTTCAAATAATTCTCAAGCTTATATTAATCCATATGTAATCTATGTACATACGGATAATAATGCAATTGCCGATGCTAATACAATTCAAAATCAAAAAGGATTTCTATTGAAATATATGCAAATACCATGTTGATTGTAATTTTCGATAAAAGAATATCTATAGATAATAAAAGAATTTTGCCAATTAAAACGAAAAAAATTCATTGTCCGATTCGTTACTATAGCAACTGTATGTGTGTTTGTTTTGTATACTCGAATTATTTAGGTTTTTTCCTTGTTTTTGAAGACGAAAAAAAATATTTTTCGTTTCTTTTTTTTGGAAACGTCTTTAAAATCCATTAGACTAGAAAAATGGCCATCGATACATTTCCAATACTTTATTTTAACATGTCTGGTGAAATGATTTATATTATTGATCAACGATTGGAAGCGCAAAATATTGGCCAATCAAAAGCCAAACGTGTATTGAATGATATTATTCTTTCAATATTTAATTCAAAATTAATTTCGAAGTATTTAAACCACATAATACGATTACATTCTATGTATTACGTACAATATTTGAAAAATTGGTTCATTCATCAATAATGCGTTTGAATGAACAAAGTATGAATAAATTATTCGATCTAATGATCATGGTGATCAAATATCAATTATTTTCTTGTCCAAAACCATCCGATATAATGACCATCACTGATAATCATTTCAATTCGATTATTGAAATGTTGAAAAACAATAACAATGATGATGATGATGATGATCAACAAAACAAACATTCAGAATCATCTAACAATAATAATATAGTGGAAATTGTAAACATTGTTCGTAATCAATTCATATTCCATTATCAAAATTATGATCTGATTCGATTTCAACAGATTCGTTATAATCTATTGAATTTTCTCAAAGATATCCGTACACGTGTGTCGATATTTTTACGTGAAGGAACACAAACCAATGATGGTGTTTTTATCATACCATATCAAGATGTACATGTGGAATGTGAATGTCAAATACCCGGTGTTGTACGATATTTTCGTGGTTCATATAATGAAATTATTCGTACAGAACATTTTGATGTTGGTGGCCATTATGTAATTGATGAAAGTCGTACACAACTTGGATTGAACATGTAAGTTGAATAATGATAATCTCATTTCAAAATAATAATAATAAATTTTATTATTATCAATCAAAATCATTTAGCTATAAAAAAGAAATTGAATCAAAACAAAATGTTCGTGAACAAAAATCAGATGATACTACTACAGTGATTAATGATCGTAAAGAAATGGATCTTTTGGCCAAATTGATTTGTAAAACACCTGAAGATGATCGTCGTAGATCGGTAGTTGAACTTAAATTTGATTTCTTATCCAATGATATTGACAATAACGATAAATCAATGACAACCAATGATAATGGAAATAATTCAATACAAATTATCGATCCAAATGAACATAATAATGAACAATTAATCAAGATTATTCATGATCTTGAAGAATGTTCATTGGTATCAAATGATCAGGACAATCATGCCAAACCAACCAATAATCAAACAGCCGATGATGATATTGACCTCCTTGAATTGATGGATTCATAGAAAACAACCTAAAAGATGAAGAAAAAAATGTACAATCAATGAAAAGTGTGAAACAAATTTATTTTTTGCTATCACTCAAATGAATGAATAAAACGATAAATTATCGTTTACTTGATTGATTTAATTTTGCGAAAATGTAACGTTAATGTTTTGCGAAATTATAACAATATAATTATAATTACAAACATTAACTGACTCTTCCGCGTTTTAATTGATTTGATTTGAATAAATTTTTAAAATTTACCTTTGAAAAATTGAAAAATTAAAATTTAAAAAATCCAATGCTAAAAATCGAACGCGTGAGTCGAACAATTGAAAGCATGGGCTCTGTTCATATATGATGTATTGGAAATGTTTTTTCCAACAAAAAAAAGTTTCTCTCATCCGGAAATGTATCGATTGTTTTGTTTTTTATTTTGATTTTTTATTGTGGAAAAAAAATATATTTATTATTCTGATTTAATCTCGAAATTTAGCTTTCAATGAAGCTGGTAATGGAATTACATAGATAACAGTATTAATAAGATATGATCCAATGGCAAAAATGAAAATGAATGCAAAATTTTTCCAAAAAATCAACGACCATTCTGGTATATCTTTGATATCTTTGAAACGTTGATCCAGATAATGATTACCCGAAAGAAACATACATTTACCAGGTACAATATTGGCGCTACACAATTCAATCGTATTATTTGTCGATACATGTGGTACACGTACAAGATCAGTATTGAATTGAAATTCCATAAAATTCAATGTCCATCCAGCCCAATAATAAATATTAAGCCAATTGATATAATAGTAAATATTTGGTGATGCTAACATTGATCGTAATGTTGTACTACCGATAATCAACCATGGTGTAAGAAAATAACATGAAGCCAGCGATGCTTTAAACGGTGATTTTACGAAACACATAATGGCCATTGTAAATTGTTCAACAAACGTATAAACACCCCAAAGTACCGAACAGAAAATGATCCATCGTTCCATCCAATAATTATCGATACGAAACGGTGTTGTCCAATACGTGATACTACCGGCAATGAATATATTCAACATGGTCAACGGTATGTTTGCTATAATGTTCGTTACTATTAATGATGGTCCACGATATATCGATAGACGTGATGAATCTTCATAGAAACGATTTCGATGTTGAGAAACTGGACGAAAAAATGAAAATTTTTGTTATTCATTAAAATTGATTGGCTTCACCACTTACAATAATATGATGTAATTATCGGTGTCATCAATGTGATTGCGGCCATCAAATTGAAAATGATATAACTTCGTGTTTGAAATGAATTTTGTGTTTCATCCAACGATGGCAATATGAATGTATACATAAATATACAGAACAATGGAATAAGTCCCAATTTCAGGAACAAACGTTTCATAATTAGATTCGAACAAAATTGTCGAACAATCAATGTGGATATAACATTCCATGCTGATGCTTTACCATAAGCGGTTAATGGAATGCTCAATGCATTCATTTTTGAATATGGTGTATTGTATTTACGATAATCATGGCCATCGATTTTAAATTTATCCACCAATGCTGCTATCTGTGCTGATGATTCAATGAATCGTTCTCTGGATCGTCGATCAACTGTTGATAGACATACTATAACATAGTGAATAGCAAGTAAAAAACAAAAGTAAATGTTTATGTCCGTATGTAATTAATTAATTTTTTTTTTTGCTTTACTTACAGTAATACATCAATGGATTCTCCAATTCTGGACACGGAAAACCAATATTACTAAAATAATCCATCATCATTCTTGTGCTTCCACTGTAAACGATATCACCAAGACAAAGAAATGTAACTCGATCAACGAATGGAAATATATCTGAACGTGGTTTATCGATTGTGAACAAAATGATTCGTTGATATTTACGGCAATGATTGGAAAGCATTGATATTATGAAATATGAATCCAATGCACTAAGATCACTGGTAGGATTATCCAACACCAATAATAATGGATCACGTATCAAATGCATAGCTATGATTAATCGTCTTCGTTCAGCTTCATTCAATTCACAGACATCATAATTGGCTAAACTTGATAATGCCGTATCGGCCATCACTTGTTTCACACGGAATCGAATTGTCATATATGATCCATCTGGAAGACGTCGTGGTATCGGTTGTCGGATTGTCATTTTTGCCATATACGCCAATGTTTGACGAACAGAAAGACCTTCAATAAGTTCGGTTCTTCGTGAAATAAATCCACATTGTTCCTGAAACACTCTCAACGTTAGCGGTACATCATTGAGTAGAATCTGTCCTCGTGTACTACTTTGTTGATTTATACGGTGACTAATCAATTCTAAAAGTGCTTTTTTCCCTGATCCTTTGCTACCAAGAATGGCCATCATCTCACCCGAATGGACCTATGATTTAATGAAATTATTAAATCTAATTAACATAGTAATCATCATCATCATTACTAACCTCAAATGATACATCTTTAAGTATTAGACCAGATGGTGGATAATTGGTCCATTTATTCCATAATGAAAGTCGATTAGGCGTTATTGGACCAGAATGACAAACACCAACCAATTCCAATACATGTGGCATTGTAATCGTTTCATTAGTTTCAGCTGGTGATGTATTTCTCATATCATAATTCATCATTTTGTTGATAACTCTCTTGATGATTGATTCCGATGAACAAATGAAGAAATTTCAAGAATTGATTCAAATTCCAATAATTAATGGCTGTCAAATCGTCTTCAAAATGACGATTATTTTTTCGTTTCAAATTATATCAACAATAGAATAGAGAACTAGAGACAAAACATCTGCCTTTTGTGAAAAACACAATTGTTTGTTTCGGGCGCCATTGCCATACAAACACCTGATGATCACAATGTGAAAACCGAATGAACGAAAATTTTTGAAAATAACTATTTGAAGCTTTCTTGTCTCTTTCATTCATCTGACTTGATGTTGTGTTTACCTGTTTCTCTTTGAATCAAAAAAAAAAAAAAAATAATTGTTGTTTAGTGTTTTGAAGAGACGTCAAACATCATTTAGTGTTGCCGTTGTAATCGTTGAATTGCTGCTGATGCCATACTCTATACAAATATAATGAACGCCTTTTAAAAAAGGGAAAAGATTTAGACAATTGAAATCTTGAAAAACAACAACAACAACAACAGACTTTTATGTCCGAAATGAACAACAGAAAAAAAACCGAACTTCTGGTAGTCAGTAGTAAAGTAACCACCATATCAAACAAGAGCACAGAGTATTCAGTGAAAAAAAATTTTTCAACAAACCGGCTTTTTACGATCAACAACAAGTTGTTGTTGTTGTTGTCGTCGTCGTTGTCGTTCAATGATTGAACAAGTCAAAAGTCTCGACAATCATTTTTCTTCCGAATCCTAAGTCATAGTTCGCCAACAACCATAATCATCATCATCATCATCATCAGACAGAAATACATTACATATTCATAAATGTGAAATGTCTATTGTGTTTTGTTGTTGTTGTTTGTTGTTGAATTTCGTGTCTTAAGAACAAAACGAGGAAAAAAAAGTCTTGTGTTTGAGGTGTGTGTGATGTTGATGTGAACCATTGTCCATTGTCCGTGAGCATGTAGCGGTGGTGGTGGTGGTAAAGTTTTATCAAGAATTCAATTCTAAACTACTTTTTGTCATCGTATGTGATTATCTTCATTAAAAGTAGAATGGGTTTAAACATCAAATGCTAAACCAATGACTTTGATATTCACCATGTGTGTTTGTTTGTGTTTCTTTAAGATTTCTGTGAAAAAACTTGAACCTCGAATATGAATCCAAAATCATTGTGATCGATCATCATAAATGGTTTTGAATCAAATTTCAATCAAAATTGTTTTAATTGTGAATTTGTTCATTTTGTGTGTGTAACATCATGGTGATTACAAGACGAATCAATGTCCTTCTTGAATTGTATCGTTGAAACTGTTTTGAAAATAAAACAATTGGTGAAAAAAAACAACAATTTTCAAAGTAAGTAATTAATTCTTACATTTAAATTATTTTCATTCATTTTATGATCAACAGAAAGACCAAAATTCCGATAAAGTCTGTATTTGTGAAATAAATTGAAAAAATAAATGAAGAAAAATTTCTAGGGAAAAAAAACATTTCGAACCTATTTGAAAATGTTGATGATGATGATAATCCACCATTCGCCATTTGGTTCATTATATCATTTTAATCATCTTATTTTTGTTTTTGTTTCCTGGACCATTCATTCATTTCATTTCATTTTCGATTTAAGATTTGATCATCGAGCAAAAAAAAGTAAATAGTCCGTCTATGGATGAGAATAAAAAGTAATCATTTCTCTTTTCTTTTTTGTACTTATATATTTATTTTATTTTCTGAATGAATGATTTCCAAACCGATCACACACACACACACACATTTTTTTCTGTTTTGTTCATCATCATACAAATGGTAATGTTTAATTATTATACTTTTATCTTTTTAAATCACCTGGATGGATCATTTCTTGATCAATAATCGTACAATGATCATTGATCGAGCGAAAGTTTCATTTTGTTGTTGGCCGAGTTTGATCAACAAGCCAGAGTTGTATTCATTCATCATTATAATGAGTAAATCTAGTTCATTGTGAAAATTATGAAAATAATAGTTTTTTTTTTGGTTAAATCAGGTTAGTTGTTGGCTCTTCTAAGATGGTAATAATGAACTTATGATGTATTCGTTTTTTTTCATAATTTGTTGAAATGTTTTGACCAACATTTTAATAATAATGATGATGATGATGATTTAATACATAAAAATAGTATGCATGTGAGATGTAAATGCAGATTCGGAAAAATTTTCAATTTGTTCATCCATTATGTTGTTTGTAGTTGTTGATGATGATGATGATGATTGTGGGATTTTATCTGGAAAAAAAAAAAAATCAAATAATTATATGGTTATTGTTACAATAAGATTTAAAAAACATGAAAATCGGTCCATTTTTAGATCCAGCCGAGAAGAAATCCCATTTTAATCGGGTGAAAAAAAATTCAGAACTCGTGGATATCCAAAGAATGAAGAAAGTTCAAATTAGAGATCCTTCATCATCATCCATCGGCCTTGATATTTGGTATCATCATTCATTTCATTCATTAACAGCTATGATGAAATTTCATTAAAGAAAAAAAAACATTTCATTTTAAATGAATGTTTTTTTTATGTTGTTGTCCCAAATGAATATCATGTGTTTGTTCCATTCGATGATGATGATGTGATTGATTATGATATTGGGAGCTATAAAGAAAAAAAATGATGATGATTAAAAAAAAAATCTCTGAACAAGGTGAACATTTTTTTTCATTGCTTTTGTTTCAATACATTTCTTGTGTTCGTGTGTCATTCGACATGATTCATTTCGATGAAAATTTCGTTTGTTTTGTTTTGTTCATTATTCGGCTGTTTGTTATCATTATATTCGACAAATAAAACGAAAACAAAACAAAACAAAAATCAAAAGAAGAACAAATTACCTGGATAGATAGTTTTATAAGTCGTTGATTTTTTTTTATTGTTATTATTCGACATTTGCTGAAAATGGTGATGTGATCGTATCGTTGAATCAAAAAAAAAAAAAATTGAACAAGTCTTGTTTCTTGAGATATATAAACATTATAATTTGACAAGCAATTGTTTGTTTGTCCGTTGTTTGACCGAATCAAACAAAACGAATAAAATGAATTGTTTGAATCCATGACGTTTTTTTTTTTTTTTGATTCATACATTTGTTTCGGATCGAATCAGGCAATCATTTGTTGATGTTGTTGTTGTTGTTGTTTTGAAGGAAATTTTTGTTTTCTTTTAATATCGATTTTTTTCTGTTTAATGATGATGATGAAGATGACCTGCTGTTGATGAAACAAATGGACGAAAAAAAAATTGATTAACATAATAAAGTTTCTGATTTGATTTTTTTTTTCTTTGAATTCGAATGTAATTATCAAGTGAATGAATAGTTTAAAAAAAGTGTGATATCGATTGTATCGATCTAACACATTCGAATATGAGCTATTCATGGATGTTTGTTTCGAAATATCAGATTGTGTGTGTGTGTGTGTTTCTCATTAATGTTAAATCGATAAGAAAAATCGAATTGATTAACTTTGGTTGATTAGAAATGGATGATTATTCATTGTTGTTCAACATTTTGATGGACAAAAATTTTCAGAAAAAAAACAACAAAATTTTCTTTCCTTTTTCATTGTGATTATATACTGATGATGATGATGATGATGATGATGATGATGAGATAGTGATTTGAAGATGGTCATCATCATTATCATCATCATAATCAAATGAACAACAATGTTTTTCTTATCGTATTTCTGATTTGATTTGAGCTCCCCCCCCCAAAAAAAATGATTTAAATTACAAAAATGTGTTGTGTTCTACTCTGTTTTTTTTTTTTTTTTGTATGCGATTATCTTTTGATTATTATTGAGTTGAGTTTTTTTTTCGTTCTTTCTTTCTTTCTTTTTGGTATCAATATTGCCAGCTGCTTTTATAGAATGATGATTGATGAGATAACCAAGTCGAACATATTATCATTATTATATCGATACAAAAAATCGATTTATCAATGATTTTTTTTTTATTCATAAATCATTTAATCAACAAGTTGTTGTTGTCCAGGTAAATATAAACTTTTTTTTTTGACTAAAATTTTCATTTCCAATAAAATACAAATCCAAACATGCGGAACTTGCTCACTCGCACACATACACACACACCTGACCTCTAATCTAATTTATCATTGAAATATAATTCACATCATATGTGTGTGTGTGATGTGATGTAAAGAATTTTATTTTTTCCATAACAATTGAATGACAATGACCAATGGTCATTGAGTCTTTTTTTTTGTTGTTTTTGTTTTCTGTCTAATATGCTAGACCATTTTCCATATTTTTTTTCTCCATTTGTTTGTTTATTTAAATGGATCAAGTTCATCATCATCATAATAATAATGATGATAACTCGGAAGCGCTTTTTTTTCTTTCTATTGTTTTTTTTCATCTGCATTTTCAAATGTCCATTTTCAAATGTCCATTGTTGTTGTTGTTGTTGGCCACTAGATATGGGTTATCCATGATCTATGATGATTTGGCCTCCATATTCATGTCAAAAAAAAAATTGTTGAAATAAAATTGATTATTGTCATTGTGTCCATGTGTGTGTGTGTGTGTGTGTGTGTGTTTGCATGTTTGGATAGTCATTTAGTCATCAGGAATTTATTCATTTTTTTCATAATGATAATCATTCATTAACATTATCATCATAAATCTATTGTCGCTTTCATCATCATCATCATCATTTGACAATGTCAATTCTTATCTCTCTCTATCCATGAATTTATCATTATTATCAATGGGTTTTTACCTTGTTGTTGTTGTTGTTGTTGTTGTCTGGCTTGCATGGCTTGATTGAAAAAAATTTTAAAGTTTGATTGAGACATTGTTTACAATATAATATGATTTGAATGTGAATGCTATTGCTATAGTCAAGTCAGTCAGTCAGTCAGTCAGTGAAAATGACAAAAAAAAAAATTTTTTGTTTTGTTTTGTTTTGCTCGAATCTCTCTTTCTTGTGAATGAATGAATGAAGAGTTAATGGATTTTTTTTTTCTTTTGGTCAAAAATTTTCAAAATGTGTGACAGCAGTAGATTTATTCATTGTTGTCATCATATATATATGATGATGATGGTTGCTAAAAATATGTTTCACACACATATATATTTGGACAACAACGAAAAAAAGGCACATCTTTATTGTAAATGTGAAAAATTATCATCATTTCAATAAAGAAAAGAGAGAGAGAGAGAGGCAGAAAAAATGTATTTTTGGTATTTATTCAAAAAAGGCATCCAAGAAATGAAAAAAATTTGTTGTTGTTGTTGTTGTTTCATTACCATTGAGACAATGATTTTTTTTTCTTGATCTAGGACAGGTGTCATCATCTTCATCAGAACAATTCACATCACTTTTTTTTTTTGTTAGTTAGTACCTGAAGGTCTACTACTTGAATTTATTTTTTTTTTTTTGTGTTTTCATATTGAAAATGAAAAAAAAGAAACAAATAATGATGATGATGATGATAATTATCTACAATTTTCGTTCAAAGTTTTTTTTTCCATTTTATGATGATGATGATAATTATATGATGATGGTATATAATGAAATTTTATATTTATGATTTGATTTGATTTGATTGGATTGGATGAATGAATGAAAATTGATGTGCTTGTCATTTTTCTTATACCATTGGAATGTCAATTTTGTTCATCTGACTTTTGATGTTTATTAACATTTTTTTTGTTTTGTTTTCATGTTTTTGATTAATTAATTATAACAAATTTTTTTTTTGATTTGATTAGTAAATTTTGTTTTTAGGATGGATGGATGGATGATGATGATGATCCATTGGGATCTGATTAGATTGGAATCTCTACAATTATTGTGATGGATTATGAAATTTTTTTTTTTTTTTTCGCAGACGCTTATCTATTGTGTTGAGCTGTCTCCGATTATCTAAAAATAAATTTTCACCACCACCACCAACAACAACGACAGCAATAGCCATAAGAATAAAAGTGAAAATATTACCAACATTGAAAATGATGAATAAATAAACGAGGTCATTTTGTTTTTGGATTTTGTTTTTTTTCTGTTCATTTTTGCTCAATGTTGTTGTTTCGATACATTAATTGAATTTGGATCAAAACGACAAAAGCTAATGGTGGTGGTGGTAGCGATGATGTAAATTTTAAAAAACACGAAACGGAAATTTGACAATTAACAACAATTAACATTTTGGTCATGTTTTTAAAAAAAATGAAATTAATTTCATTGTACATGTGTGTGTGTGGGTAGGTTTAGTTGTTTTTTTTCATTGATGGGGCGTTGGCCAGGTGTGTGTGTGTGTCATATTTGTTTTTTTTTATTTTGTTACAAATAAACAATGATGACAATATTTAAAGTGTACGTAGGAGGTTTTACATTGTACACACACTATTTTTTTTCACTATTAATTATCCCCCCAAAAAAAAAGTTTAAAACAAAAAAAAGAAAGAAAAAATTTCAAATACCTGTTGATATTGACGTGCATATATATGTTATTATTGAATATCACAACAATCGTTTTTTTGAAAATTGAATTATTCATTGTAAGTGTGTGTGTGTGTGTGTGTATGAAAATTGAAACAAACGCCCAAACAATTTTGAAAATAAATTTCTGATTCATTTATACGAGGTGGTGATGGTGGACGACGAGGAGGAGAAGAAGAAGGAAAAATCGTGATATTTTTTAAACAATTTTTTTTTGCAACAAATTTAAATAATGGTGAAAAATATTTTTTTTTTCAATACATTTTATTGCATAATGATCGAATGATCACAATTTGACCCGTTTGGAGAATAAATAAAACGGACCAAACGGTTTTTTTCTGATTTTTGTGAATGGAACACACGCTTTGTGTTGTGTTTGGTCAAGATGTTTTGAAACGTTTTTTTTCTGCAATATTTATTTTATGCGCGATGCTCATTGAACGTTGTTCCAAAATCGATTTTTTTTTTCTTCACTTTCGTTTGTTTGCATTTGTTCGTTATTTTTGGATTATCAGTTTTTTTCCCCATTCACAACAACAACAACAACAACAACAACAACAAAAAATTGACAATCAAATGTCCTTTTTTTTCTCCATTCACTGATCAATCAAATTGACCTATTGATCGATACATAGATCAATAGTGATGGATTTTTTTCTTCTTCTTCTTTGATCAAATCGAATCTGATGATGATGATAAGCCTGATATGATCTGTCAAAAACGAAGTTTGTTCGCTTGTCCATTCATTTTTCATCATCATCATCATCATGATCATTTTTTGATGATCGATTACTAAATATCGAAAAATTTTTCTTTTTGATAATCGATTAAAATGAAAATGAAAATGTTGCGAATAAACAATGCATTTTTTTCTTTCATTTTTGATCGATAATGTATTTGGCACATCAAAAAAATTTTTTTTTCGGTAAAACAAAATGATGCACACATAGACACAATCGGGTTGAATCGAAAATGAATGAATGAATAGTCATAAATCTGATAATAATTTGATTTTTTTTCTTACTTTTATTTACTCAATAGGTTTCAACTATTTCTACAACTTCCGTCATAATCAATATAACAGGCATATTGAATTTTTTTTTTGTTTTGTTTTGTTTCTGCGGATTTTATTACCCGATATCAGATGATATGTCAAACACACACACTTGTCCAACTGTTGTCTTGTTCTACATTTCATGGAGAAAATGTTTACCTCTGACAATTGATTGAAGAAAAAATTGGATTAGAATTTTTTTTCTCTACACATGTGACTCTCATCATATTTAGACTTTTACTTGTTAATGTTGTGGTTGTAGAAGAGAAAAACACACACATGCACACAAAAATGTCTTCAAAAGCAACAATAAGTCATCATTGCATTATTCGAACAAACTAAACCAAAAAAAAAACTAATCATTTTAATTTAAATGTTGTTGACATCATCATTATCATCATCTGAAGAAGAAGAAGTAGAAAAAAAAGACAAGGTGTTGTTTGAAACCAACATATTTAACAATGATAGTTAGTCATGTCAAATCATGATCATCATCGTCATCGTCAGCCATTTCGTTCAATAACAACAACAACAACAACAACAAAAACATTATCATCGCCTACGACAACAACAACAACAACAACAACAAATCTAACTGTAACGACAACAGCGGCAGCATCATTATTATCATCATCATCATCATCATTAACAACATCAACATCGACATCAACATTATCCGGATCAAAAGATGCTGAACATCTTCATGAATGGTCATTGTTTCGTCAAAATTTAAATGCTAATTTTAGTGAATCTGTATTAAATTCAAAACAAAATCAAGGTTTAGCAAATAATTCGAGAACAAATCAGCAACAACAACAACAAAAATCCAAAATGAATGGTTTGACAACTCAAAATACAAATGGTGGTAGCGGTGGCACACCTGGTTTTCCATTACGTGAATCAACCGTAAACAATATACTAAGTCATCCTAAATATGGTGCACAGCTTAAAAATCAAGATGCATTCACATATCTAAGGTTTGGTTTACCAAGAGTTAAAACATTGACAACAATGAATAATGGTAATAGTGGTGATGAACAGCAGCAACAGCATCGGCGATTATCTAGAAATAATAATAATAACAACAATAATACAATCGATATGATCGATGATGATCAAGATTCTTCTGGTAGAATAATAAAAACGGGAAATCGAAATACAACAATGGCAATGAAATCAAATGATCGTTCAGGTTCGGCTGCTATTAATGAAGAGCTTAAACGTCGTTTTTGGGGCTCTAATTCAGCATTAATTCATCCGACAACAGCGGCAACGACAAATGCTGCATTATCATCAACATCAACATCATCATCATCAGAAAATGAATCTGATTTATCGGCAAAAGAAGCCGCTACTGTTGCGAATCAGAAAAATCATTTCAACAATAATAGATATAATAATAATAATAATCATTATCAACATCATCAGGATCGATTTTCTAAACCACCGATTGCGAAACATCATATGACAAGATTACAAACAGCACATGATATTTCTTCTCGCCATTCTGATCATCATCTACATCATCCACATCATCATAAAGATTATCCAAATAATAATAACAATAATTCTGATGTTGAAGATTTTCATATTCATCCAGCATCACGCCATTCACCATTCAATATTGATGATGATGATGATCTTAATATTGATGCCGGTAATGGCGGTGGTGAACCGACATTTGGCCTAAATCCTCAATCATCATCATCATCAACATTACCACCACCATTAGCTAAACATCCACATTTAGTTGTCAAAGATTTAATGTATGAAGTGGATAAATCATCTAATTGGCGACGGCTTTGTGGTTTTAGTCGACAAAAATTACGTGTACTTGAAGATATTAGTTTCGATGTTCGTGGTGGTGAATTAATGGCCATTATGTCTACTTCAGGTAATTTATTCATTGTTTTTTTTAATATTCCATTATTCATTATTGAAACAACACACATATTGCACACGATTGACCTAGGATCAGTAAATAAATAAATAAATCAATTAATTAGTAAAATTTTAAGGGCCGGTCAATAGTTTAATTGGTTCTTTTTTTTCAATAATTGACATTATAATGATATAATCGTGAATAATTACATTTTTTTTTTTTTCGATTTCGACACACACACACACACACAGCAAATGAAGGCACATCATTGTTGAATGTATTGGGTGCACGTCATGATTATCGAAATGGTACGGCACGTGCAGAAATCTATCTGAATGGTGTATTGATATCCACGAAACATTTAAGCCATATGATAGGATATGTAACGAAAAATATGCAATTATGTTCAACAATGTCTACAAGACAGGCATTATTATTTGCCGGTCTATTAATGGGTCCAGCATCAAGAAGTTCAACCGATGTTAAACGATTGACACGAACCCTGTTGGAAGAGCTTAATCTAGGTGAAGTTCGTCACACAAAACTGTCGGAATTAACATATTCAGAACGACGACGTTTACATGTTGCAATGCATTTATTACTCGATACCGAATTATTATTGATTGATCAACCGCTTTTTGGTTTAGATATTTTTGATTCTTTTTTCATGATTGAATATCTACGACAATGGGCAATGATTGGCGGCAGAATTGTGATAATGACAATATCACCACCAACATATGAAGTGTTCACAATGATTCATCGTGTTTTACTTATATCAGCCGGACGACCATTATTTGTTGGTCCGAGAAAAGATTTTCTTCGTTATTTCAATTCAATAGGATATCCATGTCCATCATTTAAAAATCCAAGTGATTATTATCTTGATCTTGTCACATTGGATGATTTAAGTCAGGAAGCGTTATTGGAATCAAGTCAACGTATTGAAAATATTGCCAATATTCATAGCCGTAGATCAATGAGTGAAATATTTAGTTCAATGCCCGGACCACCAGCCGTTTTGCCAGCACCATTTCGACGAGCCAATTTTGCTATGCAATTCTTAGCACTTTGGATGTAAGTATCATCATTATAATTTTGTTTTTTTCGATTCACAGTATGTGAAATAATGTGAGAAATTTACATTTCAAAATATGTATCATTTGTCATCTTTTTTGTTGTTGTTATTTCTTTTGAAACACAGCCGTGCATTGATATTCAGCTTTCCATACAATGTTGTTCATTTATTCAATCGTTTCATAATCACATTGTTATTATCATTGATTATTGGCGGTATTTATTGGCAAATACGAACGGGTCGTGAACAGGAATTTGTTTGGGATCGTATCGGTTTCATTAATACAATGATTTCCATTGGAATTATTCCAATATTAACTATAGAATTGATCAATGGTAAGTGAAACGAGAAAAAATGATTTTTTTTTCTTGATTGATTGATTGATTGATTTGTGAACCACAAAAATCAAAATATCCATTGTTTTTCTTGTCCATTGTTTCCCTTTATTATTATTATAGCCTATACGGAAAAATTATACATCATATCCGAAGTTCATCAAGGATTCTATTCCCTACCTGCTTATTTATTGGCCAAATTACTTTATTCAACACCGCAAACAATTTTGATTGGTCTTGCATATGCATTACCAGCCTGTTCAATGGCCGGTCTTCAATTGCATTCGAATCCAAATTCATTACCATTCTATCTATTACTTATGTTATCATATTTTATAGCATTACGTTCATTTATCAATGCTATTGTATGGATTTGTAATCGTCGTTCGAATGCATTGTTTTTATTCGGATTCCTATTCACCATTTTTCTTTTATCATCTGGTATTAACATTCAATATCGAGATATATCAATCACGCATCGTTGGTTACGACAAATATCACCAATACGATGGTTACATGAAGCAATTGTTGCATGGGAATTTGAACCAAATACTATTGATAATTTGAATAATGGTGGTGGTAGTAGTAGTAATAGTAATACTATCAGCAACATTATTATTTCATCATTTTTATGTAGTAGAAATCCTGTGATTCAACAACCAAATGCCATATTGGTTCGTGCCGATTGTGGTTTTCAACAACGATCCAACATACTTAAATGGTTTGAATATCAAGGTAAGTTTGTTTATAGATTTATATATTTGATTTTAAAATTAATAATAATTAATTATTATCCAATTAAATTTGATTGATTGACAATTGACATTTAAAAATAATAATAAAAAATTATTTCTTTATCCTTATAATTTTAGGAGGAAACATTTTTACCACCAAACCAAATCTACGACCTAGTTGGCATGCATTCATTGCATTGTTTATATTATTTATCGGTTCATTTATAATCGGTTCAATCATATTTTGTTTACGTGTTTATTATTTCAACAACAATAATAATAATAATGATGATCAATGTCCGATGAAAAATCATCAAGATTCTACATCCACAGCGGCTATTGGTTCGTCAGCCAGACATAATCATCATCGATAATAAACATATATACACACACACACACACAAAATAAATATCGTTACAATTGAAATTGTGTATTTGGTAGATTCTGATTGTATTTTTCCATTGTACAGTGAAAAATTCAATCATTTTTTTTTCACTAATATTTCCGCTTTTTTTCTTCTTCTTCTATTCATGATGGACATTTGTCACGATTTTATTTTATTTCATTTTTTTTTTTCGTTTTCTTTTTATCATTGTATATTTATGTTGCCGGAAAATATATTCATATCTGTATCAATGAGTCTGTCCATTCATTTTTGTCGACAACAACATCAAATCATCAATTTTTTTTATTTTATTTTTGTTCGACATTTTACTGATTAATAGTTATATATATTAATAATAACGAATAAATAAAAATGTTTCTTTTTTTCTGATTTGAATTTATGATGAATGAATGGAGAGAAAAAATATATCGTGGTGTTTGATTGGTACATATATATAAAAATAGATTACATAACGATCATCATCATAATAAAATTGTATATGTATTACATGTCAATTTTTTGATCGAAAATGTATATTTTTAGCCAATATGGATCAAAATAGAAATGTAGCGGATGTTTTTTCGAATGTTTTTTCTGTTTGTTTGTTTGTTTGTTTGTTTGTAGAATCGAAGAATGTAATGTGTTTCCTATTATCATTTTTTTTTTTTCTCTTTCTTTACTTTGCTATATTTATTGACATTGTTATCGTATTATGGTATTATCAATCAATCAATCAATCATCAATCATCGATTGATAATTTAGATAATTATATATGTTGAATTATTTTTTTTTTACTCTTTGTTAAATATTTTCTCACCATTGTGTATTGAAAATTGATTCAAACCTACCTTTGATTATTGGATTATTGATTGAATGATGAAAGGTATGTGTGTGTGTGTGTGTGTATGTGTTTGTTTTTTCGCCTTTTGTTTAGATTTTTTTTTCTATTTTGATTAGATATTTGAAAAAACACTAATCCTATAACTGTAATGGTGACCCGATCCGAGATTTTTTCATTTTTTAAATGAATGATGATTGAATAATGTACACGACCGAATGTTATAATGGCCTTCTTTTTTTTCGCTCATGGCCTTATTCTTATTATCATTAATTTCTATATATATTGTATGGTGAAAATTTAAATTGTTTCAAACAAAGAAAAAAAAAGTTTTAAGTTACATTGTGAATATATTGACAAGATATGATCATCATCATCATCATCATGATTGAATAAATAGATGAATGTACCTAAAGGCTACAGATTAGAAATGTTATTCAAATCCTGTCTTTTTTTTAATATACAAATTTTCACACGCACACAATAATCATCATCATTAATTAATTCGGTTACAATAAAGAAAAACAGTGAAATGATGATGATGATTTTATATTGATTAATGATCCTTTCACTCACTAGATGACGATGATAATTTGATCCAATTATTGTGTATAATAGATTAACATTAATAGGATATAATTAATTGATTAATTTGATTTGATTTGATGATGAATGTCGGTTTTCGGTTTCACCGCCAGCGCAAAAAAAATGTTGTTCAATTATAATCATTGTGTGTTGCGTGGAACACACCTGAACAGAATAATTAACCCCATCCAATTAGCCAAATGTTTTTCATTTTCGCGCTTGTTATGTACAGAATGATTCAATCGATTTTCATTGATTTTTCAATCAATCAAATTATTATTATCAAATGACTAAATATGGATTGATTTTCGATTGATGACCTTGTCGATAATTTCAATTTTTATTATATTATATTATTATTGATTGATTGATTATTAAGAAAAATTTTTTTTTTTTTTTGTTCACCATGAATAATCGACATCAAGTTCACAATGTTCATCCGATCTAATCAGACAATCATTATTATTTACAGCACAAACACCTTCCAATGTGAATACTGGTCCACGGCCACATGAATTATATGCCCAACCATTGAAACAATAACGTTTACCCGGTATTAAATCATTCAATATAATTCGTTCATCTGATTATATAATTAATTAATTAATTAATCAATAAATTAATTGATAATTAATTTTTAAACATTAGTGATTAACTAACTTGAACGAAATTTCTTAACAATTCCATAGCCAATAAGCCATAGCTGATAGCCAATAATATCATTATCATTACAATTGATTGTACCCCAATGATCAATAGTATGATTATAGCCATATTGATTGGTTGGATAACGAATTTTCAATTCAATTTGTGAACATTGTGCATATTCAACTGTTGCATATGGTTTACATCTTGGTGCACGATGACAATAATGATGTTTTTGTTGTTGATGTCCAATTTTTCGGGAAATTTCTCGAATCACTAATTTCGATACAATTTAAAAGACAAGAAAAAAAATAAAAATAAAAATAGCTATATTAGCATGCGTTTTGATATTCAGTAAAATAAATGTAGTTAATTAATTAACAAAAACACTACATATTGGTTGGTAACCCACCGACGTTGATTTAAAAAAAAAATTTCTTTTCTTTTTCTTCTTTTATTTTGTATTTTTTGACAAGTAAATTTAAAGGACAATACAATGTTTTACTAAGTAAACATTTATCAGAAACACTTTTGAATCAAACGTTACATGAGATTTAACTATTCTTTTCATGTTCTTATGATGAAGAATCATTTTGTTGTGATTGTGTCGAACTGAAATGGCGAAAATATTGGCTTTTCATGAGTTTCGGATTCAGGTTCTTTGTATCCATCTTTTGTTCTTGGTGTCAAATGAGTTGATGCTGGCACAAGTGTTGATTCTCCTGTTTTTTTGAACTTTTTATTTTTTAAATCAACCATGTCCCAAAAAACTCGATTCATTGGTTCCAATGATCGTTTTTGAGCCAATGACATCTCGTTAAGAGTTTGATTTATTAATTCCCATGTTCGTTTATGAGGCAAAAATATCTCGCCAAAAGTTGGATATATTGGTTCCGATTTTCGTTTTTGAGGCAATAACATCTTGATAAGAGTTGGATTTATTGATTCCAATTTTTGACCAAATGACATCTTTCCTATTTCTTTGGACTTTTTCTTTTCTGAATCACATATGTCCAAAAAAATTTGATTTATCGATTCCCAAGTTCGTTTTTGTTCCAATGACATCTCGACAAACGAATCAAGTAGTGACACGATCTGAGTTAAAAAATTAGCCTGCAATTCATACATCTCAGTTAGGCATTTTCTTATTTCTTGTAATTCATAATATAACAACTTCGAGAAATCCGGAGCATTTTCTTCATCTTCCATTTGTCTAGTTGGAGGCTCAGACTGTTCAGATTCTTTCTTGTTCATGATGAAAATGAATAAATGACAGGTTTGAAAAAACTTTTATTGTAGTTCAGGAAAAAAAATTCAACGTCGTTGATCACCAATATTGTAGTGTTCTTGTTAACAACATTTATTCGACTGAATATCAAAATGCAACTCATCCCCAATCATCTGTTCGAATTGGGGTTCATCATGGATAACGTTACCACGTCGCCACAATAGAAATAATCGAAATAAAAAAAAAATTATTACCTCGTTTACTACTACTATGGACAATCGGAAATTGATCCACATAAAGTTTGAATGTTTTCCTATGATGAACAATATAATGTGAAGAATTCATTTGTTGTCGTTGTTGTTGCCGTATTTCACAACGATAAATAATGGTCGATATATGATTCTCATTCACAATTAAATATCGATCACCTTCGAAACAAGTACGTTGTCCATTGTTCATCATTTTGTCATTGACCTTTTTTCTTTTTTCAATTTGATTGAATAATAATGATTGATTATTATTATTATTATTATTAATATGAAGATTATCCTGTCCATTATATTGATTTATTGACCAATCATTGGATAATTCATATCGACACCATATATATTGATATGATGATGATGAATTCAACATTGATTCGATAATAATATTTGATGATTTCATCAATCGATCATTATTCAATTGATATCTTATCTTCTTCTTCTTTTTCTGATGTTGATGTCGATAGTGATCATCATCATTATTATTATTACATTCAAGTAGAACATTTTCACCAATATTTACAACTAAATCCGTTATATTCGATGATGATGATGATGATAATTTCTGTTTTTGATTATTATCTTGTTGATAAATGAATGGCAGCCATAATGATGATGATCCATTTTGATTATTATTATTATAATCAATATGATGATATTTATTTGAAGATGATGATGATTGAGATGATGATATTATTTGGCCAATTGTAAATTTACAATTAAACAATAATAACGATAATAAAATAATGATTATAATATGAAAAAATGAATATAATCCATGATGATGATGATGATGATGATGAAAAGATTGTTGTTGCCTTAGGATTGATAAATATTGTTTACAATGATTACGATTAATAAACAGTAGCCATTGTTGTATGTTTTTATTGAATTTTTTTGCCATTTTTGCCGTAAATGGTATCGATAATGATGGTGAATAATAAAGAAAAACATAATGATGATGATGATTATGATATGATAATAATGATGATGATGATGATGATGAAATGATTGACTTTAAATGACATCGATTATGATGATGATGATGGTTGTTAACTTTTGTTGTTATGGCCGCTGTCATTATTATTGTTTGTTTGATTTTTTTTTTTTTTTGATTCAATAGGATAAATATAGAATATGATGATCTATGTATTGATTCACATTTCACACCGGTTAATAATATAATTCATTTGCAAACAAAACAAATCAACAACAACAACAACAAACAAACAAACAAACAAAAAATCGACCGTAGGCTAACTTGTTGCATGAACATTTTGATCAATTTTTTTTTTTCATTTTTCTTCAGGCAGACCACCATGTGAGAATTTAACCATGTCACCATTCATAATCTTGTGTCCTTGTTTTTTTTCTTCGTTTGAAGAATGTTGATAAAGAGAAACTGTACAAAAATAAAAGATACATTGAATAATCAGTTTTATGTGAAAGTTGATAAAAAAAAAGAAACAAATTAATTATCATCACTTACATCTAGTCCCGCTCTGTGTGTGTGTGTGTGTGTATGTTTTGTGAAATTATCAATTGATTGATCTATTAATCATTGACGATTGGTTCCGGATTTTTGTTTTCGTTTTTTTTTGCACTCTACAAATAGTTTGTCTATATATAATTCATATATAGCATATAATCGATAATCGAAATAATCGATTGTTTTCAAATAAAAAAAAAGAAGAAAAATATTAAGATTAATGATTTATTCGTGACAAAACAGGATTACTAATAATCCTGAGAATGTGAATTCAATCTCAATAAATCTTAATGATTATATATTGAAAGTAACAAAATGGAAACCAAATTGGCAAAATTTTTTTTCCTGAGAAAGTTGATCAAGTTTTGTCGTCGTTTGTCATCGTTGAATGATGATGATGATGATGATGATGATGATTAGGAATTCGATTCAATTTGATGATGATGAATCAACTTCGATCAGAGACCATATATGCAAATAAAACAAATACAAATGAACTATGTATTGATCTCATCGAGTTGTAATTGTTAATTGATGATTATGATGATGATGATTGAACAAAAATATTTCATCTAAACATTGCACACATACACATCAGCCAATGTTTTTTAAATTTTTGGTTCACAAAACCAAATTCATACAACACACACATATCAGTCAAAAGAAAAAAAAAAAACATTGAGTTGTTGTTCATCAACAGGAAAAAATGTGTTTGATCAAAGCAAAAAAAAAGACTACATTTTCTCACTGATGATCATGTTGATGATGATAATGATGATGCTGAAAGATGGTCGAAAAAAATGGGCAGAGTAAAAAAAAAAATTTTTCCATAAACACATGAATGATAGATGGACATTATACATAAGTGGCCATCTCAAAAAAAAAAATACCTCAAATTATCATAATGACCAACCAATTTATTCATTTCTATATATTGGTCAAGCGATCTGACCTGACCAGTGTTTGAATATTGAATGTTGTTGTATGAATAAATTTGTACTAAGAGGGTATTCTTTATTTTCAGTCGTTTTTTCTGTTGCTGTTGTTGTTGTTGTTGTTGTTGTTGTCTTGGTCGATTGATTTTCAAGATCATCATCAATGAGATTCAGACACACACACACACACACAAAAAATGTCTGAACACGATCGAAAGAAAATTCAAGACTGAATGGATGAATAAAATGGTTTGGTGAAAAGAATGAAAATTTCAAGTACACACCAGAAAGAGATATTATGGTTGGAAAAATGCATTTGCATCCCGAGAATCTTATGAATGAATTTATTTTTTTTTTTTTAGTTGCTAATAAATAAACAATTAAACTCGAATCTTAAGTTGTCGAAAGATTGCCTGTTGATCTTTGGTGATGTGTGTGTGTGGATTTTTTTTCCAGATTCCAGTTGTGATGATGATGGTTTGTGATTTATTGATTGTGTACTACAACGCAATCCATTACACATTGGAATGTTAATGAAAAAAAAAATTAATTAAAATAAAACAAACAAACATAATCATCATCTTTGATTTGAATATGGTAAATTTTTAATTTCGTAAATATCTGTTTTTTTTCTGTAAAAATTCATTTTCAGAAATTTTTAATCAAATCGGTTTCAATGGTAACCATGATCGATTACTACTACTACTTGCTGGACTACTGCTATTTTCCGCCATAAACATTGTATTTGGTTGTCGTCGATTTGATGTAGTAGCTATTATATTGCCCATAATTGATAATGGTGATGAATCAATAAAATTCATTTGTGTACAATGATCATCATCATCATCATCAGGATTCAATATAATCGATGTTTGTTGATCGATAATTTTATTGGTATTATTCAATGATGATGATGCTGATTGAATGGATTTTTGTTTTCGTTGTTGTTGTTGTTGTTGTTGTTCATTTCGTTTATTATCATTATTATCTAAATGTCTGGTCATCGATGTTATTATCACTGGTAATCTTATGTCCAAAATTGATCCTTTTTCCGACATAATCTAAATGACAAAAAAAACCATGTGTTAACCATATTTCTATTTGAAAAAAAAAAATCAGACATGACATACATTAGCATTCATCGTATAAAGTTTATTAGTTATATCTCGGCCAATCAATATGTTTAGAATTTTATTCATTTGTTTATCTTTGGCCAGATAATATTCCAATTCCATACGATTCCAACAAAGTATACGACATTGTGTTATGGCAATCAATGAAACATTGAAACGATTATCATTATCGATTACTGTTTGTTTTGCGTTGCTGTTTTTATTCCCCATATGTCGAATGTTAGATGATGATAATTCTTGTTGATGTTTAGTCATCTGTAAATCTTTTGATTTCATTGTTGTTCCCGTACAGCTTTCCCATTCAGGTGAATCAAGAAATTCACCTGGTTTTATTGAATGAAGAAAATGATTTTTTGACAATACATTCATTCTGGTATTTTAAGAAAAAAAATGATAGATTAACGTGTTATTCAATTATAATCATGTATATGATACTCACTTTCCAGTTATAAGTAATGATAAACGATTATTAGCCGTTATCTTTTCGGTTGCATACGATTCACCGGAATGTAATGTCATCAATTTACCTTGATTAATTAATTTTCTAAATGATTCACGTCCAATACCTACTATAGCGAATAGATCATTATATGTTTCTTCCAATTCTTTATCGAATTTAATATATCTTGTAATATATAATTCATTTGCAATACGAATAATATTGACAACAAAAAATGTTATTGACCATCCTAATAGACTAGGCATAAGACTGATGAAACATATTTTCCATATCCATATAATCAATAATAGATGAGCAATGGCCAATATTAAATGTATGAACAATAGACAATATTTACCGGTTGGTGCTAGATATGCAATCAATAAACAAATATATGCCAATTGATAAACAATTGATGTTGCATTTTCTGACCAACAATTAATAGCTGTACTATTATTGTTATTATTAATTAAAGTTGTCGCCGTTGATGATGTATTTATGATAATCATTGATGGATCGTCAATAAATGTTGTGCTACTGTTATTATTATTATTATTGTTGAAATTTAGTAATAATGATGATAATAATCTTCTTTGATGATGATGATGATGATGAATCATAGAAAATGCTGTCGATGATGTCGGTGATGATAATAACATCATACATTGATTGATTTTTTCGTCCTTTCTCAAAGAAATTTTTTTCACACTGTTGATTGATTGATTGATTGATGATTGATATATTAAGGATTTCTATCGCTTGCTGTGCAACCAAAAATCCGATTCAAACATTACCAAAAAAAAAAAAAAAAACGGTGATTGATGATTGATTGATAGTGATCGATTATGAACAATCCATATGGAACATAACAAACAAATATATATATATTCTTCAATCAAATTGAATATCGAGTCTTGATCGACATATGGTACTGGTATTACTGCCAATTTCATACAAACAGCAAACAAACAAACAAACAAACAAACTACAGTATAGCAACAATAAAAATAAATTCTCAAATATGATAAAATGATTGATCGATCTATGCGTATACGATCTACGATTTTAACTCTTGTTGTTCATTGTGTTGTTGGTGGTGCATGTATGGTATGGTGGCAACTACTGTTTAATTTTCTTTAAAATAAGAATATTCTTAAATTTCTGGTCGTTTCTAGCCCATCTTTCTTTCTCACCACCACCAAATACAACCATAATATTATTCTGCATTCTGGTTGCGTGGTTTTTTCTTATTTGTTTTCCCCGTTATTTTCAATTGTTGTTGATTATTGCGCGGTTTTTATTATATATATTATTATTACTATTATCAGACAAACAAACAAACAAACAAACAAACATGGAATGAAAAAATAAAACAGAACATGTGCAATTCTTATTCGATATAAAAAAAATGGGCAATCACATTGGACAAACAATGTTGGTTGATTCGTTGACGACGACAGTTTCTCTGTTTAGAAAAAAAAATTTACTGTAAAACTTTGCTTTTGTTGTTGTTGTTGTCATCTTCAAAATCATGATATCATTATTATTGCCAATTGCATTCAAGCCTGACACATCAACATTTTGAAATGAATGAAACTAGAATATTCTATTTTATTACTTTTTTACTTTTCTAGTCTTTTCCATCATTATCATTCATCATTACAATTACTGCTGTTGCTGTTGTTGTTGTTGTTGCTGTTGCCACTTCCATTTTTTTCGATTTTTTATGTTGTTGTTGTTATTGTTTGAACAAAAATATCGACCGTTGAAAATTGCAAATTTTTTTTTCTTTTCTGAAGAAAAAAAACTTTGAAATTGCAAACTTCAACTTGAATGATGATGATCATCATCATTCAACATTTAATGTAGAAAAATCATAATTTGAACGCGCTAAATAAATGAAAATTCTTATTTTTATATAATTGGCCGATAGATGGCATTAAATGACCAAACACATGTCTAGCCAAAACAACTGATCGATCAACAACATTCGATTCTTGTTATGAATTGAAAATTTCACAAGTGTAAAAAAAAGTTTGTAGCCAAAAAAATGGCCAATATTGCGAAGATTAATTGGCAAAAAGATTTTCATATCGATGAAATCGATGACCATTGTTTCATTGCAAATCTTGATAATAAATTTAATGCAAATTATCTTCAATGGTCACCTGATAATCAATTTTTGGCCGTTAATTTAATGGATAAATTATTGATATTCGAAACAAATATTCATCGTTTACATGGCGAAAGACGTAATCTTCTCAATGAATGTGTTGGTAAACGACTTGGATTTCGTTCGACTCATATCAAACCTGATTCCGGATTCAAATATAAAATAATCACCGCAAATGAAATGAATACAGATTTCTGTTTTGTTTCGCCTGATGCTGAGCCACAATTTATTGATTTTAAATTCGCTCCATCAACAGATGCAAATTGTTATCAAATTTTAGCCTGTCTTAGCGATCAAAATGTTCTCACTATTTATCTGAATTTAAGTCCATTCGAATGGCGACAAATATCTAATGTAACCAGATTTTTAATTGAATCTTTGCTTGAACAACAATCGTCGAATAATGATGATGATTATTTCGATCAATTGAATAGAATACGTATTAGTGCATTTGAATGGCATCCAGATATTGATAATGATCTTCCAAATGAAACTGTTCATCGTTTTCTATATTTCACAACTAAAGATGGTCATCTTTATTCGTTACGTTTAATTATCGATCGTGAAACGGATTGTCAGCTAAAAATACTGCGGAAAATTCAAACCAAATCTGAAATCATTACAATTAAACTGCTGGGCTCAATATTATTATTGATTCAATATCGTGATGGTAGAATAGATTTATATGACCGAAATTTTGAGACGATGACATCATTATGGTCGGAAAAAGATTATCGAATTGGATTGAATTTTGCCTACAAACAATTGTGTAATGATGAAATTGAAATAATTTTCTCTAAATATGATTTCATCATCATTGCTCATGTTAATACGATTACGATGGAATTGGAATCATTGAAAGAAATTTCCATTAAACAGCTAAATGATGAATCTATGGAATTTCATTATGAAAATATTTTTGCCATATTCAATATGAACAATTATTATTGTCTAACAACAATGAATAATGATTTATATTCATTCGAATTTTATGATATCGATTCAACATTTGTGATGAGAAAATTATTACATCCTTCAATGAAAAAACATCCGAATGATGTTCATTATGCATCAATATCATCATCATCAAACAATGCATTATTGGCCATATTAAGTCGACAAAATCGTTTCAGTGGAAAATGTACAAATTTCAAGTCAAAAAACGTTCGTCTATATATTGTTACCACGCACACTGCCAATCCATCCTCGACCATTTTATCATTGACAAATCGTTTGTTTTCTACTAATTTCCATTCATTTAATCTAGCTGATCTTTTGTTTATGATACGTTATAATTTATTACGTTCTAATTCCATCAAAGATGGATTCAATTTGATCACTGATATTCTACTACGAAAAGTTCCAATATGGTTAGAAAAATCCAATAATAATGATGATCTCATTGTTTGGCCATATCGAATCAAATGTATCAGATATCTAGCACGTTATTGTCTGATTGATGGCGAAAAATATCTTCTTTATGACGATGATAAACAAATTGATCACGAAAGACTTGAAAAATTAATTGACATATTAAACAGGCTCATTATGAAAAATCATTTCAAACAATCATCATTACATTTAATGAAAATCATTGTGAACAATAATCGATTGAATAATGAATTATGTATCGAACAATTGATTTCACTTGCCAATCTTATCAAGGCTAATGTTATCGATTTTCTACCCGATGAAATTGTAAAACAAATTATAGAATCAGTTGAAAATATACCACAGTATTGTCCTAGTTGTAATAACATTGTCAAAAATCCGGCATCATTTTATCTGGATCATTGTAATACAAAACAAAATTGTAATGGCCATCAATTTGATGTGGATTCAAATTCATTAATGATATTGAATCCTATTGAACATTCGATTGAATCCTGTCTAAAATGTTATGAATCAAAACTATTTATTCGAGATGATCGAACAAGCCTTTGGCAAGAACCACAAATGTATCCATTTCGTTTTGCATCCAAATGTTGTTTATTTTGTATTTGATTCAAACAAAACTCTTGAGTGACACCAAATCAAAATAAATAAATTTTACAAAAACACACATTTTTAATAAGGAATTGCTTATTAATTTTATTTTTGAATCTGTTTTCATTAATTTCGTTGAAAATTTTTTTTTGACTAGAGGCGCCATCTGATGACATAAAAACTACAAATCCGAACATTCAACAGGTAGTTGGTAGTGGCGTCCCCTATAATCAAGCGTTTTTGGTGAATTTCATCTTTTTTGATGATTTCATCTCCGATTTTAAAATAAAATTGCTATTAGTTCAAATTATCGAACTTAATTGAATTGTATTTTTTTTATTAAGAAAAAGATGATTTAGATAAGATAACATTTTGAAAGCCCGGAAGATGAGTGAAAATGTTTCCAAAATTTAAAAAGGATTTATTAATGATCTAGCAACACAATAGAAATCATAAAGAATTCTATGATAAATCTTTTTCAAATTTGACCACTATACAAGTCATATTATCGCCTCCATTTTGACCATCGATTGGTCGCACAGGCGATATACATCTTCGAATCATTTCCTGGCAAATTTTCGAAGGTTTCATATTTCTTTTGATGTATTTTCGAACAACTGAACAAGCTTCTTTCTCGTTCATAGAGTTCCAAATACCATCACAAGCCAGAACAATGAAATCATTGTGACGTATTTTTTCGTTTGATACAGTTATATCGGGCCAAGCAATTAGCGCTTGTTCTTTCTGGCCAAGAGATCCATTTGCTTTGAGCATATAATCACCAAAGGCACGTGATAAATTTAAACCAGAATTAATACGACCATTTATGACACGAGACCCAGCCATTTCAATTCTTTTCAGTTCTTTCATATCGGTTGGTTTATGATCCAATGTCATTGGACGTGTTTTGTTTTTGACATAGATCACGCAGCGTGAATCACCAATATTGGCAACATGTAATTGGCCATTCTGTTTACATAATAAGGCAACCACGGCTGTTGAACCTGTCACCATGGCCAATAATGGCGATGTTTGACGACGTTTTATACGACCATAACATAATTCATGTTGGTGACTAATTTTTATCAATTCATTATTGACACTATTATTTAATAGTGAAGAATCGAATTGCATGAATACTTCTTCCAATGCTTTACCTATGTGAATAAGAAAAAATGTGTTTTTAAATCAAATGAAACAAAAACAAAACAAAAATCATAGAATAAATACCATAATCTTTTTTCTTATAACAGGAATTGTTTTTAATCAATTGTGGTAATTGTTTAGCAGCATAACGAGCAATTTCGGGTCCATTATGGCCATCAAAAATGGCAAACAATGCTAACTGATTGTCTGAATCGAATTCAAGATCACAGATATGTGCATCCTCTTGATTTACACGCCATCCTTGTACGGAAGCAACACCGGCCGACAGTCTAATATCATCATGATAATCACTACATTCACATTCTAATTTAGGATAAGGTAAATAAAATTGTGCAACAATCTCTTCTTGATATTGTTCGTCTTCATAGTGTTGACGAGCAGATGTGGTTTGCTGTCCATTTGAACGTAAAGCAGAAAACCAACTCATTATTATTCAAAAGAAAAGAATTTTTTTTGTTATATTTCAAATGGTAAAAATGAAACACTTTTTTTTTGGTAATCGATAAGAAGAACGAACAAAATAAGATCAAAACACATCAAAACTATTCAAACATAACAATTGAAATGAAATATCATCATCATCATAATCATCATCAAGATTTAATATTGATGATGATGATCATTGTGAAAAAAAAAAAAATCAAACTGTTTATTCATTGTCTATATATTGATATTAATAATAACTACTATTTATGTGATCATACATCAAAGGTATTGATTGACAATTGGCAAAAGAACATTATCAAAAAACATTGTCATTAAAGGTTTAAAAAAAACACACACACACACACACACACACGACTTATAGATACACATAAAATGATGAAAAACCAAAAACAAAAAAGATTACTGAGAACTAGATCAAAACATGTTTCAGATTATTATTATGTCAATCATGAATGAAAATAAATATTTAATGTGTAGCGATCTGCACCCAAATGCAAACAACAACAACAACAACAACATTATTAACCGTTTTCATTAATTGACAAACAATTTTGAATGAATAAAAAGAAGTGGAAAAAGAAGAAGAGAAAGTAAAAAAAAATGTATTTTATAAACTGAAACAAATGAAATTAAAAGTTGAAATGAAATGGCAAGAAACTCTTCTTCTTTTTTCTTTTTTTCTGGTTTGACGACGTCTCAAATTGTTTTTTTTTTTTTTTTTTTTTTTTTTTTTGATTCAAAAATGAGTCCTGGATTCACCTGGTTAGTAGTTTGTTTGTGTTTGTTGATCATGGATCTGTGTGTATATGTGTGTTGGTGGGCTAATTTTATTTTCCAGAAAAAAAATCAATAATTTTTTCAATTTTTTTTTCTTCTTTATGAAGACATTGTATGCGTGTCTAAAAAGATTGTTTCAGAAAGGAAAAAAAAAATTTATGGCCCAAATTCATATGGTTTGTTGTTGTTGTTGTTGTGGTTTTCTGAGTCAATAAACGCAAACAAAAATCCATGGTGATGGCAACCAACCATATATATTGCCAATTGTGGTGTGCTTTTTGTTTGAAAAAAATGGTTAATTATCATCATTGTAATTTATAGCGGAGATATTTTGATTGACATATGAAGGTATACAACATGATAACAGTAAACAAAACAATAACAATGAATTTCGAATGAAAAAAAAACAGAATTGCATGTGTACATGTTTAGGTGTTTGTTTTTCAATGTTAATTGATGAATTGATTAAAGATCAATAGATAATGGATCATTTTTATCAAAATCCATGATAGATGATTCAGCAACTTTGATCATATCTTTTTCATATTTATCACTCATTGTACGAGTTTGATCATATTGATTAGCAGGGCAATTCGAATATCTAATAGCACATTGATGACATTGATTATGGCGACCAAATTCATAGCCACGATCACCACCACTGAAAAAATAACCCATTGGATCTTTTTCGGTTGTACCGAGCATCTCTACAGAATTTATCATCGGTTCACCTATTTTAATCTCTCCTTTTACTGTACGTTGGCATATATTTTCACATAGTAATCGTGTCATACAATCGGTTAGATTTTGTTGTCTTGTTGTATCAAGTTCTTTGTTGAAAAAATCTTTGACATAACCTTCGACAAAATTTTCAAACATTCCATCACCAGTACCATCATCAGATATAACATCAGCACCGTACGATGGTGAAAATACTGTAGAAAACAATAATATTAACAATAATACAAACAATGACATTATTTTATCGATTGATAGGAAACGAATAGGAAAGAATATCAAAAAACCAACGTTTGTTGTTTCAACGTTCAAAACATCAAATATGAACGGATGAAAAAGTGAAAAACTTGACAATCGAAATTGAGCTTGAAATATCTAGCTATTTGATATATGTAGGGATACTATATTTGAATTGCAGCGGAAAATATCTTTTTGAACACAATTTTTGAATTAGAGAAAAAAAACGCTCGATTGAACACACATACAATCCTTGGGGAATTTTTCACGGATAAAAGCACACACAATCGTAGCAATGTCAGTGTATCTATAGAAAAAAAATGTAACGAAACTAAATGAAACGAAACGAAATTATAAGAGAAAACCAAAGCTAAAGTGAAATTACATTTTTTTTCTTATTATAATGAAATTTCATCACATACACACACTGACCATTGGTTTACGTCATTTAGCGAACAGCGGATAGGAAAATTTTCAACAACAATTCTTCAGGGTTGAATGGTTGTTTCAGAGAAAATAATAAAAATAAAGAAAGAAAAAACGATACATACCTTATGATGGTTACCGAAAAAATCATTTGGAACAGATTCACATTCGATTCGTTTATGAATCAATGAAACGAATGAAAACAGAAAAACAAAAACAAAATTCACAAACAACGGAACTACAAGTTTGACCATTCGACACATAGATGGTAGCATTGTCTTCGAATGATAAATAAATCGAATAGAAATTTTGAACAATTTCTTTTTTTTTCTTTGAAATTGAATCGATGATTTTTTTTGTTTGACACAATCATTAAGATGACAAGGATGATGGCAAATTGTTTTATGGACTATAAAAGGACCAACCAGTTGTCATTACATTTCACTAAATTTATTTTGTTACCAAAAGTCTTGCTGTGATTTATTAAATTCAACAACAACAACAACGACAACGATTTTATATCCGAAAAAATGGCTTTTACCCGTAATTTGATTATTACCATTTTCGTTACCGTTTCAACTTTGGCCCATTTCGTTTATGTACAAGAAACAATCGGTAATAATGAAACGACGACTGCTGCTCCATTAATACCATCATCATTTGGCTCGATTTCATTGAATGAATTGAATGAAACATTTCATCAGATTCTATTCAATACGGCCAATTTGACCAACCAATGGCAATATGAATTACTGAATACATCGACGGCTATTGTATCGAATTTAACGAAACATTTAGAATCATTGAATAATAATACATTGGTTCATATGTTATACAATACAAGCCTTACATCGATGGAAACTGGTACCAATGTATTCACCGAAAGTATTGCAAGACCGGCAACATTTTTTGTTGGACAAAATTTACGTCTACTTGGCAGTGGTCTTTGGTCATTGGGACATTCATTGAAACATTCTGGTTACCATATTTCCAATCTAGAGCCAGTCATACAAAATGTATCACAAACATTATCTGAATATGGTATCAATTTGGTCAATGCAAGTATTCAACATTAATCATCATCAGCCAATCAATCAATTCAACAATACGTTGACGTCGACACAATACTACTCATCATTAAATTAAATTATAAATCATCCACTTCTATTTATGCTTTTCTAATCATTTTTTTTTGGCATTGTTTTACATTTTGAAATTGACTAAATTTTCCATTTCTGTAAAATATTGACTTTAACAATAAAGCAAGAAAAGAGGAAAAAAATTTATTCGCATTTTATTTGCAGTTTTTTCAAAAAATTTTTTTTTTATAGTTTTTGTTGTTGTTGTTGTCGTGTCATCAGATCATGTGTGTGTGTGTGTCTGCGTTGACAGTCAAAAAAAAAAAATCAGGATTTTTTCAGTGTTTTTCAAAAAAAAAAAAAAAAAAAAATGAAAATGATGATGATGATCAAAATGTGATAATTGAATTATTTAATAGAATTTTTTTTTTTATATGAAGATCAAGAAAAAAAGAGAAAATTCATTTATGAATTTGATGGAAAAAAAAAAAGAAGAAGAAGAGAAAAAAGATCGATAAACAATTGAAATATATAGATCATAATAATCAATAATAATAATTATATATCATAGAGAGAGAGAGAGAGAGAGAGAGAGAGAGAATTTTCATTTTTCAATTCAAAATTGGTTCCAGGATCAATGGTGGCCAATGTTTTTAATGTCAATTTGTATGTATGTGTGTGTGTGTGTATGTTAAATATTCATTTATTTATATATATAGAGAACATGATGATGAAATGAAATGAAAAATTTGATGATGATGATTGTGAAATATGGAAAAAAAGATCCAATGAAGATGATGATGATGATGATCATGGTGATCAAAATGAATGATGCTTATTGCTTGTGTTTGTGTGTGCGTGTGTGTGTGTGTGTGTGTGTATGGTAATTGAGATTTGACAACAAGAAGAGAGAGAGAGAAAAAATATTGGCTCATCATATATATCGTTATGATGATGATGATGATCAAATGATCAGATGATGATGATGATGATGATGATGATTAGATAATTGGATTATTATTATTATAAAGATATTTTTGTTTGTTTGTTTTGTGAAAAAAAAGAAAGAAAAAAAATTCATCATTTTCATTTCATTCAAATGATGAATTTTTTTCATTTCATTTCATTTGAAAATCATTATTATTGCTTATTATTATTATTATTACTTGAAATCGAAGCCCAATCGAATTGTTTATCATTTTGTAGCCATTTTTCTTTGTTTTGTTTATTGCTTTTTGCATTGCATTGATTGTGTGTGTGTGTGTGTGTGTTTGTTAAATTATTGCTTTCGGGTAATAATAATGATGATGATGAGAAAAAACGTTTTTGTTGTTGTACAGAATTTTTTTGTACTTTTAAATTTTTTTTTTTTTTGGTCACAAAGAAAAATCAACAGAATATATATATATATATAATGAATGAAGACCTGGAATTTCAAATTATGCTGATCGATTTTGGTCGGTGGTGATGTTGAATTTTGTGTTTGTGTGTGTGAGTGTGTGTGTATGTTGTGCATCTTGTTTTCACCAAGGAGAAAAAAAACGAATAAAAATATCAAAAAATGAAAACAAACAAAAAAACAAACAAAAAACATTAGGTTTGCATCATCAATTGTTTTAACATGGGTAGAAAGAGAGAAAAATATATAGAGAGAGAGATTTCATTTTTTTTTCAAGTCGACACAATAATAAATTGATTGATTGATTGATTTTTTTTCTTGTAACGAAACAGAAGAAAAAAAATTGACAAACAAACAAACAAAAAAACAAAACAAAACAAGAATCAGAATAAGTATATGGCGGGCACAAGGGGGGAGAAAATATGAATTTTTGACATTCTGCTTCATTTCTTACCATCGTTGCAACAGAAATTAAAAAGTAACAGAATATTTAGGTAACCTCAAAAGTTTTCAAATAAGTTTCTGTCTGTATAATTTTGTTGTTGTTGTTGTTGTTGTATTTGTATCAAATTATTCCTGTGAAAAGGCTTGAAATAGGAAGAAAGAAATCATGATTGTTTCAAAGATGTAAAGATAATGTATCGTTAAGTGGATGCGATGATGATGATGATGATGATGAATCAATTAATCAATATGATGATAGGTGGATGGGGTCAATTCTTCTTTTTTTTTTTTTTGGCTGCAAACATTTGTATTTTGAATTTGCAATGATTGATGATTGATGATGATTATTAGCATGATGATGAGGAGAAAAAATGAGGTGATGATGATGATGAAATGGAACCAAAATTCAGCAAGTGAACGAAAAGAAAAAGTTTTCATCTGGATCGTCAATATTATCGTCGTCTTTTTTTTTTTCTTTGACCGGAAGCCGTATAGTCGTCGTTATTTTTTTATATTAATTCGATAGAATTTGTGCTCATCGGTAGTAGTAGTAGTAGTAGTAGTAGTAGTGGTAAAATCGTTGCATATTCACTTTTTTTTGCAGAATTTGAACTTGAATTTATTTATTTTTATTATTTGAAATCGAAATTGATATGTTTTCTGGTGTTGAGTGGGTGTGTGTATGTGTGAATGAGAGTGTTCATTATTATGAAAATGTCATCAAACTTTTTTTTTACACGAAAAGATGAAAACTTGATCAATTCGTGAAACAAACCGGAAGAAGATGATTGCAATAAATGAAAATCAGGAAGAACGGATGTCGTTGTCAAATATTTATATTTTCTTGATGATTCTTTCAATAATGAATGTTGATCATCATCATCATCATCATCATCAATTCTCAATTCTCATGATGATAATGTTTGCTCAATTTAAAGTGATAAATTCTGTATTATGAATCATATTCATAAGGGAAAAAAAAGAAAAACGAAGAAAAAAAAATTCGGTGTTCAGGGAATGGATGAATGAATGAATGAATGAATGAATGAATGAAAATATCAATCAATCAATAATAATTATTCGGGGAAGAAGTGAAAAATTTTTTTTTTTTTTTTTTGAATATATGCGAGAATTTTCATTAATTTATTGCAATATTGAAAAAGATGTCGTTGAGATGATCATCACAATTCTGTTTCTGCCACAATTATTAATATAAAAAAAATAGCTGCAACAAAGCTGGTTGATTGTTGTTATTTTGAAATTTTTTTTGTTGTTGTTGTTGTTGTACGATGTTATCTCAGGTTTTATGGTGTTTTTTTTTATTTGTAGCAGATGTTGTTGGTTGGATTTTTATTTTTAAATTTTAATTTAATCAATAAAATTATTAGATGGATGTGAATAGCGGCTCTTTTGGATGATGAATTATTTCAAGATTTGATAGCAAAAAATTGGTATGGACTTGGTACAAAGCCAGCGGCTGTTTTGCGATTTGTTGTTGTTGTTGTTGTTTATTCGTGTAATATGTGTTGTTGTTGGTGAGATGGTAGGTGTGATGGTGGTGGTGGTGGTGGTGGTGGTGGTGGCGTTTCATGTCCAGAGCGGATTTTAGTAGTTTTTTTTTATATTTCGGAAAAAAATAAATGAAAAGAAAGGAATCGAGGTGAAAAAAAATCAATGAAGCAAAGTCAAAAAAAATTATTTAATCGGTATTATGTAAGTGGCGGAGCGGATAAAAGGTGTCTCGTCTGTATTGGAATTTTTGTTTTCTGCTATAACTAATCCTGAAACAACAACAATTGAAATGCTGCGCCTGATTTTTCATATTTCACTGGTTTCAATTTAAATCTAATAAAATGTTGTGCACTTGTTTGTTTATCATAATGAAAAAACCACCTGAAGCCACCTACCTGGGCCAAACATCAATCAATCAATTAATCAATCAAAATACTAAATGAAACCCGAAGCGGCCACAATTCACCACAACTGGACAGTTTTTTTTTTATCTGGAACAATAATGTATGAGTGTGTGTGTGTGTGTGTGTTTGTATGTGTTTGGGGGTGTGTATGTATTCTGTCTGTTTATTACAAATATAATGGATGGATGAATGTAATGAATAATAATATAATGAAAGAACAATTCTTCATCATCATATCATATAGATCATTGAAAATGATCGATAATATCATCAATTGAAAAATTGATTTGAAAAATGAGAGAAAGAGAGAGAGAGAAAAATAGTAGTGAGAATCAAAATTATCATCAATATCATCATATATAGAGAAAAAATGGAAGACCAGTAAATGGGGGTATGAATAACAAAAAAAAAAAAAAATAGAAGAAATGAAATCATGCACCATACACAACACACACACACACACACACACACACACACACACACATACATAAATAATTGAAATGGCAAAAATCCAAAAAGATTGGGATGCATATGTATATCATTCATTGGTTCATCATCATCATCATCATCATCGATTTCTATCAAAACAAATCAATCGGATTCTCATGGAAAATGAATGAATGAAAGACAAATGAAAAGATCAAACGATGATGACGATGAACGATAGAAATATATAGAGGAAAGAACTTGTGGTATTCAATTTCAATGATGATGATGATGATGATGATGAAATCAATCATTATGTGAATTAGCAAGAAAAAAAATTGAATGAAAAAAACAAAGAAAAATGAAAATCAAAAAAATTTTTTTTTCACCAGAAAAAAAAATTAAAGAAAAATAAAAAATTTGAATTGAAAATTTTGGATAAACAAAAAAAAAAATTTTGGAAACGCTGGTTGGTTGGTTGGTTGGTGTAGTGTGTGACAAATTTTTTTGAATAAAATTGGAAAAAAAAATTGTAAAAAAATAAAATGATGATTTGAATGTTTAGTGAAATATATTTACAGAATAATAACAGAATTTGAAGAAGAATAAGAAAAAAAATAAAGAAAATTTGTGTGAAACGAAAACAAAACAAAAAAACAATTTGCGATTCTGTTTTCTGTTTTTTTTGTTGTGTGTGTGTGTATTCAAATATCACAATTTGTTTGTTTGTGGGTGGGTGGTTGGTTGGTTGGTTGGCTGGATTTTATGCTGGAAATTTGACTGGAATCTCATCCGGTAAGATTTTTTTTTTTTTTGCATACACACACACACACACATACAAATGAGAATTGTATCTATTGAAATCAATCAATCAATCAATCAATCAGAGTTATTATTATTGTTGTCGTCGTCGTCGTCGTCATTTGATTATTATTGTAAAAAAAAATTGATCAAGTTATTTGTTTGTATCTATATTTGAACCCGCAAATATGTTTTTTATTTGAATCAGAACAAAACAATCAATCACATTAATCAATGCATCGATCGATCAATTATTTGTCTTTTTTTTTGTTGTTTTTGTTTTTGTGTCGTGTTTTTTGTTTTTTTTTTCAAATGTAAAAATTATCATCATCATCGTGATCATCAATGAATGAATGAATGAGAAAAATTTTTTTTTTTTGATAACAATTTGTTGTTATATGTCAAAAAAAAAAAAATTATTTACACACGTAATTTATGTGGTCCAGCCATTAGATGATGATGGCCACTCATTATAATATCGTTCACTTGATGACCAGTTGCAAAATTGTGGCCGCTGCCGGGTTGTGATTGTGTTAGCTGATGATGATGGTGATGATGTGACGGTGGTGGTGGTGGTGGTGGTTGAGGTTGAGGTTGTGATTGTGGATGGCTATGATGATTATTGTTGGTGGTTATCGTTGTCAAACCGTTCGTAACGGCTGCTGCTGCTGCCGCAGCTGCAGCATTACCATTTGAAGCTGCAGCGGCTGCTGCCGCTGCCGCTGATGCAAACATTTGACTAGGCAAAAATGGTAAACAATAACTGGATACCGGAAGCACACCGTCCACGCTACCTGTAATTGATTGATTGTATATGGATATATATACGGTATATATGTAGTATCACTTATTTTTGATTGATATTTATTGATTTGTTTGTTTGTATTTGGCTATTTTGGGTTTAAATTAATTTGGGTGATGTTTTTTTTTTTGTTCATTTTTTTTCTCTTTTGAACACATGTATAATTAAATCATCACTAATTCAAATTAATTGATGCTGACCTATGTTGTGTCCTTTATCGAAGTGGTTTTGTTGTTGTTGTTGTTATTATTGGCAGCATTAAAAAGTTAAATCATTTATTTATATAGGCGTGAGCGAGTGTTTTTGTGTGTGTGTGTATGCGTGTGTGTTAAGGAGTGTGGAATTTTTTTTCCTAGATAAAAGCCCTAGCCATAAAGCTTTTTTTATGACAATCCTAAACAATTTGATCATGAATTTTTTTTCAATACTGAAATACTAGTTTTATAACAGAAAGATATCGAGAACCAGTAGATCCACACCACCGCAAATACAAAAGAAAAAGGGTTTATACGGTATGTCATTCTAAAAAAAAAGAATGGGATTGATTCCTACCTGTAAATGGGTAGCCAAAACCGGGATAACTTGGATAACCACCACGGCCAGCATAACCAGCTGCATAGGCTGCGGGAAAACCTATATATAATGATAAAATGATAATAAAAACATGAATGAATGGATGATTGAATGAAAAAAATGGTTGCTTAAATGCATTATGGAAAAAAGGCGTTTCTATATTGAAAAAGAAAACAAAATATCATGCACAACAGTATAAAAAAAACTCTACAGGGTGGTAATGAGAAAATGAAATGAATTTTGTGACTAACTATTAAAATACTAAATAAATAAAACATGCAATCTATTTTCAATGATGATGGTCATTCATTTTCATGATGGAAAGAATGAATCTAATCTAAACTATGATCTACTGATAAAACAGAAAAAAAAGTTAAAGGGTTAAATAATTATCATTTTGGGTATTTTTTGGAATTTTTTTTTTTTTTGAAAAAAAATCAAAATAATATAATTACTTGGCGAGCAAGCGTGATCTGCAAGTGAAAGACCGGCACCGGCGCCACCGGCATTTCCGGCTGCACCATTGGCGCGTGTCAAATCTGGTCCACCGCTGCAAAGATGATAGATGGCTTTAGCAGTGGGACCAGCAGCAAGGCAAGCAGCTGCAGCAGCTGCTCTTGTAGTAGGATCTGGATTTTGAATTGAATTTGTTTATTTCAATGATTTTTTTTTATTATTTTTGGTTTTGGTTTTTTTTTTATTGTTGGTGCATTTTCGTTGTTGTTGGTGTAATTGAATTATGAATGAATGAATGAATGAAAAAAAAAAAAAAAAAAAGAAATTGTTTTTTTGAACAATACGCATTATTATTAGTCACATCAAATAATGTCAAGAGAAAAAAAATGAATAAAATTCTCTATATGGATTGGAAGGGTGAATTTACATGCCATGGAACAGGGTGAATGAAAAAAAAACAATCTAATCTAAGGAAATTGTATGATAATATTCTATTGGATTTGTACGTCTAATTGGTCACTACCACTTAAATAGGATTCTAACATCAACAACAACAACAACAACAACATTAATCTACGTGGCTAGGAGACAATAAAAATTTGGGTGAAACGCAAATATCGTTAATTAATTAATAATTTAACGAAAAAAAAACAAAACAAAACAAAAAAAAAATTAACGAGCATTCATTTTTCTTTCTGGTCAAATCAAATTGGATACAACAAACAACACATACCATCGGCTAGTGCTCCAAGCGGCCAAACCAAATCTATCGTTATTTTGTTTATTTGATTGATACAAGAGATACAGAAAAAGGGAGAGAGAGAAAAAAACAAAATAAAAATGATTAGTGAGATGAAAAAAAAATTTAAACATTTCTTCTGATCAATCAATCGATTAATCGATTGTATTGAATGAACAACAACAACAAAAATAAAACATCAATTTACCTGTAGTTCGGCCACCACGTGAAACATTATTGGGCATCATTACTTCTTTTGGTTGTGCTTTTTTGCATTCAACCATTTTATTATTAATCTCATGAAAATGTACTTCACAAACTTTGTCGACAACATCTTCACTTTCGAATGTGACAAAACCGAATCCTTTGGAAATTTTGATAATGATGAATAATGATGATTGAGTGTGCGTGAGTAGAGTTGGGGGGAAGAAAACAAGAAAAAAAAATCCAACGAAAAACATTAATTAGTAAATGTGGACAATGGACAAAATTTGATCTTGATTGTAACAAAAAAAAATTTGAAAACTTTTAAACTGCAATAAGAGAATCATGGAATTAACAATTCCACTTAAAATCATAAAAACATTAAACGGAAACGATGATTGTGACACCTACAACAACAACAACAAAACTCTAATTGCTTGTAAATATTAGTGGAGACAACAAAAAAAAGATTTCAAGACACTTACACTGTCAAAAACATTATAAATACATTCACATATTTAGTGTAAAAATAAATGAATTTGAAATCAATAAATAATGATCGATCAAAAAGATCCATCATCATCATCATCATCATAATCATCGTTTTTTTTTCATTTCAAATCTTAAAAACAAGAAAATGATTACTACTACTACTACTGCTACTATTTTTTCATAATTACAAGTCTTTCAATGTTTCTTTATCGTCGTTGTCGTCGTCGTTGTTGTTGTTGTTGTTGTTGTAGAATCATGTTTAATGTCATCATCATCATCATTTTAGATCTTGTCTCTTGTTTGTTAGAAAATAGACATCATTACTAATGGCGTGTGCCAAAGACAAACACACAGTAAATATTATATAACAACAACAACAACAACAACAACAAGAGATACAGATTCAGAAATTACTTTTTTTTCCTGTATATTTTAGGTAGTAGCAGTAATAGTAGTTGTAGTAAACTTTGTGAATGAAATTCGATTAAAGGCAATTTGTTGTTGTTGTTGTTGTTGATGCTGTTATTCTATAATGCAATTGTTATGTTGTTTGTTTGAAGCTAATATTTTCAAAGAAAAATGATGATGATGATGATGATGAAAAAATGTCAGTATTTTATGCGTAATCATCTACTAGTTGTATAATGGATGTGTCCACACAATAGTGGCCGAGGTGGTGGCCGACAAGAAAAAGAAAAAAAAATTTTTGAATATTCAAACGACCACGACGACGACGACTACGACTACGATAAGAACAAGAATTGACAAATGAAAATAAAATGTAAAGCTGAAAACCTTTTTTCGTTCAGCCAGGAAAAAAAAGAGAAAAGAAATTGATAAAATTTGATTACCGATTCTCACACACACACACACACACATCAAACCAATGAAATCATCCAATACATTTAATTCAATTCATCAATTTCATTCAAGCGAGTAAAATTCATTTCATTCATTCATTCATTCATTCACACAACTTAAATAAATGCCAAACAGAGAAGCCAACATTTCAGGGGAAAAAAAGCAAAATTATGGCCATAGCATAATAATTTGGACCATTTATATCATCATCATCATCATTATCATCATTATATCAACGTTGAAAAGCAATTGAAGCAGCAGCAGCAGCACAGAGAGAAAAAAACAGTGAAAGAATAAAGAAATCAAATTAAATTATTTTCATTTTGTTTGATTTTATCAATTTCATACATTTAATGCTATTCATTTATTACTTGTCATCATTTGCTGTCTTTTTTTTTTGTTTGATTTTTGTAAATACAACAACAACGTATAATGATAATTGATGAAATTATTAAATTACCAAACAAGCAAAACGATATGATAATTATGATGATGATGACATTGTGAAGCCAGCAAACAAAAAAAGAAAATTGGAAATTTCGGCAAAAAAAAGTCTGCAACAAATCGATAAAAAATGTTTTTTTTTTTTTGGTTTGGAAGAACGAAATACAAAAAAAAATGTCTGAATATTAATGTTTTGAATATCTAGATTCATTATATACGACATTAATGAATGGGACTGAGAAAAAAAAATGATTATTATGGCCGACTTTTGTTTCATGATTTTCAGCATGATATGAATGGCAGTAAAATAGACAACAAAAAAAAATCATCATTATTTCGGTGATTTTTGTTGTTGTTGTCATTTTATTGTTGTATTATATTCTTTCCAACAACAACAACAACAACAACGAGATAAAATTTTTTTTTCTTCACTTTTCTTCACTACACACAAATCAAGAAACACAGATATAAACAACATTAGAACAGAAAAAGAGAGAGAGATAAAAATCCATTCTATACCATTTTTTCCAAGAAGCCATTGCTTGCACTCACTCACACACACACATTTGAAATCCAGCAAAAAAACCAACAACAACAAAATTTAATGGCTTGATCCATTTGAATTTATTCCTCTTATTCTCTGTGCATTTCGTTGCCATTATGCACACACACACACACACACACACATACATGTCATTCTGGCCGGGATTCTTGGCAACTGGCAACAATAATAATAATCAAAAAGAGAAATGGTGAAACAAAAAATGTTGAATTGAACAAGTAAAAAAAAATTTTTGGCAAAAAAAATATGTGAAACAAAAAAAAAAAAAGAATCCACTTTTCACTTACCTCTATGACGATTGGTCTGTTTGTCGAACATTAACATTGCGTCTTCAATCTAGAATATAAAACAGAAAAAAAACAAAACAAAATGAACACAAAGAGAATAAATGTTAGTGTGATATACAACATTCAACATGATAATAATGATGATGATGATGATAGTGTGTTTCATATCTCTAGGGTGTTTTATCTATTTTTCATCGCCCATAAGGTGTGCATAATATAATCACCTAGTGTGTACAAATTTGTATTTGTATTTTTTTTTTTTTTTTGTTTCAATATCATTCCATCATCATTGTATTTTCACATAAAATAAATTTAAACAATTCAAAAATATAAATTTTGATTAATTATTCAAAATTTTCAAACATTGAAACATTCAACGAGACAAAACAAAAAAAAATTCTGTATGAAATAGCAATGGAAAAACCAGAAATCTAGAGAAACATTTTTTTTCTATTCAATGATGAAAAGATGATGGCTGAAAAAGCTTTCTGTGGATGGTTTAAAACATCGGCCGTGTTATTATTACATTTTTGGGGGCCTGAAGCCTACAATAAATGGAACTGAATTATGAAAATATATAGAGAAAAACAAGCAGAGTCTCAGTTTTTTTTCCATTCAATTTTTCTAGATTTGAAATTGTTGAAATGGTTGAAAATGAAAAACAACAACAACAACAACAAAATTGAATGAAATTGAAACAAAAACATTTGGCAATTTCTGTTGCGAAAAAAAAGTGTGAATCAAGAATAGAATCAAAAAAAAAAAAAAAGGATACACACGACATCTAACTAAGGGGGCCAGAATAATAAATCGAAATGTAAAAAAAAACTTACCCGACCAAATTGTTGGAAATAGTTTTTGACGTCATCTATAGTGGTAGGCGCTGATAGACCACCGACAAATACTTTTTTCGTTCGTGTAACCATTTTTGGATGTGCTCGTTTAGGAAAGGCAATCTTGGGGTCGATCTATCCACATACACCAATGACACCATATATATATATACACATAATAATAATGCACCATGAAAGAAAAAAAATAACAGCAGAAAACACAAACACATTCATGACATCACAGACACACACACACACACACACAAAAACAATTTCAAGATAATCATTATTTTTTCCAAGATAAAAAATAACGAGAAACAGGAAAAATAAAAGAATTTTGTTGTTGTTGTTTGTTGCAATGACGATTGATGAAAATGTGAAGATTTATATGTATCGATAGTATCGATGATGATTACGATGATCAAATAACAATTGATGATGGTTGTAATAATATTAGAAAAAATGGAAAAGAACAAAAAGAAATAAAAAAGATGATTAAAAGCATTCTTTATTATAGCAAACTATAGGATGAAAGACAAAACATACCTTTTTGCCATCCAATTCATGTGGTCCATTCATAAGTACTTTGTCCACACTGGACGAATCGGCAAACGTTACGAAGCCAAAACCACTGAAATGAAAAATAAAAATAAAAAAGAATAACATTTAGATTCATGAGAACGCATTTTTTGTTGTTGTTGTTGTTGTTCAAATGATATAAAAAAACCTAGTATTTCTTTTTCCATGGAAATATTCTTCTTACGGAACCTAGTTAGTCACTTTCATGATTGAACAATAGATGCATAGATATTCTTCTATACTGAAGTTTATATAATCCTTTTTTCAATATACTTGAACCGTTTACTCTATTTTTATTCAAAAATCAAAGATTCTGTTTATTCATATGTAGAATCTTAAGTGAAGCAAAAGAAAAAAAACAGCCATTATTAATAATAGTAGTGAAGCGGAGAGCAAAAGTATCGCATTTGTCCTTCACATTGGTCATTTTCAGCATCATCGACTGGATGTACATATTTATGAGCTCAGGATCTTCGAATTCTTTTCGACAAGGCTTTCCAGCTCTTTTTATATCCATTTTTGGGTTTCGCATCGATCCCATATCGAAGATGCTTTTACCTCTTGCCAATACCGGAAAATGATGATTCTTTTGAACTTTCAGAAATATTTTTCCGTTCAATAATCAGCGATTCAACACGACTTTGAACGCTGGCCATTCAGCAACATTATCCTTAAACGATTTGATTGAATTTACAATTTTGTAAATCGGTATATCATTTTTCGCATCAGGATTGGATCCACTAGACGAAACACGATCATCATCATCATCGATATGACTACCATGAGTACTTTATCATCATTATTATCAGCATCAGATTCATTTAGATCCACGTCATCATCACCATCATCATTAAAATTAACATTTAATTTTCACTTGATCAAAATCACAAAATTACAAGAAAAGTATAAACACACACAAAATGATTTTCACATCAAAAGTTCGATAAATGTGCTTTCGACTATTCAGCCATATTCACAAACAATGTACCGCAACACTAGTATTTCTTTTTCAAGGAAATATTCTTCTTACGGAACCTGAAGTTAGTCACTTTCATGATTGAACAATAGATGCATAGATATTCTTCTATACTGAAGTTTATATAATCCTTTTTCAATATAGTAAGAACTGTTTTACTCTATTTTTATTCAAAAATCAAAAGATTCTGTTTATTCATATGTAGAATCTTAAGTGAAGCAAAAGAAAAAAAAACAGCCATTATTAATAATAGTAGTGAAAAAAAAAAGTCAAGAATTTTTTTTTTCACTCACAAAAATAATTCTTTCGTGTGAAATTCATTCTCACTACTTTGTCAATTGGACGATTTTTAAATATATTCAAAGAAAGAAAAATGGTGAAAAAAAAATTCTAGAAATAGAAAAGTAAATGGAAAGCGGTATTCTGGATATTCTGTCTGTCTGTATGTATGTCTGTTGTAGAATCGTTCAATTCTGTTAAGATTTTTTTTTGAAAAAAATATATAAATGATAATAATATCTTTTAAAAACATATAATCCAAGTCAAAATTGAATTGAAAAAGGCAAAATGAAATCAGAGAACAAATATAGTAGTATATATTATATTTCCAGAACGATATTCAATGATGATTATCATAATAATAATAATAATAATCATCATCATCATCATTATGCAAAAGACATCTAGTCTTTCACATCGTCATCGTTTTTACATATATATAAATTCCCAATGAGAATGTTTTTTTTTCTCATTTCTTGACTGTCTCATGTTGTTTTTTTTTTGTTTCATTTTTTCTCGCAATGTAAGAAAAACAAATGAAATGAAATGAAAAGAAAAGCCAATTTGATAAAGTGTTAAACTTTTTTTTTTTTTTTTTTTTTTTTTTTTGTTTCTTTCATCTTCTTGTTTTTATTCTTGGAAACAATTTCAATTTTGTTTTCACCAGTCAAATGGAATAAAATCTATACACATACACCAATTTCATTTGAATAGTTTTATTTGTATTTGGATAGAATGAAGAAGAACCATGATTCTTTATTCAAAGAATATATTCTTATCGCTTAAATATTGGACAACATAGTGATAACCATGGAATGAAAAGATAAATAAATCCAGACAAACAAATAAGGAGAGAGAGAGAGAGAAAGCTACCAGTAGTAAATAAGAAGAAATTCATTGAATTTGTTTGGACAATACTGTGTGTACTGCATTTCATTTTCAAGAATAAGCAAACCAATGATTTTTGTTTTTCAATAGTAAAAAAAATGAAATGAAACTAAAATGCTGATGATGGATAAACTATGTATGTGTGTGTGTGTGTGTGTGTTTAAGTAAACAAGCAAAAAAAGATAAAAAAAAAATCGGACTTTCAATATAAAAATAAATGAATGGATTGAACAAGTCTAGGGATTTTCAATCATATGACATCAAAAAAAAAAAATACAAACAAAACAACACACATGAATATATAGAAAGAATTTGATCGAAATTTGATCAATATTTAAATATTCATTCATCGAATGTTTGTTTGTTTGTTTGTTTGTTCATCATCATCATCACTTGGCAAAGCAATGCAGCAATTTATCATTCACCTATAGTATAGTATGTTATTTTCAAGTTATTCTTCAACGAAAATTGATCGTGCACATCACGTCGATGTGGAAATGAGAAAAGAGAGAGAGAGAAAAAAAGAATCTTGAATCGTGATAATAATCATTACAAAAAAAGGTAGAATTTGCTTCAGAATCGTAGACATGCACACACACACACACACACACACAGAATTTGGCCAATGATTCTCGTGTGTGTGTGTGTGTTGAAACTGAATTTATTTTTCAATTTTTTTCATTTTTACATGGAGAAAAAAAAATCAATTTGTGTAAAAGTATTTGTTCATTTCATTTCGTTTCATTTTTTTTTTTGCAGTTGCTTGCTTGTTCACAAAAAAAACAAAAAACAAACAAACATGGCAAAACATTCAATCTATCAATCAATCAATCGATCAATTTGTTGGAACACACACACACACACAATATTTGAAAATTTTGTTATTTTCCAATTCTATAAATTGCCTACAACACAAAAAAAATTGGAGGAAAAAAAAGACAAAATTCACTTACCGAGATCTCCGCGTTGTTGGATCTTTCATGACCATCACTTCGGTTATATCACCAAATTTACTAAAATATTCCCGAAGGCCTTCTATAATAATTGAACCAAAAAAAAATTGCCAAAAAAATATGAATTAAAAATTTAATGTAATCAATGAGGAGAAAAATGGAAAAAAAATTCATTGGAAAACACACAAACACACAAAGAAGAAGAAGAAGAAGTGAAAAAAGTTGAAAATTACAAAGTCGATCGATTGATCGATCCATTTATGCCAGCATATATATGAATAAAAAATGATAAAAAAAAACCTGCGGCTCAGATGTGAATGAATTATTGAATTTGAATGCTTAGCAATATTCAAAAAAATTTTTTTTTTTTTTGGGCGAAAAATATGAAATTTTTTTTTTATTTTAAATTTACAATTTGCGTGTCATCTTGCATTCTTTGTATGTCTGTCTGTCTGTCTGTCTTTGAATTGAATCATCATCCAAATATCGAAATAGAAGAAAATTGAAAAAAAAAGTTTTTCAGTTCAGCAACATTTATTGGCACACACACACATGGAAAACATGAAAAAATGAAACGACGATGGAAAATATAATTGACGACGACATGAATCCTATTGGAATATGAGTTTGGCTTTTTTTTCTCTCTCTCTCTATATATATATCGACATATGATAATATGACAATGGCGATGATGATGATGATGATGAAAAGTATTAAACATACACACACACACACACACACATCAAATGGCGTGAATGTAAAACACATTTTCAATGAAGAATTCAACAGAATAGAAAAATAAAAATAAAACTAATATAGAATAACAAGAAGACCGGGAATGAAATTCTGAATTTTACCATTTTACTCGATATGGTAACAGATGTTTACTGTCGGACAAAGAACCAAAGAAAAAAAGAGAAAAGAATTCAACGTCGACAACAACAACAAAGTCTGTCGACCAGGAAACAATGAATTTCATTATCATCAGAATTATTCTGTGAAAAGTGGTGAATCACAAAACACACACACATATATCTATCTATCTATGGATCATATATTTCAATAATGATTTTTGTTTTCTAATATTTCTAAATTGAAAAGTAAATTTCGAGTTTCGAGTACAAAAAGAATGAGAGAAATAAAATCATGGCCCGGCCCAATATAATCAGAATCAACTTTTCACGTTTTTCATCATTCATTCATTTCGAAATTCGAGTACAGAATCATCATTATCATCAGGATTAGTTTTTATACACACACACACACACACACCCATACCCATTCAATGAGATTGATTAATTTTAGATTGGTTTTTTCTCTTCCAACAAAAAAAATTCAACCAGGAATACAATCGATATTGATCGATCGATAATAACAATGTGAATCAGGCAATCATTTTTTATTCTGGTTTCTATTAGATTTACTCTTTCTTTTGGGCAAAACAACCAAAAAAAAATGGACAAAATTCACTCGATTCATTCCGATACAATGTTGACAGGTAATTAAATCTACAACAATTGACAACAAGAATCAAGAGACAGCAATTCTCAGTGAAAAAAAAAAGAAAATTGAGAATTTTGATGTTTCAAAAGCAAAAAAAAAAAAATCAAAAATCGAATTCAATTGAAAATGAAAATAATTGAAGAAAAAGAATCGAAAGATTTTCTGGAGAAAAAAAAGTAGAAAAAAATTTCAAAAATTGAAAATAAACTATAAATAAGATTGAAAACCAAATCAGGCGTAAAAATCTAACAGAATAAAAAAACATGAATGAATGAATGATCGAATGATGAATTCGTAAGCCTAAAAGTGGTGTCACAGAATTCAGTCAATTTCACTATAAAAGGTAAATTCTTTATTTATTCTTGGGCGTCTAAATAATTGATGGCATTTGGTGGTGACCAAAAAAAAAATGAGAAAAAGTGAGAATTCTAAAACTCAAAACAGAAAACACACAGAATTCATGATGATGAAAAAAAATGTTGTCGTTGTTGTTGTTGTTGTTGTTTCAATTCAACATTGACGCACGTAAGATTCTGTAAAAAACAACAACAACAACAACAACTATGGGCAATCAAACAGATTATTTTCGAAATTTTTGTTCAACTTTTCTCCCTCACTCTCTCTCTCTCCATTTTCTCATTTAATAAAAATATTTTATCAACAAATAATTGATGGCATTTGGTGGTGACCAAAAATGAGAAAAGTGAGAATTCTAAAACCCAAACAGAAAAACACACAGAATTCATGATGATAAAAAATGTTGAAATAAGTTGTTGTTGTTGTTGTTTCAATCCAACATTGACGCATGTAAGATTCTATATATTCCACCGCAAATGTAGAATAAAAATTTAGCATATACTTCATTGTTCCTTAATATATTACTGTCGGGACAGAATCCCCAAAACGAAAAAAGTTAAATAATTTATGTCCAAAACCGAAACTAAAATGAGAAACGAAACGAAACGACACACACACACACACACACGCAAACACATTGCAATAATCGACCGACAGACAGAACCAGCGACAACGAGATAAAAGCATGCATTCTAAATCGAATTGTTCATTCATTCAATATAGCGTGTGATGGAGAATAAAAAAAAAATTCTACAAAACATAAAATTTCATTTTCAAATGGGAATTTGGAGGAAAAAAAATTTGTGTTTAAATTCAGTATGAAAAAAAAGTGAAGAAAAATATTTTACATAGAAAGAGTGAAAAAAAGAGAGAGAGAATCAATGGCGGCCAAGGGGGAGGGGAAGAATCAATATATAACGTGACAGAGTAAGAAGAGAGAGAAAAAAATTCTTGTTCTAGAATTATAGGAATTCATTGGAGAATTGTGACAGGTAACACAATTGCAAATTTGGTGAAATCTTTTTTTTTCTAAAAGAGAAAAAAAATTCACAAAAAAAAAGAAAAATAATTCTGGGTAATAAAAAAAAGAAGAGAAAAAGTGTCAGAATAAATGAGAATGTCGAGAATTTGAAGAGAAAAATCTCAGTGATCATATCATATACACAGTCGTATATCATATATAACCACAATAAACAACAAGAAAAACAACAATAACGGCCAAATGGCCTGTACACGCACATCATCATCATCAACATCAACTGATGGATGATAATAATAAAATTAATTAATTTGAATAAATTATTAAACACCATCAGCACACAAAGAAGACGACGACGACTATCGTACAGTGTGGGTGTATATTTGCGTGTGTATGTGTTTACAGGCAACATCAGCCATAATAATAATAACCACCACCACCGCCATCATCAACAACAACAACAGGATTACGTGGAAAAAAAAAGTTTTTTTTTCAGTGGATAAATGATAATGGTAATAGCATTTATTAATGAGATTTTTCAGTTTTTTTTCAGAAATCTGTGAATGGATTTTTGTTTGTTGACAATCAGTCAGTCAAATTCTGTCGTTTTGTGTGTTGGTTGATGCATTATTTTCAATTCAGAATTGACAAAATTTTATTTTTGTTTTGTTTTTCCACTACTGGAATCAAGTAATCAAATGAATCATCGAATGAATTTTACATTTGAACGTGATTTTCTAATGGAATATAACAAAGCAGAAAAAAAATTTCACATGAATAAACAAATGAAATTTATTTAAATTTACGACAATTTTAAAAGGCAGAAAATGACGGTCAATTTTGTGTTTCTGGAACATTATTTTAAATTGGTTTTTTCAATTTCATCCTGTTTTTTTTCATCAAAATTGATGATGATCATCATGATGGATCTTGCAGTATTGAATTTTCAAAGAAAAAACAGATAGAAAAAAAGTCAGTCACTTTTTTTTAGTAAGATAGTGTCCTGTATGTGAGGACAATCATGATGATGATGATGAAGATTCCATGGAATTGAATTCAAATTTATTGAGAAACGGAAACCGGAAACAAGGCGAAGAAAACAGAATTGAATTTCATTAGCCGATTTCAGAGTCATAGAGAGAGAGAGAGAGAGCAAGAATTTCAACTTTAGGCATTTGAAAATCAAAAAAAAAGAGAAAAAAAAATTCAATGTATCCCAAACATTTAATGAATAAAATCATTAACATTATCATTACCTTTTCTACATATATACAACATGAACATTTAGACAATTAAGAAACGAAAATAAATTCATGCATGCATGTTTTTTCTTTTGCATTCAAAATGACGTTCAGAATTTTCAAGCAGCAACAACTATTCTTGTACATTGTATTTGTGTTTGTATGTATGAACAAATGAATACTAGGAATAAGAATAGTCAAAATGAAATAATTAAATGGTTTGTTGTTGTTGTCGTCGTCGTCGTCGTCATCGTTATCGTCATCATCATTATCATGAATGGACGACATTAAATGAACACATAGAGAATACAGTGAATGAATGAAAATGAAACAAAAAAAATGGCCAAACAAAAAAACAAACAAACATAGTGAGTGGATCAACAACAACAACAACAACAACTATATTAACCGGGCTCGATAATTAGACAGAGAAGAAGAAAAAAAAATTGAATTCAAAATTATCGGGAAAAAATCCAAACAAATCATACACATGTTGCTAATGAATGATGTGATGAACAGAGAATCAAACCGGAAAAAAGGTCAGAAAATCCATCAAATTGTAAATTGTAATCAGAACAATGTCAAACAACAATGGCTGAATTTGAAAAAAAAAAAAAATTCATTCCATAACATTCCAAATACTGTGGTTATGAGTTTTTTTTTCATTTTGGTTTTGATTTATAATCAAGAAAAAACAAAAATGCAGCTAAATCATTCTATATAGAATCAATGAAAAAACAAAAAGAGACTGGAAACAATAAATTCTTCTTGACAAAATAAAACAAAACAAAGCAGACAGAATCGTCATAAATATTAGTAGAACATGTCCATGTGGACATTTATTGGATGATGATGATGATGATTCTGTTTTTCTATTTTTCTATTTTTTTTTTTATTCATTTTCTTGATTCAAAGATTAGTATTTTGTTTTATTTCCTTTTTTTTCTCGTCATTTATGAGCTTGTCATCATCATTTATGTTTTGCTTGTGTGTGTGTATGTATGATGATGATAAATCATCAAATCCATCATCTAGCCATGGAAAATGAAATGAATTTTTTTTTGCCCTTGTTGAAAGCAAACAAAAAAAATCAAAATTTTTTTCCATCATATTTCAATCATTCAAAATTTTGATTTTAATTTTAAATTTTCTCTTTTTTCATTTTTCATTGGAATGTGATTGTATTGAAATCATCGGGTGGGGGAGGACAGAAATTTGATTCATGAAAAAAAAATTCATTTGAAAAACGAGTCATTACCAACCCAAATAGATAGACAAAATGAGCAAAAAAAAAACTTTAAAACAACAAATGGATTCAAATCATCATTCCTGTGGTTTTTTTTTTTTTTCTTTTCACTGGTCAAGCATCACTAAATCGAAAAGAATTTTTTTTTTGCACATTTGAAAAAAAATTGAGAGTTGTTTTTTTTACATTCAAAAAAAGTTTCACGACGACCATGGCGATAAAAAAAAAAGTTTACAACAACAGCAACCAACAGAGATGAATAGGAAATTGAATGATAATGAAAATGAAAATGAAAAAAAAATTATTAAAAGTCAATTGAATGTTGAATAGATTTTTTTTCATGTGGTGGTGGTGGTGGTGGTGGGATAGAAATTCCGACTTTAGAGAATCCAGAGAGGCACAAAAAAATTTTTGTTTTCCTCGGAAGAACTTTTTTTTCCTACTAGTCTACTATCCATCTAAGCGAGATCAGAGACAGAGAGAGAGAGAGAGAGACAGTGGAAAACAACTACATTGAAATCAACAACAACAACAACAACAGAATGGCATAAATATGAAAAAAAAATAAAACTGAATTCGTGAGTTGAATAAATAATTCAACTTTGAACAAATGAAACAAACAAACAAGAATTGTGTGTGTGTAAGATATAGAAAGATCCATTTTCTATTGAGCAAAGAATTTTTTCATTCATTCATTCTCCATTGCTATATTCTGTTCCGTTTGGTTGGCATCAGCCATCCATCCATCCATCCATCCAGTCATCCAACCATTCAATTTTAACATGAATGAATGGAATCTGAAATAGAATCAGTGGAAAAAAATACGCACAACATATAGAATGTGGAAGATGAAATCAGACAAAGACACACACACACACATCATTGTCACTCTAATTTTGCTTTGTTTTTTTTTCGTTCATCAAAAATATTTTCATTTCAGAATTCAAAATTAATTTTTTTTTTTTTTTTTGGTATTCTTCCACAACCACATTTTATTCCATCGAAAACTTTTTTCATCATCATCATCATGAAAACAAGCAAGCAAACAGAAAACAGCCACGAATGGGACGAATAAATGGAAAAAAATCGATTTCCATCACCATCATCATTGTTGTTGTTGTTGTTGGAAAAAAAATAGGAAAATAAGAAGAAAGGAAAAAAACAAACTTATCGACCGATTAAAAAAAAAGAAGAAAATTATAAGGATAAATGTGTGATAGTAAACGAGAGATTCTGTTGAATGAATGAATGAATGGATGCTAGAAAATGGGCCTCTATTTTTCTTTTTCTTCATTTTGGTTCAATGGTCTTGATAGTTTTTTTTTTTTATATTTCACTCAAACTCACTAGTAGTATATTTAATTCCAACAACAAGATACTTTGTACTCATCACTTACATTTCCTTTATATTTTTTTTTTTTTGGTGGATCAATTCAAATGTTGTTGTCGCTGTTGTTGTTGTTATTGGATAATGTTCAACAATAATAACAACAGCGACAACAACAACAATTGATTGCATGATAAGTTTATAATATTGAAGAAACAAACACAAAAAAGCTTAAGGCTGGCTTTATCTTTATCGAATCACACATTGAGAGTTGAGAGCATAAAAAAAGAAGGAGAAAAAAAGTTTTGTTTTTTTTCGCGATATGAATGATCCAAAAAAACTTTTTTTTTCATTTTCAAAACAAGAACACATCTGCAACACCAGATGAGACAAATACCCAAAACCACACACACACACACACATCAAATATCAATGCGTATTCGCAAATCGATTGGATATTGAAAAAGTAGAAAAACAAAAATCGAATCAAATCAAATCAAAAAAAAAAAAAAGAAAATAAAATCCGGGTCATCACATATCAGTTTTTTTTTTCAAAAATATAAAAAATTGATTATACAGCGATAAACATGGAGACAGAAAAAAAAACAGTAACAATGTTAATCAATCAATTGACAATCTAATCTTGTCATTTCGAAAAATATTTTTTCGCAAAAAATACGAAAAAATTGCATTTCGCAATTGGATTGATTATGATCAGACTTTGAACCATTTAGATTTTTTGGCTATGAAAAAAAATCCAAATTTAAAAAGTCAAATTTTTTTTTTCTGGTCGTTGTTGTCATGGAATTTGTTTAGTAATATAAAAATAAAACGTGCATGGCTAATGATGACAAAGCCAAAATGAAAACTTTTGTGAATAAAAAAAATTGATGTTAATGGAACTTGAAATTAGAACAACAACAACAACAACAACAAAAAAAAAAGACGATGATGATGATAATAAATACAATTACGGAAAAACGGAAAAACCAAAGAAAAAGTGTTATATGTTTTCTATGTGCAAATGATCAATGTGTGAGACATTTACAACAATGGAGAGACCAAAAAAAAAAAAAATGCTAAAACTTTTTATTTGAAAACCTGATGTGTGTGTGTGTGTGTGTGTGGAAAGAATATTCTTGACTTGTTTCGATGAAACATTACAATATATGACGACAACGACATAGACCATAATGAAGTACCTTATAAGTTTGTTGTTGTTGTTGTTGTTGTTGAAATAATTAATGATTTCCCATTTTCGATGGATGATTCTCGAACAACAACAACAACAACAACAAGAATAAAATAGAAAGAACTAATAATTTGAGAATTTGAAACCATAGCTTATTAATTACACAACAATATTTTGATTATGGCTCAATGATTCTTTTGTTGTTGTTGTTGTTGTTCGGTTTTTTTTTTCCATTTGAGAAAGAACAAAATTCATTGATTTTTTATACATTCAGTGAATAATGTAATTATTGCAACTAGGCCTTTCATCATGAGATAGCTATTTTTTTGCCGTTGTTGTTGTTGTTGATTTTTTCAACTTTGAATGTATTTATTATAAACATGGTCGTCGTAATGAATGAAGAGAGCAAAACAAAAAAAAAAAAAATACCGTCAACAAAACAGCAAATGAATCAACCCTACTACTATAACGTCATAATGAATGAATGACAAGAATCTAAAGACAAGAAAACAAAAACAACGTCAACTAACAAACAATTGCAATGAATGAGCTCGTTTTTGGCTAATGAAAAACTTTGTCCATGTTTCTTTCATTCACAGTTGTACACACATACACACAATGTTTGTTTCGTTCATTTGTGTGTGTGTGTGTGTGTGTGTGTGATTGATGTTGGAACCAGAAAAAAAAGAAGAAAAACATTGGATAACATCAACATCACAAACATTGGTCCATGTTTTTTTTTTTTTTGGTTCGGGCATTGAATGATATTGTCGTTGTTGTTGTACATTACGGATGTTTTCAGAAACTTATTCTCCATATACAAAGAACGTTATAATAATAATGATGATGATGATGATGATGGTCGGTAGTAGCAATATGAAAAAATGGAACAACTTTTCTGATCTTTATGTATGTGTGTGGTGTTTGCTTGCTAAAAACATTTCCTAGAAATTTTTATTGCCTCTACTTTTCAACAAAAAATTATTCTTTCTTGTGTGTCTGGTCTTTAACTTTTTGCCAACAACAACCACACACACACACACACACTTTTTTTTTTTTATTTGAGTAATTCGGATAAGAATTCTACAATAAGAAAAAAAAATAAGAGGAAAAAAAGATCGAAAAAAAACTCTTAAAAGGAATCAAACGATGATAATAACATCTTATGTTTGTTGATTTGATTGTTGTTGTTGTTGTTGTCTGCAATTTTTTTTTCATCGACATTTTCTATCTGTTTGTTTGTTAGGGCTGCTAGTTGAATAACATTTCCTTTCCTATGTGTATGTGTTGCATTATGATAATAAAATGAAAATGATGATGATCATCATCATTATATACAGATGAATCAAGAACGAGAAACAAAAATCGGAAATGTCCATATATATAAAAGGGGAGGCTAAGGGTGGATAATAATGAAAACAAAACAAAAAAAAACATCAAAACACTTACCAGGCGCTGTTTGCCAACTAAGTCCACCGATGAACATTTTCCTATTTTTTGGTTGTGGAAAAAAACGAAAAGAAAAAAAAAAAAAAATTTTTCAATTAAATTATTGGCAATTTACAAGAAGAATATATCTACACATTACTAACAACTGTCGATTCAATTTTATTGGAAAAAAAAGAAGAAAATTTTTCCATCAAAAAAAGTGTCGATTTAAATCAGCTGTGCAAGTATATATATATATTTATTATATAAGTTTTAATTTTCATCATTCACTATAGTAGATTATATCCAAGTGCATGTGTGTGTGTGTGTGTGTAAGAAGATTCAGTACTTTTTTTTCATCATCACTATCATCATCATCATCATCATCATGATGATGATCAATAAAGGAGTGAGAACAAGAACCAGAAAAAAAATTATCCTTTGGGATCTCAGATTACTTTAGCATTATTAGTGTTGTTGTTTGGCTGTTTGGTTCGTTGGTTGGTTGGTTGGTTGGTGCCGAATGAATGAACCAACACACTGTAATACTTTACCAATTTTTTTTTTGCTCTCTCACCGACCCCACTATTTAGAAACTTTAGACACACACACAAAGATCCAAACTTTTTCAAAAGTTTCAACACAAGCAATGTGTGTGTGTGTGTGTGTGGATGAAAAAGAAAAACCTCTAAACACACAATCAAAAAGCCCAAGTTAAGAACGATGGCGATGAATTACGAATTTTTTTTTTTTTTTTGTTTGAAAATTCATTTCCTTTTTTTTCTACGAACAAACGTACCGAATACACAACTTTTGTTTGTTTTTGTTTCTTGATGATATGATGAAACAGAAAAAACTTTGAATTCAAGTTTCATCATCATCATCGACGATAAAATCTGTACTTTTATAGAAAGAACAGATATAGATATTTCATCTAGAATTTATGCGCAGGTGAATTTTGTTGTTGTTGTTACAGTTTTGTTTTGTTTTTTTTCCAAATCAATGAATATGTTTCAAAATAGTTTAGTTTGGTTCTATTTTTTCATTTCGCATACATTGAATCGAAAATTTATTCATTTTTTTTGGCTGGTTAAAAAATTATTCTTCAGAAAGAAATTCTGTTTCAAATGAATTTCTAATTGGCTAAAATTTGAAATTCATCAGAATAATCAAAGAATCGAGGAAATGAATGAATGAATAAAAATACATCAAGTTCAACAAAAAAAAAATGCTAAAAATCAAGACAATGGCGATTTAGGTAAGATTGAAAATCAAGTTTTTTTTTATTTTTTATAAAAAAAGCCAATGAAATCGATCGTTAATTTTTTTTCTGCACTATAGTACAATTTATGAATCGACAAGATAAAAAAAAAATTTCTGTCTTTATTTGTTTGTTTTCAACAATCAAATGGCGAGAAATTGAATCTGATGGTGATTTTGTTGTTGTTGTTGTTGTTGTTGAAATAAAATCTGTTCATCAGTCATATATTTTAAATTCTTATCATCAACAACGATGATAGCAATTAGAGTGAAGAGAAAAAAAGTATTCTTCAGAAAAATTCTGTTTCCATTCAAAACATAAGAAGCAAAAAAAAAAAATTTCTGTCTTTATTTGTTTTTCTGATGGTGATTTTTGTTGTTGTTGTTGTTGTTGTTGAAATAAAATCTGTTCATTATTTTATATTATTATAGAGTGAAGAGAGAAAAAGAAAAAATTTCCATTCAAAACATAAATTTCTTTATTATATTATTATCACACAAAGAGACAAGTGACAAGTGGTAAAAAATTGTCAAATAGTGTCAATATAGTAGTCTGGTCTGGATTTTTTTTTTCATTCTTTCACACACACACTCACTCACACACTCGTTTAATGTTTTTTTTTATTTTATTTTATTTTGTTTGTTTGTTTGTTTTTTTTTTTTTGCACAAAAAAAAAACTCATGTTGTTCATCGTTGTTGTTGGTGAACAGAAAAAAAAATGTCATGACAGTCACTTGTCTATAGACTATCTATAGATTCGTGTGTAGTGTTTGTATATTAAAAACAACACAAGACAACATAACATGAGTATAGATAGATGAGAGATGACTTTGTGTGTGTGTGTGTGTGTTATGTCTTTATTTTGGAAAAAAAATAATCAATACATACGTTCCTTTTATACATTTACAGAATGACAAAATTTATCGATTATAAAAAAATGGACAATCTACAAAAATACCGTTGATAGAAACGTTGGATAGCTTAAAGGCAAACGAATCTGATGATGATGATGATGAAAGAAAAATGAATAAATGTCAACTATGGATAAGGGGTAACACACACATACACATAGAAAAATAATAAAAGATGTTTACACACACAACAAAAGAGAAAAAAAAATTTACTTGAATGACGCCAACAACAACAACAACAAACTATGTAGAAATGTTCCCTATTAATAATAATAATAAGAATGGATCGAAACCCGAAATAAAAATAACCAGAATCTGAATCCGAGAAAAAAAAATTCAATTAATTTTTTTTATATATATATCAAGAATATTGTATATGTACAATGAATGGTGAAAATTCTGCATGACATATACAGAATTTTCAAACACAAACAGTACATACAAGTTAAAACCTAGAAGCAATGACATACACACACACACACACACACACATAAACGATTGATTGAAAAAAAAAAACGGAAGCTAAGAAAAAGACGAGAACAACAGTATATTCATTCGGGTAGAAAAAAAAATTAACGTACTACACATCTAAACATTATTGTCAAATAGAAAAAACGACATTACACACACACACACATGTAATAGCTTGGAGCATTTTTTGTTCAGTAAGTGTGTGTGTGTGTGTAAGAATTTGTTGATTATTTTTTTCATTTTCTTGTTTTTGTAAATTTCTATTTTCACATGGAATCGTTTTGGTGCTCACATTGTTGAATAAATTGAGAATCGATTAGGAAAATGTCGCAATCATTTATTTATTTATTTATTTATGAGAATTGGATGCAAACGGGTTATCGTTTTTTTCGACCTTTTTTGAATTTTCCTTGTGTGTGTGTGTGTGTTTGAAATGATGGTAAATCGTGTTTGAAGCCAGAAAAAAAATGAAAAATTTCAGCCCACAAAAACTGTGGAGGAAAGAAAAAAAATAAAACAAACCAAAAAAAAAAACCAAATATTGAAAAATGGCTATAGTTTGATTTATTAGTTTTTGATTTTGGTTGGTTTGAAAAAGAAGCAACAGTGGCGAAAAAGAAAAAATTTTAAAACCAAAAAAAAAAAAAAATGAACAAAAGGAAAAAAAATCATACATGAACATCATCAAGCAGGCAGGTAAAAAAATTTTTTTTTTTGCCAGAAGCTTTTTTTCTCCGTTGAAAATTCAAAATGTGATAATGATAAATATCGAAATGAAGAAGAAGGCAGAGAAAAAAAAATTATCAACATTTGCCACCGGCTACCATTTGGATTTCGGTTATTATTCAACCAAAAAATTTCGAACATTTTTTTCCCAACACACACACACACACACACACGCACTATTTATCGATCACAACCGGTCACACAAAAGATTTTTGCCTTTCCTATAGTGAATAAATAAGGAAAAAAAACAGACAGAAAAAAAAACGATAAAATTGGCAAAAGATTGATGAACACAAACAAAACAAAACAAAACAAAACAGAAGATAAACAGAAAAATGTATGTTGTGTGTACATGATGTGCTGTATTTGTATTGTGTAAATCATTTATCAGAAAAATAAAAAAAAAACAAATTGGAAAAAAATTAAACTCATGTATTTGAGTGTCCCCAATAATTGCCGTTGTTTTTTTTTTGTTTTCGGACAGGTATCCAGTGTTAATTAAACTTGTGAAGAAACGAAAAATTTGAACTCAATAAAAAAAAGGCAAAAATCTGTCAGGTTAAAAAAGGGAGAGAGGGAAGAAAAAAAGAGATGAATTTGATGGATGTTTATGTGTCGTCCTGTTGTGATGAACGGTTTATTGAAACACGATGTTGTTCATCATCTGTTGAATGTTGAAAAAAAAAAATGAAATGAATAAAAAAAGAAACAACAACCAGTGATTACTGGATGAATTGTCAAATCTGGGATTGTGTGTGTTTGCGTGTGTGTGTGCATGTGACTTTGACTTTGATCGAATAGCCAAAAGAAAAAAAAATGATGATCATTTGATGATTTGATTTAAAAAAAAATACATTAAACTAGATTATCACCGGATAATCTAGTGTGTGTGTGTGTGTGTGTGCTAGTGTGCGTGGTTATGTGCCAAATATACCGCTATGTGTCCATCGCCCTGTATGAATTTTTAAAAAATTTATTTTAATTAAATCAAAAAAAAATGAAAACCAAAAATTGAAATAAAATCCAAAATGAATATCAATCAACATCATCATGATGATGGGAAGGTAAAAATATGAAAATGATACGTTTTAAAAACTAAACTAAAAAAAAAATGTTTCCATGACGGGATGCGATGACATCATTTACAGTGTGATTGATTTGAAAAACAATTTTTTTTTTTGTTTGTTTGTTTATCATTTACACACCTATAAATTAACAAGCAAAAAACAATGCTCAGTAGTAGTGAAAATCAACAGGTTTTTAGTTTTCATTAGAAAAAAATTTTATTTGAGAGTAAAAAAAAATCATTCGATATCGCCATCAACATCAATGTCGCAACCATATATATATATTTATTGATGAATAATTATCAATCATTTAACCAATTATCAATTTAATAATCGAATAATAATCAACTGTTTCATTTGTACAGACAAACAAACAAACAAATAAAAATTATCAATGAACAAATACATTGAGGAAGAAAAGATAAGAAGAAGAAGAAGAAAAAAAAATTTACAAGCAAACAAACAAACAAACAAACAGACAAACAAAATGTAAATAGTGAAATAAGAAATGGATAAGAGAGAGAGAGAGAGAGAGAGAGAAACAAAATTGAGTCCTTCACATTTTTTTTTTTTTTTTGTTTCGACATTGGATATTCATCATTTTTTTTTTTGCCGATTTTTCCATCACAAATGGGCAATGAGTTTTTTTTTTGGCCAAAATAACCAAAACATGAATATAAAACAGGAGAATATCGGGTAAATGTGAATGAAAACAAAACAAAACAAAACAAAGCAATGCAGGATTAATTTCTATTGTTTTGTTTTGTTTTCTAAAAATAACCGTTTAGTTTTGTTTTCCACTGTTTTAAAAAAAACGAAAAAAAATTTTTGTTCTGTTTGTTTTGACATACTTGATGATGTATTTTACATTTTTATGATTATTTAAACAAGAGAGATGGAAAGAAATCAAATCCAAAATCTGATTATTGAAATTAAAATGAATGGCATTCCATTGCATGGTATTATCCGTATTTACAAAAAAAAAAAAAAAAAACAAAACTTTTTGCTCAGAATTTGCAACAAAAAAAAAAAGAAGAAAAGAAGAATAAATCATAATCCAATCCAATCTAAATTCAATTCATCATTCAATTTTAAGCTTCCAGAATAATGATAAAAATAAAAATGATCATCATCATGATTATAACATCTTAATTGAATTCTGGTGATTATTGTCACCATCATCGCTAATCATCATCATCATCATCATCAATGGATAGACAAAAAAAAAAAAAGAATTTGTGTTTTTTGTTTTTCTCTATATATAATCATCACACCACTATGTTTCGGTTCATTCATTCATTCATTTTAGTTTAGCTCATGTGTTATTTTTTTGAATTGAAAAGTAAATGAATGAATGAATGAATAAAAGTGAATAAAAGATAAACTCATGATGATGATGATGATGATTATATGGCGTCATAATGATGTTTAGGAAGATGAGATTCCTAAAGAATTTTTTTTTTCGTTTTTCTCTTGTTCACAGTTAAACAAAAAGAAAAGAAAAATATCTACCCAGAATCGTGTAGAAAAGCAAAAGAATTAACGTAACTGAAAATAAATAGCTACTGTGGTGCAAAACAAAACAAAAATGAAGAATGAAAATAAAAAAATTAGATAAATAGATAGATAGTAATGAAATGAAATAATGGTGGCAGACACACTATACACACAGAATACAATTACTCGATATTTTTATTCTTCTTCTTCATCATCATTCTGAAACAAACAACAAAACTATCAACTACTTCTATGATCTAATTCCATAGGGGAATTTGAATGATTTTTTTTTTTTTTTGCTGCTGTTGTTGTTGTCTCGGATGGACTGTATTTTTTGTCATCCATCCATTATATTAAATGGTACAAAAACAACATGATGATGATGATGATGATGATGACACTGTGACATCAACATTTGTATGATTCATCATGGATCAAACAAACCAAACCAAACAAATTTGAATATGAAGAAGAAGAAAAAACAAAGTACTTTTAAGACGCAAAAAAAACACATCAATGTCATAAGAATTTAAGAATTTCAATGAAAAACCTTATTCACTCACTTTCACTGCAAGAAATAATGAAAAAAAAATTCATACAAAACACACAAATTCAAAATAAATAAATGAAATGAAATGAAAAAAACAAACTAAACCAAAACGAAACGAATAATGAGAATGAGAAAATTGGAAAATAAAAATAATGAGGTCCTGAATGTGTTTGCCACAAAACACACACACACACACAATCAGAATTCCATGGAATTCATCATCATAATCATTCAGAGCAACAACAACAACAAAAAAATATGTGAAAAGAAACAAAAAAATACCGGATGAAAATAATAATCATTGTTATTATTATTTGTATGATACAAATATACCGTATTTATTTATTTATTTTTTTTTCTTCATTGATTGGTCATCCATTCAAAATCATGTGTATTTGAAATGTATACTACTACTACCACTGCTTCTACTACTACTACTAATACTGCTACTACTACCGTGTATTTTACACTATAATAACGGTTTCATTTATTTATTATTATCATTATTTCATTTCACATATTGGTGAACCACACAAATTTGGACAGGTTCAAGTTTGTTTATTATATTGGTATGTAGTTTGGCTCTCATCATCACATCATAAACCACAATATATATAAATACAAGCAAAAAAAAATCAACAAAATTACCAATCAAATAATGATGATGATGATGATGATGATGAAAAGGAATAATGAAAAAAAACCACCTGCGGAAACAATAATAATAATAATAATCACAAACAGACAAAATGACAGTAACAACAAACAGAATGGCAGATATTCTGGGCTTTGAAATAAATTTTTTCTTTTTTGGTTCTTCTAAATCAACCATTACACACATACACACACATATATAAGAATTTTTCACCAAAATGATGACCAGAATAATAAATAAATGATGTTTTCATTCAAGAATCAACCATATAATCGTATTCATTCATTCAAGATGAACACAAAACACACACACACACACACACAATGCTAATGAATTCAGAATTTATTCGACCAGAAGATTTATGGAAACTTTTCAACCATTCAAAAGTTCCATGAAAAACCAAAAAAAAAAAAAATTTAAATGAAATAAGAATGAATACAAATATGGTGGGAATAAATATATGACAATGACAGTGTTGTGAAAAAAGTGAGAAAGAGAGAGAAAAAAATTCAAAATTCGCCCAAAAGGCAAACAAAAAAAAAAATTATTCAGTGTTGGAAACAAAACAACAACAACAACAACAACGAAAAATTAACGGTACATTAAGTATAATGTGTGTGTGTGTGTGTGGGTTTTGAGGTAAAACCAACCGCAAGACCAGAATTTTTTTTCAAATGCAAAAAAAAACTACTTATAAAAAAATTCTACTTACAAATCTTGATCATATGATGATGATCCATCATGATTGACAACATCACTTGAATTTGTTGATGTATGATTCGATGTGTTGTTGTTGTTGTTGTTGTTACAATTATTCGTCGTTGTTGTCATATTATTATGATTATTATTGGTCGATTGTTGTTGTTGTTGTTGTTGTTGCTGTGTTGTATTATTGTTTATTATAGATTGGCCTTGTGGCGATTGTTGAGATTGTTGTTGTTGTCCATTTGTTGTTGATGATGTTGACTGTGATGATTGTGATGATGTTGTTGATGATGGTGATATACCATTCGATTGTGAATGTTGTTGTTGTTGTTGTTGTTGTTGTGAATCAGTTTCCATTTTCATTATTAATTATTTTTTTTATTTGAAATTGGTAAAATAACGGTAAATAAATTGAAAAAAATGGATATATAATTTCTCTCGCTTTTTTGTGTGTGTGTGTGTGTGTATGTTTACTGCTTTTTTTATTCTTCCAGATTATTGCACCAATGATTGGAGAATTTCAAATGACAAATTATTGGAAAATGGAAGCAACTAAAAAAAAATGATTTAAAAATCAAACAATGATGATATAACAGTGGAAAATTTTTGAGAATGAAAAAAAAATCGAAATCGAAATCGATGATCAGATAAAAATAAAATATACAAACACACAATTGAACAACAGGAAAAAAAATTAACAAACAACCAAAATGAATTTGATTTGGAAAATTATTGCTTATGATGATGATTTTTGAAAAGTTTTTCAACAACATGTGAAGGCGTATTCACAGCGAAACATGCATACACACACACATACAGAATGTGTTTATCAAGATGACAAATGCAAAAAAATTTAGGGGAAAAAAAGGTGTGCGTGTGTGCACGAATTTCGAGGATGATAAAGTGTTTTTTTTTATGTTTTTATGTTTTGTTTTTTTTATTATTATTATTGGTGGTGTAATGATGATAAATGGTGAGAGGACTTTTTTTTTGTTTTGTTTTTTTTTTTTCTCACAAATAATAAGGTAACCAGAGACGGTAAAGAATTACGAGAATAATTGGAATTGAAAAATTTCTAGTGGAAGAAAAAAGATTTGAAATTTGACTGAAATTCACAATTCAAATTGAGAGATAGAGAGATTATATCAATTATATGAATGGAATGAATACCAAACACAATAATGATGTTATATTGGATAAATAGCACGGGTGTTTTTTTTTCGGTGTTGAATTTCAACTTTTTTTTGTATTGTTTAAATTCCGTAGAAAGGATTATGATTATGATGATGATGATGATGATGATGATGATGATATCAAAGTGAAGAAGACAAAAAAAATTAGCTTTTTATACACAAACACAATGTTTAATGGCAATGTTCACATTGATTCTGTTCACGATCACGTTGTTGTTGTTGTCGATGACGATGATAGAGATTCTTTACAATTAATCTACATATGAAAAAAAAACAAACACAGGAATCATGGGATAGTGGAGGAAGAAAAAAATGAGAGAAAAAAAATGATGAGAAAAAATTTTTTTTTTTTTTACAAGAAAAAAAAGTTCCAACAACAACGACAACAACAGCAACAACAACAACAACTTATTCTGGTGTACCAGAATGAATCTAGGAAAAAATGGATAAAATTGAATTTGAAAATTTTTTTTTGTGTTAAATTGTACTGTTGTTGTTGTCGTTGTTTATATGATGATGATGATGCAATCATGAATATATTAGAATCGTGAAACTATGGGCAGCAATCCATATGAAGAAGAAGAAAAACATAATGAAAATAAAATAAATTTGGAAAAACGAGAAAAAAGAATTTACAATCAAATCATCATTGTCATCGTCGTGGTTGTTGATATATTAGATTTTCTTCATTCGGAATAGAAAATTGAAAATAGATTATGGTAAAGACGATTGTAAAGAATTGAAACAATCAAACAGAATCAATGGAAGAAATGTGAAAAAAAAATTATTGAAAATCAAAATGAAAATAAAAATAAAACACGTACGTAGACACACACATACATACACACGACGCAAACACAACAAAAGCAGATGGGCAAATAAAAAAAAATTATTAGTATTTTTTTTTTTGTCGTGAATTCAGATTGAGCTAGTCCAGAATTTTTTTCCTACGTTATATGTTTAGTTTGGTTTGGAACCAATACTCACACTCACACACACACACACACACACACGACTTTTAGATGTGTTTGTGTGTGTGTGTGGTTTTCGGTTATCTTCGGTTTTTTTTTCATTTCTCTCTTATGGTTTGCTTCCATACAGAATTATTCTTATTCAGTTGTATGAAATTTGAAATGTGCGACGAATCCAGGATCACTAGTAAATGGATGGATGGATGGATGGATGGATAGATCATCAAGAATAATAACGGATATTGGTCTCTCTTTTTCTATCATATGAGAACCGCCTGCTGCTGCTGTTTTTTATTGTTTTGTTTTTGTTGTTGTTGTTGTTGTTGTTTATGTCGTCGTTATTTTAATATTTTTAGTTGCAAGCGTATATTACACGAGTTGATTGGGTAGTAGTAGTAATATCATAATCATCATCGGATACAAACCAAATAAATTTCAAAAATGTAGGACCGGTTTTCTGGATCAAAAGATTCTTTATGTGGTAAATATAGTAGTAGTAGTAGTAGTGGCAATAATGATGAAAACAAATTCTAGAAATTCTGGATCATAGAATTCTTTGTTTTGTTTTTTTTTTTGTTCTTGATGTTGGAACCACTTTTCATACACATACATACACATTCTGACAATTCGTAGGTCCACTAGAATTTATCATTCATATATATAGAAGAGAAAGAGATAGAGAGAGCTTGCGAGAGAGAATTTTCATGATCCAGGAACCAACCAACCATCCAATCATCATCATTTACCACTACCATCATCATGATCATCATCATACAAAGTTATACATACCCGAGAATTACAATAGAGAATAGTGGGGTAGTAGAAAAAAAAAGTCGAAATGAAAATGAAAGCGAAAATTAAAGTGAAAAAAAACTAGCTATACACAAAAAACATAAATAACACCGTCATTGACGGGATCCCGAAACTAAATGATTCGTTTTCTCACACACACACACACACGCACACATACTCTATCTATTCGTATTTTTTTTCAGCCTTTTTTACTTCGGTTAAAAGTATGGCTGGCTGACTGGCTGGCTGGCTATCTTGTGTGTACGTTTTGAATGTTGATTTGTCGGCTTCCAACGATGATAGCATTGATGACGAAATAGAAAAAAAAATGTTATTCTGTGTGCTTCATCATCATCATCGTAGCCATAACCATCAAAATTACAATAAAACTCATCATCATCATCATCATTTAAATTGAATTCAATTCTGATGGATAATAATAATAGAAAATATACTGGTGATGATAGTGATGGGGGTGTGTTTGGGAAAGATTTTCATCGGGGCATATGGAACCAAGGAGCAGCAGCAGCAGCAGTAACAAGATTGAAAATTGAATAGCAAATAAAAAAAAGCCACTAGTTTTTTTTTATTCATTGCTTCTCCTCGGTCCCTTTCATCATCATCATCATCATCATTTTTTTTACAGTTTTTTTTTCGTTGGTTGCTAGCATCGGCAAAAGAAAAAGGAAAAAAAACTAATTTTTTCCGCTATTTCACTATACCGTTACTACTGTGACAAAAAAAATTGATTCGCTTCATTCATTCATTCATTTTCATTCAGAAGAGATTCATTCATTCATTCAATTCAATTCATGTGTCTTCAGCCTTTCTCTCTTCTCTTACCACTGTATATTCATCATAAATAATTTTTTTTTCTTCTTCTTCATCATCATCATCATCATCATCGGTTGAAGGTACACATGTATGTCTAAACATTTGTACTCAAATTCTTTAAAAATAAACAAACAAACAAACCAAAGAAAAAACAACAACAACAACAAGTTTTTTTTTATTTTGGAAAAGAGAAAGAAAAAAAAAATTAAAATTTTTTTTTTTTTTGCAAATACACCAAAACACACACACACACTGGAACCCAAATAAAAAAAAATTTATGAAAAACCACGTGTTAATTTGGATTCGGGTACAAGGAAAATGAATCAAAAACAGCAATATCATCATCATCATCATCAACCAAAATCATTTTATGATGATGATGATGATGACGATGATTTTATTTTAGATCAACACCACATACACACACACACATGGTGTTAATCATCATAATTTCTTTATTACAACAAAAACGGAAAAAACGCTTATCTCTATCAATAATAAACATCACACACACACACACACCAGTTAGTTCATTTCTTCATCAAAAAAAAAAAAAAAAAAAATTTACAGAAAAAAAACCATCAACAACGACGACATATAAAAAACAGCAAATGAGAGAGAGAGAGAGATAATGAGTGAAAACGAGCGAGAGAAAGGAAAGAAAAAAAAAGATAAGAATGTTTAACGATTTAAAAATGAAAAAGAGACGACGACGACGACGACGACAACGACAACGGCGATGACGACAGATATATCTTCAAAAGAGGAAAGAAAAAAAAAAAAAATGGATAAAAATGAAATTTCTGTGCTGTTTTTTTTCAATGGTAAAAAAAAGAATGTATATACCACACGTTTCTAATTGATAATGGTACTAAATTTCATTAAGACATGGATTTTTTTTTTCTTTTTGAAAAAAGAAAAATTTGACATTTAAAAAAACGACAAGTAGAACAATGATTTTTTTTTCATAAATTTTTCCTTTTTCTCTCAAATTTAGACTTTGATGATTTTTGACGATATTTTTGACGTCATAGCTAACATCATTCAGGAATCATTCATTCATGATGTACACATTGTACAACAACAACAACAACAACAACAATCCTGTTGTACGAACGTTCTATCTATAGAAATAGTTAGAATTGCCGGAATTAGAATATTAAAAAAAAACAACAAAAACTAAAAAGAATGACTAGGCAAACTTGTGGGTGTGTGATCATGAATATCCATACAATCAATGATGATGATCATGATGATGAGAAATTCATTCGTTGAAGAGAAAATTTTTTTTTTTTTTTTTTTTGCTGGTCCAGTTGATTTGACATTAGCTTACACACCAAAGCTTGACGAATCGATCAAGCTTTTTTCTAGCGATAATAGTGTGTCGAACATTTTTCTATCAAAGAGAGAGAGAGAGAGAAAAAAAAGACCAAAAATGAAATGAAATGAAAATGTCA